TTCCAATTTTTACTTCCACTTACATTCTCTTCCACCACATCTTTGAAACTAATACTGGTTATTATTTCAAACATCATTCCTTCTACATAATCTTCAATCCACTTTTCCAAAAAAAACTTCACCAAATAAACTTTTAGTTTCTTCAACTCCACACTTCAAAATGCCTTCCATCAGCACCATCCTCCTCTCCGCCTTCCTCGCCCTCAACCTCTCCCTCCCAGTCCTCGCCCAAGGAACCCAATTCATCACCGGCCCCTGCAACGTCGACGCCGACTGCGCCGCCGGCTGCTGCGGCTTCAACACCGGCAAATGCGCCGGTCCCGTCGTGGCACTCGGTCGTGACGGCGGCTGCGGGCGCGGCAACGCAGTCTCGAACAACAACGCCGCCGTGGCTCTCGGCTTCACCGGTGCTTTCACGCCTGTTTCAGCGGCCGGCGGTGCCGCTGCTCCTGTCGCTGCTCCGGCCGCGGCGCCAGCTGTCGCGGCGGGAACGCAGTTCATTACTGGACCTTGCACCAGCGATGCGGATTGCGCGGCTGGCTGCTGTGGGTTCAATACTGGGAAGTGCGCGGGCCCGATTATTGCGCAGGAGAGAGATGGAGGATGTGGACGTGGACAGGCTACTCCTAATGATAATGCGGCGCAGAAGTTGCGTGGTGCTAAGCGTGCTGCGAGGGGGTGGAACTTGTAGATTCTGAACCATCGATCTACAGAATATGAAAGAGTAATGGGATGACGGGATACATTCGTTTGGGACTTGTAATGAGGGGATAGGCAGGGCGAGGAGGAACATTCATTCGGATACGACGACGACTTTCTTTATCACACTCGCTTTTCGATATCACGCTCTAGAAAGACACTTCGACACACATTCTTTAGCCCGACCGGCACATCATTCTTTCACCACAGTCTTTATCCGATACAGTCTTTACCACTTACTTCTTTCACCATTCACCAACTCAATATTTCCAGCATTTTCACCAGCATATAGAAGAAGTTTTCTGAAAGTTTATCACATATTTCTCTAGTTTTTTTACACCACGATCGTTTTGGAGATATTTATATATATATGCATGTTCGAGCTTGTATATTAGAGGGATGACCGCGCTAGACGTGGGGGGATGGAATTTAATGTGGAGGGGGTTGGGGGGGAGTGGGATGGTGAGATGTTTGATTGCTCTGATCATGTTTTTTGTTTTTTGCGGGTGCGTTGTTTGTGTTTTTTGGGGGGGAGAGGAGGAGGAGGAGAGGAGAGGGTAGGGGAGAGGGGAGAAGAAGAGGGGGTGAGAGAGGGAAAGGGGAAGGGAGGAAAGGGGAGATAGAAAAGTTAACAAATGAAAATCGTGGAAGAGATTTCTGATGTGCTTTTGCGCGTGATTCGTTATTGTGAAGTGATATTCAGTAGAGTTTTACTTACCAAATACATAACATCCCTAATAACTTTCTTACAACGAGTATTACTTTCAAACAGCCTCTTCCTCCCTTATCGGATATTCTCATTTACCAATATCTTCTATGCCCTCCACTACCTAGCCGTACCTATAAACCGGCGCACGTTACAATCAGGGCACGGTCGTAGATTACCTAGGAGAATACTCTAGCGACGTTCTTGGTATTTCGTCAAGTGTATCTCGTGCAATCTATTTATCCCAAAAAAGTTCAAGAGCACGTAGGATCGCCGGCTTGTGGGGGGGATATTTCTGTAGAATCATTTCCCACGTTTCCAACACCCAGAACCGCCATCTCCGTGACTCACCCCTATTTCTCGCTTCGCCTGTCACATGTGCCGTCTCGATGACATATTGTGAATGGTTCTATGTAAACCGGAAGATGAAGAAGTTAGAGGACATTGTTGCTACGGATGGCGTGACGAAGGCTTAGCTAAGAGGATTCGGGGTGGGGACTTGGAGAGGCGAGAAGGTGAATTTGGGGGTGGGAGGGTTGTGTTGATTTCTTACCTTCTCCCCTGAAAGTACTGGACGAGTCCCTAGGACTCGACAGAACTTTGATTAACCTCCTCGAAGTACCACTGTATTTAGGGAGTGAGTTTAGGGGGGTTTTGGGAATTTGACAATTTAAGCGAACACCCCTTTAATCGTCATACAGGACTCCAAAAATCAAATTACCATCGTTGGGATAGTAAGTTGAATCATTCACTGAGTAATCTTGGATTGTTAATACTTTTGAATATTGAGGCTTTTGGCGGATGCTGGACTTTTGAGGGATGTGATGCGGTGTGATCATTGATGTGGGGTAAGAATTATTGTTGTGTAAGAAGAATTGATGGATTGTAAAAATTGAGTACCGTAATAAATAATCTATAACAAGAATTATTGATTATTCGCAACTGTTTCAACAAGTGATCGTGTATCCCTAATGTCTATGACTTTTCTAACACAGCCGAAATTCTTTAGAAGGTATCGGCTGTAAATATTAGTCTCTTGCAAGAATTATTGTATTAATTATTGTTGATTTACTATTAAACGAGGAATAGACAAAGCTGTAAATTCTGTTTGAAAACTTTCATACTCGTTAAAAGGTATATCGTTAAATTACACTGTTATTCTAGTGTTGTTTAAGATCGGGTTATTACTACGAGGAGATTGTTAAGATTAGTAGGATATTAGCATCTAACGAGAATTATACTTACACAAAAAATAATCTATATCAAGAGTTACTCAATTACAAGAATTAGTCTCTTACGAGAATTCCTCTATTATAAATGTTAATCTGTTACAAGAACTCTTCTACAAGCATTAATGCAATCCAAGAATTAATTAGTTGCAAGAAATACTCTGTCATAAGAATAGATCTCCTACAATACTTCCTGTATGAAAACGATTTATCTATAGCAAGAAATTCGTTCGAAAACCAAGTCACATTTGGCTTCTTATACTATTGACTAATTATTTTGTGCTTAATCCCTCGGGAATTTTAAAGCTATTTCTAAGAGAAGAAAAGATAGTAAAAGTTAATATATTAAGAACCTTAACATTTTTCAAAATTCGATTAAGGACAAGAATTAACTAACTCCAAGAATTGAGCAGCTGTTATAATAATGCCGGTTGAGTTAAAATGACATAATTAGATTTAAGCGACTAATTATAAAAATGTTTTATATTAACCACCTCTTATATCCATCTTAGTATCCCTAAGTGCTCTTATGTTACAATCCATCCTAATATTCAGAACGTCTCTCATGTTACAATCCATCCAAATATCACTTCCCAAACTCCTCGTAACAAATACCAAAACCGCCAAAAGACACGTTTATTTCCCAAAACGCCCTGTCTGATGATCACCATTCCAATTCCAGACTAGCTGGTTTGGAAATCCAAGTAACGTCAAGTACCAGACTTGAGACAGGCTCCTTCACATCCCAATCGGCCTACAAAAATATCCAAAACCATTAACTCCCAAAAGCTCTTAATATTCCTCTTAATTACTTGTACCCCCTCGTTTAACGAATCCTATTACCATTATGATCAAGCACAACCCCATGAGCGAACTGCGCGTGATGGATGGCATTCGGCAAGTTCGTAGACCAGTGGCCGCAAATCAGACATTGTCGGCGCTCCCCGTCACCGACGTTGGGGTGTTTGTTCATGATGTGCGCCCAGAGCTCGCCGTCGTTGGGGGGTTTTGCCGCGCACCAGTTGCAATTGGGCATTTTGGTTTGGGGGGTTGTGTGTGGTGTGTGGATGTATGTAAAATGTAAAGTGTAAAGTGGTTGTGTAGATGGAGAAGTTGATTTAGTTTGAGTTGAAAGGAAGATAGAAGGAAGTTGGAAATGGAGGTATAGAGCTTCTAATTTATAGGTTTTTGGGAGGGTGGTTTTGGGGTGCTTGTTTGGAGATGTGAATTTGAAGGTTGTTCGACAGGTCATGGGATGAGATGTTGAGTTTAATTAACTATTCGAGGTGAGTTTTTGGTGTAGGAAAGTGTATTTAAGAGGTCATGAGATGATGGGTTGAGTTTAATTAACTATTTAAGGTGAGGTTTTAGTGTTTGAAAGTGAATGTAAGATGTAAAAGGGTTAAACGTGTAGAGGACTCGACTTACTAGAAGGTTAGTCGGTTGCAAAGTAGTGATCTATACATTTGTGAAAAATAGTATTGCGACTAGTAATGTAATGCGGTGATACAAAGAATTCCCTGTATCATTAAGAAGTTTAAACGTAAAAAGTTTCATATCAACTATCTCATAGTACTCCATAGTTCTCTTATTGTTGTAATCTATCTAGTATCACTACTTGCAAATCTGATCCTAGTACATCTTGAAACCGCCAAAGAAATCTGCTTCCAAAAGAGCGTTGTTCGATCATCCCCAATATGCTTATAAGATCCCCAAAACTTGTCAAGTATGGGAGTTTCCAGATAGGCTTTCAAGCACGATCCATCCTTTTCCAAACCCGTCCCCAGTAAATATTAAAACCCTTAAGAGAAATCTACTTCCAAAAGAGTGTTTTTTGATTCTCCCCAATATACTTATAAAATCCCAAAAACTGTCAAATACGAGAGTAGCCAAATAGGCTCCCAAGCACGATCAATCCCTATCCCAACCCGTTAACAAAATATCCAAACCCATAAGTCCCTAAACGAAATCTCAAACTCCATAAATTCCGCTCCCAGAATACCCAGACCCGCCAAATACCTTACTCCCGCAGAGCCATTAGTTTTGAAGATTTCCTTATTTCAACCCCCAAGTGCCTATACTCAAAGCCTCGCTCAACCAATTCGTTTCCCCTCATAATCAATCTTAATACCATGCTCAAATTCGGCATGATACATAGCTTGAGGCATGTTTGGGGAAACATATCCGCATACGGTGCATTGTTTTTTCTCCTGGGCGCCGACCCCAGGATGTTCGCGAGAGACGTGGGCAAGGAGTGCCTCTTGGCTGGGGTAAGTGGTGCCTTTGAGTCCGACCGGGCACCAGTAGCATTTTGGCATGATGGTGGTGTTGAGGGCAGGTGAGTTGAAGTGTGAAGTGTGTAGTGTTGAAGTGTGTAGAATTACTGTAGTGTGAAGAACTTCAAGACCTTCTAAACGAGAGGATAATATGCAGAAGTGTTTATTTTGCTAACTAGAATTTTGGTTGTGTTTGGGAAGAAAGAAAGATAGGAAGGAAGGGCAGGTATGGGGGAATTTATAGATTTCTGGGAGACTGGTTGAAGTTATGTGTCTCTGGGTTTATGAATTTTTCTGTTGTTTGAATGTTAGTAGAAAAATGAAATGAGTGGATTTACCCATTCTGTATGAGTATTCTGTGTAGAATTGCAGGTATCTCTTGGTTTATGAATTTGTATTGTTTGAATGTTAGTGGAAGAATGACATGGGTGAGTTTATCCACTTCGTGTGAGTACTTGGTGTGAGGTCTGTGGGTTTGGGAACATATGTATTGTTTGAATGCTCGTGAAAGAATAGCATGAGTGGAATTATCCAATCCACGTGCGTTCTGTGGACAATGGCAGGATCCTTGAATCATTGTACTGTTTGACTGTTAGTGGCAGAGTGGGATGAGAGAATTTCTCCTTTCCATGTGAGTATTCTGTGTAGAATGTTGGGTGAATACAACGTGAAGTGTTACTTATAGACAACTCTCCCCGGAGGACTCCAATATGGTTGAATGGGAGCAGTCATGAAAGGGACAATAATTCCAATGTGTTAACGTGACAAAGAAGCTGTACACCAGTGCTATCAACTAGCGCCTCTCAATGAAGCAGAATCCCTCACCATGGGTCATTTCTCAGATCATTTTCCCTAATCATGAGATACCTTGATCATGATTCATCATTAATCGGGTGTCCTAGTGTCAATGAGTCTACTGGGTATTGAGAATCAGTTTCGAAAACAAAGATACTAGTAGATGAGTGATGCAAGTGGTCAATGTAAACATGAGATTCGGAATGTATTGGTAATGCCATCGATTATTCAACCTACTCTTTCAAAAGAGCAACCTCTTTCATACCATACTCCTTCCTTTTCTCCATCCACCATACCCATTCCATTCCCAACCCATCCTTCAACAAACATTCCAGTCAGACCCATCCTCTCCCTCAAAGAACACTCACCTATCGTGAAGGCAAAAGCTAACCCCATTCTCCTCGCACTGCTCCACGACACACTCATCCAAAACCAGCTTATCTCTATTAACAGGAATCCCACCACCCGTCTTATGGACCTCGCGGAAATGGCGGATGAGTGCCCAGTCATCTTGAAATCCGGCGCCGCAGATGTAGCAGAAGACTGTCATGTTGGTATTTTGATAAGATTGAAGTGGTTAAAATGTGGAAGTTAATTTACTGTTAGAGTTGAGATGTTGAGTTGAGTAGTATGTTAAAAATGTTGAGATGCTGGGAGTTTGCGCTGACGTTGTAGAAGTGAAAATGGAAGAAAGGGAGGGAGGGATTTGTAGGGGTTTGAAGAAAGGGGTGGGGAATCATGGAGGTGCGTTTGGAGAGAATAATTCACTGTGATTTCAAAGTTCTAGGACATGAGATGAATGTAGTTACTTGAAGTGATTTTTTGGTATTTTGATCGGAAACTCGAGACGAGATGAGAAGTTGTGATTGCCAAATGATTGAGGATGTGAGCACTTGACTTCAAGACTGGGGTATAAATGTTTAGATATAGTGAATCGAGTACATATTCTCACTTTCTGAAGTAAATTAAAAAAAAACAATAAAGTCTATCAAAAGTTTTGAGCAATAACATCTTTCTGATCCTCATTATTATGTCTAGCACGAGACACTCTCAGAATCGCTACACAATTAGAAAATACCAGAAATAAAACTAAAAAGAGACACCAAAAGTAATCAAAAGGACTAACCAGTCCAAGAAATGTCTCCAGCACAAACCCCCTATAGACCCTCGCTTAACCATCAAAAAACATCCGAATAAGCACTCAAAGCCACCTGACCCCCCAAATGCGCATACAGCACCCTCCCCCCTTTGATTTCTCCCCTTTTAACTAAATCCACTAACCCCGCCAGACTCTTCCCCTCATAAACCGGATCCGTGATAAACCCCTCCGTCTCCGCGCCAAACCTCATCGCCTGCACCGTCCCCTCCCCGGCAATCCCATACACACCATCATGATACCTCTCATCGAGCTCCACATCCGCTTCCGTTACATCCTGCTCGCTTAACCCAATTTTCGCCGCCGTGAACTTCGCAATGCGCAACACCTGCGCACGCGTCGCGGCTGGTTTGGCGGACGCGTCGATACCGATAATGCGCCGTTTCGGGCAGTTGTGTTTGAGCTCGAGCAGTTTAAAGCCTGCGATCATGCCCGCGAATGTGCTGCCCGTGACGGCGCACACGATGATCGTATCGAAAAAGACGTCGAGCGCGAGTTCCTGCTGTCGGACTTCGAAGGCCCAGCGTGCGAAGCCGAGACCGCCGAGGGGGTGGTCGGAGGCGCCGGCGGGGATGGGATAGGGTTTCCCGCCGGCGGCGAGGACGGAGTCGGTGAGAGATGCGAGTGTGGGTTTGTGTTCGATGCCGAAGGGGGAGGGGTCCAGGATGGGTGAGGCGCCCATGAGGCGGGTGAGTTGGATGTTGCCTACTTTTGAGTAGATGGGGTTGGTGATGTCTACCCAGTGTTCTTGGACGAGTTTGGCCTGGGTTGTGTTAGTGAGAGTTTGTGTATGGGGGAGAGGTTGTACTTTGAGGCCGAGTTTGGCAGCTATACCAGCTACTTGGCGGGTGTGGTTGGATTGTACTCCGCCGATGCTAACGAGAGTATCGCATCCTTGTTCGAGGGCTTCGGGGATGAGATATCTACAAAGTCAGTAAAGCTTTCAACAATCACTTAAATTGAATACTTACTCCAGCTTCCGTGTCTTATTCCCACCAAAAGCAATCCCAGAATTACAATCCTCTCGCTTAGCCCATATCTCAACCTTCCCCCCTAAAGCTTCTGAGATCCGTGGAAGTTGGTGGATAGGTGATGGTCCGAACAGGAAATCAGCTTTCGGGATACTTGCGAATGGTTCTGGAAGCTTTACTGGATCCATTGTGAAGTCTGGATTGATGTAGAGATAACGTTATAACTACGAGTGAAAGAAGGAAAGATATTTGATGTAAGATGTCTTTTTAAGCTTAAAATATAGGAGGACTTACCCGAAAGTAGCCGCTGGTTTCATATCGAGATAGCATGTAGTCCGACGTCGGTATTACTTTCTCTTGGGTGCATGCCATCAAAAGCGGGGTCTCACTATAAAGGCATGTCTTAAGATGACTATCAGCGAAAGTGGGATACCTCCATCCTCTCGCGTTACCGTGTCTGACATAGCCAGCCGATCATGCTGAGCAGCTATTGCAGGTTGTTGAATGTGTAGATGTTTTATTCAAGTCTAAAATATGTGCAATCGTCAGAGCAGCAAGTCGAAGCTTGCGGTAAGAGTATCAAACATTTACCATCACATCCATACTGCTTCATACAACCATATCCAACAACTCACCAGCAAAATCGCCTCACTTCTCATTTGGTCCCGCAATCAGCACCTTGATCCCCTTACCCTCCTTAACATCCTTGAACGCCTGTTCCGCATCCTCAAACTTGACCGTCCCCGTAATAAGCGCCTTAACATCCACCTTCCCACTAGCCACAAACTCCACAGCCAACTTGTAATCACCGCTCCCATACCTAAAACTGCCCTTGCAGGTAATCTCCTTTGTGCACAGCGCCATAATAGGGAAATTGATATCTGGTTTGCCCATACCGCCTTGCACATAGATGCCGCCGCGACGCACGACGTGGATCGATGTTTGGATTGAGGGTTCGGCGCCTGATGCGTCAATCACAGCATCAGCACCACCGACGAGGCCGGTTTCTTTTAGAAGACGTGCGGCGTTTTCTGTGGCGGCGACGCGTTCAGGTGTGAATGTGTGAGTGGCAGCGTACTTTGCAGCGAATTCTAAGCGCGAAGCTTGAATGTCAACGCTGACGATCTTGGATGCTCCGTATGCTTTTGCGACTGCGCAGCAGAGAAGTCCAACTGGACCTGCACCCATGACTACGACTGTTTGTCCAGGCTTGATCTCGGCTTGCTTGACGATATGGACGGCTACGGCGAGAGGTTCGACGAGCGCGCCTTCTTGCAGAGTAACGTGGTCTGGAAGTTTATAACAGAAATCCTCGGGCGATGACCAGAATCCTGTGAGTGTGCCGTCATATGGAGGTGTGGCTGCGAATCTCATGTCGTCGCAGAGATTATAATGGCCACTCAGACACGGCGTGCATCTTCTGCAGGGCGTTCCTGGTTCCAAAGCCACGCGGTCTCCCACCTTGACGCTCTTGACGGCATCTCCAACTTGTGTGACGGTTCCGGATGATTCATGACCTAGTACCATGGGGTTCTCGACGATGAAGTCGCCGATGCGACCTTCCACCCAGTAATGAACATCGCTTCCGCAGATTCCGGTGTAGTTTACTGCGACCAGTACATCGTGAGGGGAAGATAGGGTTGGTTTGGGCTTTTGTTCGAATTTGACATCGAATGGTTTGTTGAGAATGAAGGAAAGATTCTGGTGTAAAGAGTTAGTACTTTGACGATGATGCAACAGGATTAGGTTATACATGCGCTTTGTTCTGCCATTTTGTTTCGTATTGATGATTTGTCGCGGGCAAAAGTATGAGAGTATCCAAGTCGAGGAAAGGTATATGAAGAGAGCTTGAGAAAGGATTTAAAAAGTATTCTTCAGTCCCAAGGAGGAAAACTGTAGCTCCTCTTCCAGGAGCTCGTCACCCCCACCAAGCGATGCCCCGCAGTGGTTTTTGAACACACGATCTCCGCTATAAATCCCAAGCTCAGTTTGCATTTAACCTGATTTACCCGCCCCTATCAGATTCACGAACGCGCCGGTGCAAACCGAGGGGACGGTTGACAACAGCATCTCGGCCTGGAATAGTGATGTTTTGGACAGCATCTGGTCCAGAGAGGAGTGGGCGTAGAGCTAGGAAATGCGAAGTTTTCTGCCATCACGAGATGCGTTTATGCATTTCATTCTGGTGTTCTGAAGGGCAACGATGTAGCTATTCGGAAAGGATGAAGGCGATTGATTCTGTGGAACGTTTTGTTTTGTTTGCGATGCCGAGAAATTAGAGACGTGACTGTACGAGTACTCGGGGACGCGATCGCAGCGACCTTGCGGGCCGCACGACGCCGAGCATTCTCCCGACTGGTGTAACCTTAATCTGCACGTGATGGATGTTTGGCTTTCTACGAATTTTGCGACCCTTGCGATGGCGACTACATACATAAGGTACCTAGTTGATCAACTCCCTGTCCATCGAAAACATATACATAAGATACGTGGTCAGATGGTCCACTCCAAGCTCATAGCGCTGGTAGACAAGGAATGCTCATAGTTTCCACTATGGAGCTTCGAAGGTGTTCCTGCTTTCACGTCCACAGGGCCCGGACTTGACGAATACACCGAATCAATGACGATGCACATGATTATCTATCATCGGTTGTATGGCCTGGATAGAGCCCGAGGATTGCGAATTCTGTGAGTTGCGAGGGGTTATTCATGAAGAATTTACTTCCCATAGGGCCCGGGAGCCCGGAAATATATCCAGCTCTATGTGCAGATGAATTAGTATCATCTCCTTTGGGAGTCCAAAGATGCCGCCATATCTACATAGGTAGCTACAAGCCATCATGTTTTCCCATGCGGCCTGCTATTCCTCTTCCCAAGACAAGGAACATATCTGCCACCATCCGGACATTTACACTTGTCCTACCTATCGATAGCGATGTTGGAACCAGCGGTATTTGTCTTGCTCGAGCTTTGGTCCAGCAACTTTCCTTCTTCTACCTTCATTGTATTTTTGATAGTTGAATAGGGCTTGTTTGCTTGCACCACTGCTCGTTTGGGTGTACCGAATCCTTCTTCACCAACCAGCAAAGCCAATCAATCACGCGTATGATTGAGACTGAATAAGTTCTTGGTCTTTTGGCTGTGATTACTTGGTACTCTATCGTGAATCGGATCCGGCTCGTTGCTTACGACGCTAGTCTAGCTTGGCTAGCTCCATTCCAATATAAAGGGGTTCTGGGGTAAACCCATGTCACTCGGTAAGCTGATGATTGGACTGAATACACGTCTCATCCACGTTGGAAAGCCAAGCTTACAGCCACCCATCACTGCCGCCGAGGCAAACAACGACTTCATCTCCTCAACAAAAATCGAATCTTGCTTCATTCTATCCAAATCATCATCAACTGAAGCAGAGATATCGAGTCCATCGTCAACCATGGCGAACCTGAAAACCGCATTTCTCGAGGCGCGAATGACCAAAAAGCCTCCTTTTACGGTTGAGGTTGCAAACAGCCCTTCGGTGCCTGGTGAAACCATACCACGAAGAAGTGTCCGGTCACCAGAAAAGCTTCTCACATCACCAGATGATGCAAACATCGCAACTGTCTTTGATATCGTGAAAGAGAGCGCCAGAAAATATGGAGACCTCAGAGCTGTTGGGTCAAGGAAACTGATCAAGACACATCACGAGACCAAGAAAGTAAAGAAGGTCGTGGATGGCAAAGTGCAAGAGGTTGATAAAAATTGGACGTACTTTGAACTCAGCGGGTATACCTATCTCAACTTCAAGGAGTATGAGACTTTGGTGTTGCAACTGGGAAGCGGATTGAGGAAATTGGGACTGCAGCCTCATGAAAGGGTGCATTTGTTTGCTTCTACTAGGTAAGCCCTGTTTCCTACGCTCGGGACTCCGAGATGGAACGTCCAGTGACCAACCTGAACGCGGTTCGTGATGTCAAGATTCCCAGCCCGGGGTTTGTGATACTGGTCAAACTCTGATATTCCCGTCGAAACTTACGCATATCTTACTGACAATATTTGTAGCGCACATTGGCTGTCTATGGCTCACGGAGCGATGTCACAATCGATGGCTATTGTGACAGCTTACGACACGCTGGGCGAGGAAGGACTCCGTACCTCTCTGGTTGCAACCAAAGCCAAGGCCATCTATCTTGAGCCACGTCTTATCAAAATGTTCATTAAGACTCTAGATCATGCCAAGGACATTGAGTACATCATTTACAACACAGATTCTGAGACTGAAATTGACGAAGCTGATCTGGAGACATTGAGGAAGTCACATGAGCATCTGACTGTATTGAGCTATGAAGATCTGAGGCAGACCGGAGCTGTTGATCTAGTCGCGCCTACACCACCAAAACCCGAAGACCTTGCATGTATTATGTATACTTCGGGTTCTGGTGGACCACCTAAAGGAGTGGAGCTGACACATAGTAATGTCGTGGCAGCCGGTAAGTCATCACTGACAAGGTTATGTACTTTGTGATGCTAATACCGTGGACAGTTGCTGGTGCAGATAGCTCGGTAGGCGACTATCTTGGAGCGGGCGATACTCTTCTTACCTACCTGCCACTCGCGCACATATTTGAATTCGTTTTCGAAAATGCCTGTCTCTTTTGGGGTGGAACTATGGGATACGGCTCAATCAGAACCCTCTCTCAAGCCAACTGCCGCAATTGCAAAGGAGATATTGAAGAATTACAGCCAACTTTGCTCGTGGGAATTCCAGCTGTCTGGGAACAGGTCAAGAAAGGAATCGAGGCTAAAGTGGCGGCTGGTAGCCCGCTTACCAAAAAGATCTTTTGGGGGGCTTATGCTATGAAGAAGTAAGTGATTCTCAGATCTCACTTCTATAAGCCTAGCAGATGCTAACCATCATAGATTTCTCATGGCGAAGGGCCTTCCTGGCTCCGCCTTCTTGGATATTCTCGTCTTCAACAAAGTCAAGGCTGCAACAGGTGGACGTCTTCGATTTTGTATGAACGGTGCAGCGCAGGTAGCCAGAGAAACTCAGCTTTTCATCTCGCTTGCAATAGCACCAATGATCAACGGCTACGGCATGACCGAAACCTCTGCGTAAATACTCCCCACATCCATATCCATATCCATCCTCGCTAACTATTTTCAGCATGGGCGCCCTCTGCAACCCTGGCGCCTGGACAGTCGACGCCCACGGCGACATCCCAGCCACAGTCGAGATCAAACTCGTAGATTTCCCCGACGCAGGATACTTCTCGACTAACACCCCACGTCCTCAGGGCGAAATCTGGATTCGCGGCCCTAGCGTCACGCAAAGATATTACCAGGATGAAGAACAGACTAAAGACGCCTTTGAAGATGGTTGGTTCAAGACGGGTGATATTGGGGAGTGGGACGAGAATGGCCATATTAAGATTATTGATCGGAAGAAGAATTTGGTGAAGACGCTTAATGGGGAGTATATTGCTCTTGAGAAGGTAAAGCCCTCACCACTCAAATCGCTGAGATCACAACTGATATTTGACCAGCTCGAGTCCGTCTACCGCTCCGCCACCGTAGTAGCGAATCTCTGCGTCTACGCATCCATCACCGAGACAAACCCAATCGTCATCATCGTCCCCGCTGAACCAGCATTAATCAAACTCGCCGAATCCATTGGTGTTGAGGGCCATGGAATCGGTGATCTCGTCCATGATCCCAAGATCCAGACGGAAGTCCTAAAGCAAGTCCAGGCTATTGGTCGGAAAGCTGGATTGGCGAGTATGGAAATCGTCACTGGTGTGGTGCTTGCTGATGAGGAGTGGACGCCTGTTAATGTAAGTCATATCCAGGAAGGGATATGGGTGCAATGCTGACTTGTGTAGGGTCTGGTGACGCCGACCAATAAATTGAATCGTAGAGGTTTGGTCGAGAAGTACAAGACTGAGATTGAAGCCGCTTACGAGGCAGGCAAAGGGAGATAATTGATTTAACTAGCTGAGGAGAGGCGAGAAGGATACCCTGTATTCTAGTGGCGTTGGATAGGGAGCGAGTTTGTTCAATTTCCTATGCCTGGCTTTCAAATCTATTTTTACTAATAACATTAAATTGTTTTTCCAACCAGAATTTCAATTTTATTTCTGTTTACTGGCAATTCTTACCATTCAGATCTATTTTTACTTATTGACATTTATCATTACATAATTACAAACACTGCTTATCTACACAATTCTCCCTAGCTAAACAACCCTCAACATACTCCCCCTCAACCCCCTACTCTCTACACTCGTCGCCTTCCCATCCACCCCCATCACAAACGCAAACTCATCCGCCGCCACCCCGCCAATAATCGGCGAATCCCCCGTCGCCCACGTCGAACAAGTCAAGATCCCCGTCCCCTGATTCTCGCCATTATTCTCAATCGCCGCGCGCCACGCCTCTTTTCTCCCGCCGACCGAATTCGTAAGTCCAGTCGGGTAAAGCGTCATACTGATACTGCTTGCCGGTAAATTCCCGCGTAGCAGGCCGAAAATACCGAACATATCCGTGCCGTTGCTGATGAGCGATGTGACTACGAGACCTAAACTCCCTGGGTTCGTGACGAGCGTGATACTTGAATTCAGAGTCTCGCTACGGTATGTACCAGCGTACTTCTCATTTGCCTCAATTCTCGCGGCTTCTTCGACTGAGGGGAGTACAAGCTCGTTGACAAGCGTTCGCACGGCATGGTTCAGCACACTTGGTTTACCAGGCGCATCAGCGATGATAATCGAGTATCCAACATCCCAATCCGGAATCACCGCAAATGAAGCGTGATACGACCCCAAATCCCCAGATTTCCCATAAATATCTACGACCTTCTCCTGTGGCGCGGGGAGACTAATCCGTTCAATTTCCCACGGCGCGCCGACAGAGAACCGCAGGTCCGCTGTATGCGTCAACGGCTTCATCCAGCGCCTCGTCATCGGCGCGGGAATCAGCTTCGAGCTTAAGATGGAGCGGCCGATGACAGCGAGGTCGTTTGCCGTCGAGTAGAAGCCGCCGGCGGGGTTGTAGTCATTTCCTGGGAGTCCCCATGCGGTGGACGGGTCTGGGGAGGGGATGACGCCACGGGGGACGGAGAGGGGGAGTTGGTAGGAGGTGCCGGTTAGGTTTAGGGGGGTAATGAGGGAGCGGGTGAGGAGGGTGGTGAAGGGGGTTGAGGTTATGTTTTCCAGGGCGTAGCCGAGAAGTTGGAAGGCTGTGTTGGAGTAGATGGGGGTTGTGGAGGGGGCGAAGACGGGGTGGCGTTGGTGGGTTAGGGTGAGGAAGAATTCTGGGGGTGTTAGTTGGGGGTGGTTCCAAGGGTAGTATTTTGTTGCTGGTGGTTTGTAGGTATATCGAGTGTTGAGGGAGGTGAGAAACTGACCTTCTCGAGTGCAAAATCCTGGTTGAGCACAAATAACGAAATCCGAAGCATTCAACTGCGGAATCCCACTCCCAGCCGGGAATTTCCCAAGAACCGACAGCAAATCCCCAGTATCTACTCCTATTAGCTCTCCTCATAACAGCTCACTAAACATCAACTTACAATCCCTCGCAATCCCACCCATCTGACTCGCCAAATTCCCAACAGTAACCGCCCTCCAATCCACCACATCCGCCGCATTCGCAGCAGCATCCTGCACCTGTACAACCTCCGCGAGCTCAGGAACAAAATCCGTAATCGGATGATTGAAATATCTATCCCCCGCTTCAATCAAGAACACATAAACCGTGAGCAGTTTCGACACACTGCCGATCCTGAAAATGCTGTCCGCGTCAACGACATGCGTGCCATTTGAAGTGAGGAGTGTAGGTGCGCTGTATTGGTAGTTGTAGAGGGAGGTGTTGGTGTGTGTTGAGAAGATGTTGACGGAGAGGGATGTGGTGTTGGGGAAGAATTGGGCGGTTTGGAGACCGGATTTTAGGGTGCTGGTTAGGTTTGTGAGGGCGGTTTGAAAGATTGTGCTATTTTGGAGGGATTTGGGAGATGGGAAGTCGGGGCCGAGGAAGGGACATTGTTTGATCGCTGTGGTGAGTTGTGGTGTTAGTATGAGTGAGCACAAAACTCGCTTAGCGACGAGGAACTTCATTGTTGCGTGACTGGGAGAAATTATCAGGAGGATGAGAGTAAGTAAAATCCACGATGATTATCTTTCGAATAGAATGTAACTTTGGGCTTTCATCTCATATTAATACAAAATACCTCTCGTAACTCAATTCTATCAATGAAACTCCGCCTCGCTAAACGTCATTGAGCCTCAATTGTATGTGTGGCACGTCGTACGCCGCACGCTACCAACGATACGACGCGACCACTAAGAACTTTGACATAAGGAAGCGAGGCACAGTCATCCGAATGGAGACTTTTACCCCATGTTTCCTGGAGCTGGTCTCTCTCCTCCTTACTTGATCGATCATTATGTTGCCGACAGATGTTGTTTCCTTTGGGTATTCGCGCCAAGCAGGCGCAATGCACATCCTTGTGCCAGCATTGACAACACAATTTAGTGGCTTTCGGATGGTGGTTTTGGGAATTTGGAAGAAGTTTTTCTTGAATCTCTTGAGAGAGGCTAAAATTACCTAAGAAGTGTAAAGTTGTGGACGTGTACCTCGTCCAAATGCAGTAGACGGTCGAAAACACCATTTTCTTCACCCAAAGATTACACAAGTTTACACACGTTTTAAACTTGCAGGTGGCAGACGGATGGAACTCGAGATGTTCCCTTCCGCTATGATTCGCTAACCCTTCAGCCACATTTACAATGTCTGCCTGCCATTGATCGACGCTAGACCCTGTGAACCCTAAGATTTGATGACTGAAATTGCCTTACGACCAAGCAGACCCATGAAAGTATTCAGCTGCTGCACACGTAGAGATCCGCTCGTAGCTATATACTTGACTAAGCAACAGATCACCGCACGTAAGTTTTGTGAACAAGCAACTCAAGCGATTCCGAACCCGAGCCAGTAGAGTTGGAATACTAGGTTCAACGAATTACGCGAAAACAAAAGTGCAAAAACGAGACTTCATGTCCTGGTTGAAAGTTGGGTTAATTAAAGTCTTCCTCAACTTTTAACGTGTGTCTACAAAATAATTGAGTTCTTTGTCTTAAAGATAATGGGGTGTTGCATCGGTAACTGGTTCAACACAATTAATTATTGCAATTACGAGGTACTCAAACTACTCAAACAACTTATGAGTTAGTCGAATATTAGTTAAGTTGGGTTTAACTTGAATAATAGACGCGACTCAACTCAACTCAACTGATTTTACACTACTATTAATAATTTCACAAAAATGATAACTTACCATTGACGGAATCAAGTAATGTCATTTTAGCTCACGGTTATTAGTCGTCTGTTCTTCACTTTTCATCAGTTGTGTCACAATTCAAGCTTCAATATATCTTGACCCGTTGCTGAGGCAAACTCCTATCATCCCTTCCACCCTGTCCCAAACATCGGCTCGCACGAAGAGAGATTTTTCCTTGCCGGGCATTAGGAATTCAATCGTCTTCTCCATATAGTGCTTGACTAGGGTCGTGGCTACAACTCGCGCCCTGTATTTGCAAACAACGTATGACTTAGAAGTAAACGTAAACTAAACAAACATCGCTCATTCCTACGAACTTCAATGTCCACGCTCTTGATGTAAACAAGCAGCCACGTTTTCAATATCCCTGATCAAGTTTGTAGATACCGTTCATAAAGATGGTGCAACTGTGCATCATCTGGAATCTGGCGTGATTTGGGGTTCTAGTAAGAGCTGTATTGCGGAAGTTAGGTTGGACTACTAAGCGTGCATAGCGAGAAGCAGATTGTGGTGCGAGGTCTGTTCGAAGTTCTTAACATAAAGATTCTTCTATTCAATCACAGATAGACGTATGTTCCTTACAAAATCCTATTATATTTCCACAGACTCAGACGCTCTATACATAATGTTGAATAAGTACCGCGCCCAGCTCCCTCCCATCTACCCTTCTCTCATATCTCCCACACCACCCAACCCTTTTTCGCCTCCCCTAAATAGGTCTCACAAACTCAATACTCCCCGCTCCATTCGGAGAAATACAAGTCCCCTGCGCAAGCGTCGGCCCATCCCCCTTACAATCCCCCGTGGTTTTCGCTACACCGAATCAGCCCTCAAACTTACTCACCCTAGATTACAACTTACAAACAAAATAAGCACCCGCAGCGCCATCACCAGTGACTAAATACAACGCGCCTGTTTTGCCATCGACGCCGTGGCAGGAACCCTCGGAGGGAGAGGCGTGGAAGAGGATGTTTCGGTCGTTGTTGCTAGGGGTGTGAGTTATGGGGGGTGAGGGGGGGAGAGAGAGTTACCAGTCATCGATGGTGGCGTATTGATTGAGTTTGGAGTTCTTTTGGGGGGCGGCGAGGGTGAGAGAGGTGAGGAGAGCAACGAGGACGGTGGATGTGAACTGCATGTTGATGGTTTTGGGGTGCAAAGACGGGTAGGTTGTATTGGTAGGAGTAAGGTGGATGGTGATTGAGGAGGTGAAGGGTGAAGAGGAAGTTGTTAGAAGGGGGAAATGGCTGGTCTTATATAGCGGAGAAACTGTCAAGAGATGTGTAGAGACTCATTAGAAATGACGAGGCCTCGTCACCTAGTCGTCTGAATATACCTCAACTAGCATCAGTACGTGAGATAAATTTGTTCTGCTGATCTCAATGTCCATACGAACATGCAAATAGGCGTAACTCCTTCATTCTCGGCCTAATTAATTTTGATCGTCTGGACAGAATCACTTGAAAACATCGTCTCGGGTACAATTCCATGTCTACTTTTGAGTCAAACTCCCAGTATTCGACGCGTCAATATAGCTGGTGAGATTAAATCCTAGCCATCATGTCACACACTAGAGGCACAAGATTTGTTCAACCAGGGGAGTCGTGTTTGAGTAGTATTGACATGACATAAAGTTCAGAGTTGTGGTATGTTTTATGGCTGATCATGTAAGCAAGGGCGGGTTTCATAGGGTCCTGTGAGAAAAAGAATCATCATCTTAAACTAATTGAGTGCTCCGTCTTTGGCTCAGAAGATTGCAACCGAACCCTTCAATAAACAGAGATACGCAAGTGTGTATTCATGAAGAATTTGAACGTATACGGAGTGGCTCTTTGTACCGTGAACTATATTTATAATCTGATGATCAGACAAGACGAGTACAATTAGGGACCCTGAGCTGGACAAAGAATGTTTCTCGTTCATTACCCTTAGGAGCTTCCGGATGTAGGTACCGAGACAAATGACGATTAGGCTTGTGGTTTCTAGACCATCAGCATGCGGCCGCCCACCACAAGGGTAGGGGAATACCCAGGAAGTAGTACAACAGGAAAGTAATATGCAGATCTTATCCTACTGCCGGAAGACCAGGAGATCAGATGCGGCCGACAGCCAGAATAAATTGATGTCAAAAGAAACTGGTAGAAAATTACCAGGCTAGCTGAGATGAAGCATAAAGCATGAATTGGAGAGCGGTGGCTATGAGGTATGGCGTACAACCCCATTGAGGAACTGGAAGATGATTCGTATGGGGAGAAAAATGTAATATCGTTCCCCCAAAGCTTATGCCATAAACGAGAAGCTTGACATGAAATCCAAGCTCTCGCTTAAGGTCGACCAGTGTTAAAGGGGTAACGACGATCATCAGAGTAAGCTTAGATCGTGTAATCCGGAGACACGAACTTACCATAAAGATTAAACAACGCCTCTAAAAGGTTAAAAAGGTTCATCCGAATGCCAGGGGTGATGTAAAGACTGGAAATGCAAGACAATGGGAATGATTCATGTTCTCATGTTAGCAAAAGCCGGCTCAGATTTACAAGCAGATCAAAATGCCTGCCTTGCCAAATGTACAGTCATTTCACTCTGATATACATTGGATATAGATCTGCATCGACAGGCACTGGAGAAGCGTAAATGGAGGATACTGCTGAAACGACACCGCAGCGATGCCATCATCACATGATGCGATAAGATGGCACAGTTGCGGCTCATCACTCGTCTTGACTATTCGAGTAGTGATGCCCACCTCGCTGGCGTCACCCACGTTTAGAAAAGCCAGAGTCACATATTCAAAGCCAGCATCGAAGTACAGCAGTACGTGCAAAATTCGGTTGGTAATAATCAGTAGAAAGTTTATAAATCATTAGATCCTGAAGCCAAGGTGTACGCGCTCACATATTTCTACCTATGCTTAGGGTTACCTTGATATGGCGCAGCTGTCGAGGTCTTCGTCAAGCTTTCTGGACCCATCTCTGGAGGGGAACTCCAGCGCTGGAACCTCATGCCTTTGATTCCCGAAGGCACATGGGCTGTAGTCCCTAGCCAATGAACAAAAAGTCAGACCATTGACTTTGATCTTTTACTCGACCTTGTTGCTGCTTACTGTGCATCTTTGAAAGTGCTCAATATGGGAAATCGAATGAGCCCGATCTAAGGGTATTTTCTATGGGTAACTTACCAACTCGGTTCGAAGCGTTCCCATTTCTTGAAGCATATCACTACTTGTGTCACGGAAGTATACCTTTGGGACATCGGATAAGTAAGTAATCGTACTAATAACCCCAAATGTTAATAATCATTCTTTTGAGTGTACATGAGACCTTCGTCTGCTATTCGTGCTTCGACGCTACTGATTGGTTCGTACCGAGTAGGAAAAGATGCACAAAAGACTTGAGTAAAGAGCTAGAGAATTGACACTCCCCTGCTAGCTGGAACTTTAGTACGCTAGAAATGTTATTACTTTGCTTCGAATCGACAGTAATTGAGCGATGGACGAAGAGTTATGATGATGTTCGAATTTCCTCAACTTCTGATGTCGTCAACTTCTTATGTCGACAAGACGTGGATCACGCCGTCATGAAAGCATTTTTCACCGGCTTCAATCGCTCATTCTTGATCGATTGAGTCCCGGTAGTCGGACCTGGAATTCCTCGTTTCGTCAACCAGTTCAAAGGCAATGAGCTCATGGGCAGATACGTGGATGACCACATAAGTTGTTTGTCCAACGAGACTGGAAAGCATCGATTTTTTCAATTTCTTAGGATACTCCAGGTAGCCGGTTGTTAATCGTATTCCGTGGGTGTCATTCCGTCTCACTTGAGAGCGTTTGAACAGACTCCAGAATTTCTGTCCGTAGCCAGCTTTTCCAGTATTCAAAGTCGATGAACCTGGGTTAGATGAAGACCAAGTCCGAGTCCATACGATACATATCTCGACTGAGCGGTGCGGCTGATTGAGTGTCTCTGGATTATATTGACGTTTTCCCTCGAGATTGAGTGATAGTTGGGCTTCCAAGGTGGTGTTTCCAAATCTAACATTGGGGGTACCGAAAAGTTTCTGTCCAGAAACCACTGTCCACAACGCTCTCTTCCCGGCGTTCAGACAATCTGCCAGGACATATGGTGAAGCTGCGTCGCTTCATCGCTTTTTGCTACATTTCACAGAACTCGCTGGTTTCCAGAGTTTACCTGCGCACCAAAATCCGGCATAGGATAGAAAGGTAAGCAGCTAGGCCTGATAGTGCATGTTCTGGTCAATGCAGCCGCCGTAGATCTCAGAGTCGTGCTTATTTTTCAGACCTGTAAGATCCATCGGATGAGATATACTTTCCTAGTTTAACATCACATGCCGAACTTCCCTTAGAGTTCTGTGAGATGGATCGACGATTTTAGCTGCATGAGGGTTACCGATTGCAATGGTTTTAACTGGCATGTTGTAGAATTTTCTTAATATATCAGAAAGAGGTGCGGTCTCTTGGACATCATAGTATAGATGGAGATAAAACGAGACTTCGAGAAGTGTAACGGGGAAGAGCAAGTGCAACAGCAACTTCTGACGACGAGAATACGAAATGCGGGGAGCGCTAGAGTGGATTAGTCAAAGCGGACATAAGCAGGGTTTGTCAGGCTTTGATTCGCTCGACGGCGACTTAAACATTCCGGCATGCAGCTGTGCTCTGCTTGGCAAAAACATGTGAATTTGGCAGATGACCCTAAGAGGTCGTTTGCAGGCGGTTGAGGAGGGGGCACGTATTCTCATTCACTCGTTTTGAGGTTCAAGTGCTTTTTGTATATCTTATACTCTACATTCTTCAATTCCCTGTTTCGGTTTCTCCTTCACTCTCTTGTGGTAGAGTCGTTTAAGCTACAAGTCGAGCTCATCAATTGTCGTCAGAAACTGTTGAACGGAGCTGAGTATGTACCGCCTACTCCACCCACGTCAGCTATGACTGAGAAGCTAATCAGAGATTAGGAGCTGGTAGGAGAAGGATCGAAAAAAGCAATATACCTAGAATCGTACGGCCCTATTCCTTACGAGTATTTCTACATCATCGACCGAACGACCCGAGACGAACCACCACTCAACACTTTGAATTCGAATACAATCACCTATAACGAACTACCTCCATCACACCTCCAAGCTGTCCCCATCATGTCTGCAGATGGCCAGAGCCCGAAAATCTACAGACCGAAACCTCGACGACCATTCGATCACAATGCCGCACCTCATCAACCACCAAGTCCACTCCTCCCCCATGACCAAGCAGACGAAACGCCATCTCGAACTCACTCCGTATTGAATCTCACATCTTCGACGCTACTTGGCATATACTCCCCAACAGGCTACGACCGTGACAATACCGAACCATCCACACCATGGGGGACAGGCGCGGAAACCCCATATAATGAGTCCCCACGGCCTTCCATGTCTCGAACATTGTCAATACCTCGTCCAGTGCCAGTACCATCTACGAGTTCAAGGTTGTTTTCCACGGCCTGGAGGACCATTTTATTATTCGGCATAGGCATGGGCTATGGAGGTCTCGTACGACATCTACACGATGACAGGAAACTGGCTGCGTTTCAGGTGGAAGGAATCATAAAACCAAGGGATGACTGGACATATCTCGTATTCTGGGGGGTTGCTGGAGTAGCATTGGGGAGTCTGTTACCTTATATCGATACGCTGATGTACCCACCGACATCAGAGAGAGTAGACTCGGGCAGTGTCTCGAAGAGGCGACTCTCAGGCCCCGTGGACGACGAGAACCTCGATTCCAGCGGCCTCCTAGGCGCAGATTGGACACCAGCCATCCGAAGCGTCGGCGCCTTCGTCGGTATAGCTTACGCGATTGTAATTCTCCCCGCCCAATCTCTGACCAAAAGCTAACATCCACAGCGCAAACTCCCCTGGGCCTCATCCCTCCAAGCCTCCCTAACACTCTTCCTCGTCAACCCCGTCCTCTGGTACCTAATCGACCGGTCCGTCCCCGGCTTCGTCCTCTCCTCTGCCGTCGGCGCAGCCGGCACAGCGTTGCTCCTCGCCTCGAACCCGGATATGATGCCTTCGCCCGCCACTTACGGACGTACATCCAACAACTCCCTCTCCCACACTGAGATCCTGGGCGAACTGCAGGTTATGGGTGTGGAAGTGGGGGATTATGTTAGTAGAGAGAGTATTGAGGGTGGTATTTGGATTCTGAGTGTGTTGTTCTGTAGTTGTGTGTGTTTTGGGAATATTGGGCGGAGACTTGCGTTGAGTGGGGTAGGGGTACGGGTGTAGGGGGGAGGGGAAATTGTAAATTCAAATGGGTTTTGTAGGACGAAAAAAAGGGAATTGGACACACTTGAGGTATTCAATTGTATGATTTTCGGGCTTTCTCGGATTGGGATGGAAAAGGTTGGTCGATTTTGCATTGGTTGGATATACCAAAAGGGGGATGAGGGGACTTTGCATTGCTAAACAGGATATAACCTTAAAAACGACTGCCGCTCGAAAACAATCGATTGTTTTAGCTCATGCATCTCGAATAAACTGGTCATGGAGCAAGATATCAGACACTCCACTGACCAGATTTCCATGTTTTGGGTACATGAGATCACATGCCCTCGTAACAGAAATAAGCCTGTTCGAAAGCAAACGAGCTAATCCATGTCGCCGCTTCAAGTTTTTAATTTTCTTTCACGCTTATACCTCTCACTATTGCGTGAGCGATCTAGGTTAAATGAGAACGATACGTGTTTTCTACGCATGAGACTTCGGTTCTCTGCTAAATCACAACACAGATCCACGTCATCTTTTCAAAATACCTTCGGGTTCTTGTTTTTCATGTCGTACTTCTTTAACTCCTCCTTGCCAAATCATCTTCACTGTTTCATTCCATCCTTGCGTCTTCAGACCGCTCTTCCCGCTTAGGAAACAGCTCTTTTCATATCCCCAAGACATCCATCTTCTCCCTCTATTGAATTTCACGCGTTGTAATATACACGCTACACAAATACCACAATCCCATTGTCTTCCCACTACAAAACTACCATTTCCCTCCCACCAAGAACATCCCGCCCTTATACTCTAGAACACAAAGCATACCAGAAATCTCCCACCGCTGTCTTCCCCACCGCTTCCCCAGTCCTCTTCCCGGTCCAGAATCAGAAGTCCGCACAACCCTCATTGTTCTCCCAGGAGACCCGCAACCTTACTTTATGAGATCAAATTAGCTATGATACGGACTTCATCTACGAATGCAAGTGGAAACCTGTGGAAAGCACTGATAATATATGAATACGCACGACTCGTTCTCCCGCTTCACAAGCTCGCTCGTGATTCGTCTGTGTATAGGGAAAGAGGTAGTGGGGATGTAGTAGATTTTCATTATATCTAGATTCAAAATGGGAAGAATAGCATAAAAAGTATGAGATTTGAATATAGGGAAATCCGGGTTCATTGGCTGAAATGGGAGGTGTGATATATATACTTATCACCCATCTAGGACACCTCATGGTGATTCCATGGCTCTCGTATCTAGCAAGCTGAGTATTTCGGTAACAAGTCTTAAGTCAAGGGAAGCAGGGTTTACTGGTCTTTTGTATGAGTCTTTCAAACTCATTTCTTCGCCACGGTTGACCTTCACCCTGACAAAACTGTAATGCTACAGGGTGTGAAAGTATCCCGGAAAGAGCTATGTTATTCTATCTCCATATGGTGGAGAGGTAGAGCAATGGCTTAGTGACGAGGTAGTGTTGGAATGGAAAGACATGAAGAAGTGGCAACATTACTATATTCAAGGAAGTCGAGGTTCAAGGCTATATAGACACTCCAAAACAAATTCGCATGGATTTAAAATTTGCGAATAGTGCGATGACGAGTCGGGTTTAGATAAGAAACACATCGTCATTCAACTCGATTTCACAAATACCATCCTTGAAATTAAAGGTATCTTATACCCGAGGAACATTTAAGTATGCTAGATAAACCCGACATGCTGTCATATTTGTTATTACTGGACTCTAAACACCAGATCAAGTTTCCAACACTCAAACAAAAAACTATGTGGATACGGTCGAATACTCCAATAAGTGAAGCACTGACACTCTTATTTTAGCGTAGACGAGAGGTGTCTATGTGCGTATAAAGGCAATTTGTCAGTAAGAGAAGGAAAGAGATTAATAAATCATACCTATCTCGTATTAACACACTAATCCACCTTTTCCAAACCCCCTTATTTCGACCTAGGAAATCAGCCGCTAACCTCAAAGAGTCTTGAGAATTAACTTTCTGCCGCGTAAAGAAGGATATAGGGAGGGAGGGGAATAGCTTGGTATCTTAATTGTATGGGAGAGTGATGTTCTAGGTTTGGGAGGTGGACTTGATGGGAAAGGAGGTAGTTCTTTTCTTGGATTCTGGGACGATGATGCATGTCTTCCAATACGCGGCGCGCTCCTAGATTTTCTCGGACGGAGAAATGCGCTGTGGAGAGCTACTGTGGAGATGGAGGAAATGACAAGTTTCTTAAGCGCCGGAGTTCATTGAGAAGTGTTAGAGTGGAGAATGAATAGGAAGGAGCTGGCAAATGAATTTCGATAACTGTCAAATGGACAGGTATATTCGATGGTTCGTTTATTGTCATTTTCATCTGCTCAGGTGAGTTAGTGGAAAAGGTGATTCTGCTGTGGCAAACTACCTGTTTTGAACTGGGTTTGTAGACATTATATTCGTTCTGATCACCATTCAAATCATCCAAGATCCATCATCCATCTGATTTGAAGCCGTCCACTTCTCCAAAAAGTAAGACTCCTTTAACACTTAAAATTTTCTATTTCTAACTCCCCATCCATTATGAAATCATATCTACACACTCCCTTTTCGCCCTTTTCAATACCCAAAACAATTCGCAAAATAAGTAACACTAGCAACCCAATCCGAAAACACCCCCCTAACACCCACCTCCCTAATCATCACATCCAGCGCCACCATCGCATCCCCATCCTTCGTGATCGCCGGCGCCACACTACTATAATAATACTCGCCAGTGGCATTAACCGTCGCCAGGGGTCCCGAACGCTCAAAACTCCAGACCACGATATCGAGGCCCAGACGCTTCGCCTCCTTCGCGTAAGGCGAGGGGACGATCTTGTTGTTGGCGTCTAAGGAGAGGACGCCCGGGATGGACGGCGCGACGGTGGTGATGCCTTTTGATTTATAGGTTGTGAGATTGGCGACGGCGGCGGCGTAGCCGGCGGGATTGACGGTCGGTTCGTCGAGGAAGAGGGCTTGTTTGCCGAATGCCGGGTCGGATTTGAGCCAGTAGTAGAGGTCGTCGATGAGGAAGGATTGGGGGAAGACGCGGTTGGGTTTGATGCCGGCGGTTTTGAAGGCGTCGATCATTTGTTGGGCGTAGGCGGCTTGGGTGTAGGTTGAGTTGGCCGAGGGGAAGGGCATGGGGACTTCGGGGGTTTTGAGTTCTGGTGTGAATTTGAGGCCCAGGTTGTCGACCAGTTTGATGTAGTCGTTGAGGGTTTGGACAGTGCCGCAGGTGGAGTAGAGATCGGTTCGCCAGGTTGGCGTGCCGGCGATGTATTGCTTGACGGTTGTGGCATTGGGGTTGAATCCGTCCATTTTTCCGCAGAGGGTCTTGAATTCGGCTTCGGTGATGTCGGAGGTGCAGCATTTTGCGCTGGCGGGAGCACCGTTGGCTGCTGGTGTGAAGTTCTTGGTGCATTTCGCGGCTAGAGGAGTTGCGAGGATGTTGGTGGTGGTGTGAAGATCGCATTGAGCGTGTCGACAGACGAGTTTCTTGTCTTTGGTAAATACAACGTCGCATTCCAAGATTCCAGCACCCATTCGTGCTCCAGCTAAAAGAGATTCTGAGGTTTCTTCTGGAAATTGTAGAGGTGCTCCTCGATGACCGATCGACATGTCTGTTGGACGGAAAGGGCCTTCTGAACAGGATTCCAGTTTTGACTTGAGCGGTCCGTCGTCCATGTTGTTGATCAGATAATACGGACGAGGACCGAGTTCTGCATTTTTGATCTTTCCATGCCAGTTATTGCCATGATTATTAAATCCCCAACTTCTCCTTTCAAGAGACTCTTTGCCTTGAGGAGCTGCAACCACGAAGCCAGCAATTACAGTCAGCGAGAGAAGTGACGAATGCATCTTGAACGATGACTAGAAAGCGAACGATTGACCAGTTGACAGAGGCAACAGAGGAAAGAGCGAGGACCGAGAATCTGAGAAAACCACCTACCTTTATAGTCACTACCTTATCATTGCCCTACGGAGAGTCTAGCTTGCATCTGGAAGTTCTTACACCGTAGTACATGATGGTTAGTTTTCGGCTGCACCAAGCACATATTCTGACGACCGCCAAGCACGTCGAACTTATCCGCCAAGACCCCAGCTATTCCCACGTTGACAGCTTTATTGGATCTCGCTGGCGATGAAATAGAATCGGCAACAAGCTTTCGGCTTCCACCCGCACGTTTTTCTCAATTCAGGTACGAATGGAAAAACGTGCATGGGAGATCCAATGATAGGAATTGAATTTGAGAATGGTCGTACTTTGCGCTCTGTATCTGCATATCAGATACCCGAACCCGCAGTTACTAGCTGTCAACCCAGCTTTTTGACTCAAGCTGGGTTATGGGAAGATGCGAGTAGGGTTGCTGTGGTACATTTGATGTACCTAGTAGCCAAGAGAATGGATGCAACCTGCAGTTTGTAATCAAATGCAAGATAGCTTTAGCAGCACGATGTTGTGGGTAGAAGATTGATATGTGCGGCGATTCCGAGAAGCATCATATCTGAGAATTGGGTCGTTGTCGTTTTAGCAGAAAGTCCCGGTTAGAGGCAGGGTTCGCTGCGAGATGTTAAACATGAGCGACACCTTCGAATATATACTCATCGTCTGGTCTTTGCTCGCCTTGCGATGTAGCTGACCTACAGGTAGGGTGGTCAGTAATCTGTAGATCTTTTCAAAGGTTACATTTCCCCTGCATCTCGTATTTCACACTGCACGTTTCTGCATCAAGCGATTGCAGATTCCATCCAATGTCATGAGATGGGTACCTCGCTTTACCCAAGTATAAAGTTGCTAGGCATTCATGCCTTTGAGCTTGAGTTCTCGAAAATTGAACGATTTCGTTTTTCGATACCTGAACTCGCTCTAACTTTCGTGGTACAGTAGTCTCGTGACATGGAACACCAATCATTTGACTCAATTTCTGTCCGATTTCAAGTCTTTTGAATATAGTGTAATAATATCCATTCGTATTGTTCTCGCAACGACTACCCCAAAAATAATTTCGTCGGACAGCAACTAATGTCAAAATATGGAACCGCTCACATGACTTAACGGTTCTAGAACGGATCAAAAATCTGAGCGGATCAAACAACCGAGCAGCTCCAAAAAATTAACGGCTCCCGAAATTTAACCGCTCCCAAACTCGAGCAGCTCGGCGTTGGATTTGGGAGATGTCGCGACATGCAACAAAACATCACCCTTGTTGAAGGCCCGATGTTGAATTGCCTGATTGAGGACAAAAAGCAAAAGCATGCAAATTTCAATTAACAAGAGAGGTCGAACTCTTGATTAAGTATTTTGCTAGGGGTGATGGAACACATACTCTAGGTCTCTCACCTCGTTATTCATTATTGACACAGTAGACAGTTCTCAAACCTGTACACTCCCCCACGTGACCCTCACAAATCCCATCCCATTTCATACGAGCCTCCCAATCCCCATCCCCAATCTCAAACCCTCCCAACACTTTACCAAGCAACACCCATCAAATCTTCACCAACCAACACACCTACCCGCCTCTTTGTTGCAAATCGCACTTTGCTCGCACTCTCAAACTCCTTTTGGGGACTGACTACCTAGTACCTACACGTAACCCTTACGCGAGCGAGCGAGCGAGTGCGAGATGCGGTGTGCATGCCGTGGCGGGCGGGCTCGTTTATCGCATTTGGGGCGCCAATCACGGACTTCCAATTGGGAGGAGGGATAGCGGACTTGGGAGGAAGGAGATGGGGAAATTCCGTTGATGGTTTTGGATTTAGTTGGATGGTTTGCTGAAGGGTGTTGTTTTTGGGATATGGATGTTTGGGAATGGGAAAATATGGAAGTTGCGGAATACCAGACAAACGGTTTTCCTCGTAGGAAAAATTCATAGACAACCTCGGTACGTATCTCATACAAATCCCCCCAATTCGCTTCTCGCACAATCCTCCAATTCAAGCTACACCCACACATCATAAGCCGGACCTCCCGCCCAAAACGCACCACAACGCGAGGTCTACACCGAATTCAAAACCTCGCATCTCTCCAAACTCCCATCCTATCAACATCCACATTTCATAACAACCTAGCCCAATCCAGCCCCCCGCAATCTTTTGTTGCACGTCGAGAATTCCTCGCTCTCGCTTTCGTATGCGGGATCCCGTGGGTTGCATGGCCAGGCCTGGCGGTGTTTCCACGAATGACAACGGATAGGCGGGATGCGAATTAACTCACCTAGACTAATTTTCTTTTTGCTGTTTTCCTGTTTATGTGCAAATGCTCTTGGTGTTGTTGCTTCCTGCGAAGATTTGATTGGAGAGTGAGGATCTAGATGCCACCGCTTTCCCAGGACTTTTTTTTGTGTTCCAGGATTAGGTGCTGAATAGCTAGAATTCATTTGTCAGACGGTGTGAAAAGCTGCGTGTGATTGGAGTAGAGAATAGTTTTTAGTAGTAGTAAGTATTTTAGCAAGTGCGGGTAGGTAGGATATTAAGAGTTACTAGTAGGGTAAGAAGTAAATATAGAAAGAAGTTAGTTTGCAAGTCGCTAACGGCGTATCTGCACGTTTTCTTGCCTCTTTACAATACATACGTTCGTTAGTCTTTTCCAAAGACAACTTGATAACAAAAAATAGCGTCTTTCTACGCGTCAAGAGACTGAGTATTAAGCAAACCGCTTTCAGTGGCGCATTAACATGTGCTGTTGCACGATTTCTCATAATCGAGTATACCACAATGTATTGATAATTTCTAACCATCTATTGCATCCAAATGACCCAATGCAAACTCCGTTCTCGGCTGCTCGTGCACTACGAAATAGCAACCTCAACCGAAGCCTACCGCCTCTCACGATACCTATCCCTCTCCCCATCCCTATACCTCCCACTACTCCCCTCATCCCTATCCCTTTCCCGTTCCCTCCTATAACCACCCCCCCTCTCCTCCCTTTTCTCATCCCTCCTCTCCTTCTCCCTCTTATACTCATTAACCCTCGGTCTTCTCTCCCCCCCACCCCCAGGACCCCTCCTCTCATTCAACCTCTTAACATCACTCTTCTGCACCCACGCCCCCAGCTCCTCCGCATCCTTGAGTTCCTTCGCGCCCAACCCGAGTAAATTCTGTCTACGCTTAACCTCCTTGATTTTCCCCTCTTTCTGCCCTTTCCAGCCCATGCCGCGGAGTAAGGCGGCGCCGAATTCTTCGACGGGGACGCGCTCGTAGTCTTCGAGGGTTGAGACGTCGGGGGCGAGCGCGACGGCGCGTTTGTAGGCATCTTCTTCTGAGAAGTGTTGTTCTGGCTCGTTGGTTACGGCGGTGGGGATGACTAAATCCGGTCCTTTTTTCTCTTTACGCTCTCCCAAGAGCGCGGCGAGGGCTTCTTCGTCGGCTGTTTTGGGAGTTTCCTGCACTATATCTGCCTGCTCCTCGACTTTGACATCGACGTCTTTCTCTGTTTTAACCTCCGTAACAGGCGACTGCTCTCGTTTCCTAACACTCAAACCCCACTGAATCTCCCCATCTTTACTATTAACAACATCAACCCCCTCCGCCTTCCCACCTTCCCTCTGCCTGGCAGCCATCTCCCTCTGTCGCTGAACTTCAGGCGGTAATAAATTCTTACTCCCACCCTTCCTCTGCCGTACCTCACTTTTCCAGTCTCGATTCCCCAGCTTCGGTATCACCAGCACACTCTCCTGCTCTCTCCTCCTCCGTTCCTCATCGCCCTTTTTGATTGCGCCACCCTCCCCAAACCCAGTAACACTCTCATGTTTCCCCCTGCCATTTCCCCTACGTTCATTTTCCGAGTCAGAGCCGTCGTCGGCATGGAAGGCTGCTCTGGGTCGTTTACCTAGAGAGCTGGATGGCGTAGGCTTGACTAAGGGTTTCGAAGATTTGGATGCGAGCGAAAAGCCTTTGATCGCAATTTTACCAGTACTGGTACCATTAGGGGCGCTGTCCATAGATGGCGACATATCTAAAAGTCGTTGCAAGGGTGACAGGACCCGTGAAGTGTTGCTTGAGGTCTCGCGCTGCGTCTGAGGTTGTGTTCGATGGCCTAAAATCCAAAGATCTAGCCCCCAACATGATGTCAACGCGGTCATGTGACTTGAGCACTTAGACCGCATCTTCTCAACGCCGAGGGATAACTCGCACTGTAAAATTTCAATACTCTGGCACTACACATTCGTCTCACAATGACAACTAATCGGTTATAACTTGAATAAGGGTGGTTATATTATATATGCTATAGTTCTGTAACCCACCGCAAGTACAGAACTTTCACTAGCAGGCAATGTTGACCTGCCTATTTCTACTCTAACCATAGGTAGACCCTCCTAAACACCTATGCCCAACCAGACATTTCATGCTACACCAACGCCCAGCAAATCGCTAATTCCAATTCCCTTTATTTAACACTATTAGCACTGCCTGCGCTATTCCTATGCGCATGTCCCTGAGCTTGTTGACCGTTGTTCGGAGGCGGCACATTTTGACCTTGCACGGCAGCCAATCCTGCTGCAGCCATTGCCTTTTGTTGATTTTCTTGTTGTTGTCTCAACATCTGAGCATAAAGCTGTGGACTCTTTTCATTCAAACCTGTAGGTACACCTCTTGCTTGACCGTTCATAGCCGAAGACGCCCCGGCGGCAGCATTCATTGCGCTTTGGGCCAGTTTATTGTTCGCTTGGTTCGGTTGCCTTTGCATTGCTTGAAGTTGCTGATTGACCATGGTGGTTACTTGGTCGGGAGTGGCAGTTGGATATTGCTGCTTAACACGAGATTCAATGCGACTGGTATCTATGTTGAATCCTGGTGGATGTTGTCCCATTCGAGGAGAAGCTGTGGGACCAAGTTGATTCTGTCCGGGAGAGGAGACCATACCATTGATCGGAGGAGTTCCGGCTTGCACACGATGATCATTTGCGTTAAAGGCCATCATATTCTGCATCTGAAATCCATTTGGTTGTTGCATTCCATTGTTCGCCCGTGGTGGCGAGTTGTGAGTCTGCGGTGACTGCCCGTTAGGTTTACCCTGTTGCTGCATCTGGATCATTGCTCGCTGTTGTTCAGCTGTTTGAGCAGCTTGGTTGATGAGGCCAACGCTAACAGCTGGATTTGGCATGGGTAATTGACCTTGCATGGACTGCATTGGTGCGGGTGGTACACTATTCATATTTTGAGGCACACGAAGATTATTCTGCATTTTCTGCGCCATCTGCTGCGACATTTGTTGAGTCATTTGGGGTGGCATTGGCCGAGGGTTTCTATTCTGCCCTGGGACCTGGAGGTTCTGTCCATTTGGTACTCCGTTTGGAGGCGGAAGGCCATTTGGTGGAGGCGGTCGAGGTTGGGATCCCGCAATAGGTGGCCCACCCGGTGTTGGGCCTTGCCCCTGTGCATTTCTTTGCTGAAGCATGACAGCCTAAAAGATTAGTTAATGATGTTCATGGTAAATATACGTGGTATAAATAAATAATAAATCATACCCTTCGTTGAGCTTCCTGCCGCTGTTGGAGTTGTAGTAAGCGCTCTTTGAACTGTTCATCTCGATCATGCTTCAGGCGACTAAACTCCTGCGGCGTATGAAGGTTCCTCGGCTGTGCCGGTTGTTGATTCTCGTTGGCTTTCCGCATCGCGGCCATGCTAGCAGCTTGGTGTTGTTTCTGAACATTGGTTTCCCGCTTCTTGGCTAGTTTTCGCATCGCGTCTACTAACGTCAAATGCTTCTGTTTGCGGCGTTGGTCGACTCTGATGCTTGTTGTCGCACGCCTTCTTGGTGGAGGTTGCGCTTGTCCATTGGCCATAGACTGCGCCTGTGCAGCAGCGGCTTGGGCAACTACGTTTCGATTTGCAGCTTCAATTCGAGACATGTACGCCCGGAAATAATGCGTCTTCTGCATATCATTTGGGAGACCTTCCATCTGTACCCATCTTTCAAAGCACTCCCAGGGAGTACGGCGTTCATTACCAGCGGCAAACAGCGACTTGCTTGTGAGCATACTCGATATTAGTGACCAGTTATATGTGCACTCTCGCACAAGAGACTTGAGCTCATTGTCTTCATCCCACGTCCACTGTGAGGGAGTTCGAGTCTCGAAAAAGCTCTGAAGTGGCATAGCGAATTCAGAAGGTGGACGGAATTGATGTGATGAATGGATACGGTCGCGAATATGCTTGTGTTGCGGATCGAATAATGCAACATGGGTGGTCTCAGGTGGCAGAATGGGCCTCTTTTGGCCTTGTTCGCCAAACACCACCTCGTCTTCATCATCATCTTCGTCCTCGTACTCGTAACGACTCTTTTTCCGGGGTGGTCCCTCAAACTTCAACTCCATCCTGCCCTCAACGTACTTGCTAAGGGGGAGGGCTGGTCGCCGCCACAGTCGGTCCGGATCGACTTCAGATGTTAAAATGTCGGACCGTGGAACCCGCAATGGGGCACCATACATTGGCAACTCTTCCAAAAGTTTGTCGGCTGTAGGTGATCTTCGTAACCCAAAGACAACATCGTCATCTTGCAGAGCAAAGATAGCAGTGGGAGCAACAGTTTCCAAAAGATTGAGCCGCGGCTCTTCGTCGAAATCATCAATAGGTGAGTCCACACTACCAGATGCTACAAGATCAGGAGTGGAATGTGGAATTTCCTGGCTGGAAGTTTCCGTCATCTCAATGTCCTTTTCCAGATTCAAAAACTTTGGCGGGACTGTCTTAATTTGAAGGAGCTTCCGGTCTTCTGGGCTGGCTTCAACCCACTCAGCACACGCAAACGCCAAGTTTCTTGCGACGGTGGATTTCCACTTATACTCCTCCCGAAAATCCGTCCGCATCCATTTGGCTTCTTGCAACAGAACATCCCAATGAGTTGTAGGTCGGTTTGGCTCGGGGGCACGTTTTGGTTGCCTTAATGACCACTTATTCATATTCTGTAGCTGGTAAATTCTTTTGAGGATTTTGTTCGTTTGGCTTTCATGAATTGGAACATAAGCATTTGCAGTGGTGATTGTCTTGTGCGCTGTAGCTAGCAAGCTATCCAAGGCAGGAATTCCTCGCTTGTCATTAGTCGCGGAAGCAATGAACAGAGGCTTGAGATAGTCTTCTTGTGGTTTTGCACCTTGCGATCCGGTTGGCATCAAAGCTATGTCATTAGAAGACGACTTATTGGTACGTTTTTGAAACGTGACCGTAGAAAGTTTGCTTCGTTCCCTCTCCTTGGCCTTCTCGACTAAGCTGCGCATACGTGTGCCGGGAGATTGAGGTGTAGAACTTCGTGAAGGAGATGTTGAGGTACCCGATGATCCAGAAGTGGTATTGATTTTTCCGAGGCTTTTGTCCGTCGCAGTAGGTCTTGGAACCTCACCAATAATTTCTGCGACGCTTTTGTGCCTGATGGTGTTAGATGAAATCCTGGTAGTCATACGCTCTAGGACCGGAGGGGCAGCAGCAGGGGTGGTCGGGGTTGTACGGGCAGTCGCTGAAGTCGGCGTCGTCGATGACCTCTTTGCATCAACAGGGGATTCGGAACCTGATTCCGCAATCTCATTTACGACGGATGGAGTCTTTTCCCCATTATCTCCTGCCTCAGAATCGAACGAATCTTTGATTGTGGTTGAATCGACTTCCATCGCAGCATTTGGAGTCTGGCCTTCAGGGTCCAGGTTCGATACATCCGCATCTTTGGGCAATTCAACTAGCGGAGCTGAATCGTTTCCAGCATCAGGTGCTACTGAGGGTGTCTTCGTCTGGCTATCCACAGCTCTGGATTCCGCGGAAGTTTTGGTTGTTACCGTATCGATATCCATGGCATCCTCCAGAATTTGCTCTCCACGGTCTGTCTTCAAAGCCTCGGTGACAGCGGGCAGCTCTACTGGTTTTGTCGACTCGTCCGTCCCCAGGCTCCCGGAGGCCTGACTTTCAACATGTTTAGGCGATGGTACCAAGTCAGGTGAACGCTCTTTGCCTGATATCTCTTGCTCCAGCTCCTGTACCTTACCACCTTTGAGTAATTCCACTGGCTCGACTGGAGGTTCTGCGCCAGGTGTATCCACCACCGTCACCTCAACAGCGGGGTGTAGCTCGACTGACTCTGCTGGACTCTCTGACTTCTTGGACTCCGGTATCTCTAGGACATCAGACCCTTCAACTGGTTCGACCGAGTTAGTGCTCGAGGGTACTGCCTTTGGTTTCGCGATTTGTTCGGATACATCGTTCGAATCGTTATTGGAAATAGACCCATCTTCTGGGAGAGGGTTTGTTTGTGAGCCTCTTCGATCGAAGCGTTCCAGGACAACCATAGGCACCGTCTTCTTTCTGGTCCCGTTTTCGAGCGGAATCGTCGCGACATCATCTTCTTTCAATTTAGGCGTAGGAGCCCTGACCCTCCTTGAAGTCGATCCGTCGCGCTGAGATTTCTTCTTCCGTAAGGCATCAGCATTGTTCGTGTCCGGACTTGGCTTTCTTGTGGGAGACTTTTGCTTCGAAGATTCTGACCGAAGCTGTCGACGCGTTGGTAGATTAGATTCATCGAAAAGGCGATCCCTAAAATTATCAGTCAGTCCAACGACACCTACCGATTGAATAATTGATTTTCAGATTCCAAAGCGCAATGCAAGACTGTAATGCACGTACTTTAAGATGTCGGTGACTTCAAGGAATCGATTCTCTGCGATGCTGCTGGCTGGCGCGTCGGGGTGCTGGTATTTGATTTGGGGGATGGGGCCTTCATTGTCGCAAACCGCGAAGAACTCGCGGAGCTTTCTCTTGCGCGACGTAACAATCCCACTACAACCGTCAGCATATTGAAAATTAGATGCATCGATGCGGCAAATCATGCGCTTTCGAATGTTATAGGTGAGATAATTATTGTACCTGAGTTCATTCTTTTTGGATCGCAAAAGGCGGGAGCGGTCGGGCGGCCCAACCTCACTCATAATAAAGCGACAGCGACATCCGTTTCACGAAAAAACGGATGCGGTGACAATCTTAATGGGTGCACCAGAGATGGAGATCGTGAAATAAATGATGAAAAGTCGTGATGTGGTGGTGCTGTGATTGATTATGGTTGTCGTCTTCGACTTCGGGCGGCCATACAATGTTCGATGCTCTTGCCTGGGAGTCGCTTGGAGATTGAAGAAACTACTCCGAACCCCTAACTCGTTCGAGCGACCGACTCGTCATGGGAAGCGAGCCTCGAACGGAAAATGGGACAATATGGAATTCACGAACGTAGTGCTCTACGGATTTTTACACTTGGGGGGTTTGATCTATGATATGCATCACAAACTCAAAACGGATGATAGACGTTGTTGTGTTAAAAATTTTGTGTGTAAATGTTTGGAAGAATGATGTAGTCTAACTCCGGATTCGAGTAACCTTAACACTCCGACTCAATGAGTCTTGGGCAGAGGTGGTAAAGATCGATAAACTATAAGTGAATCTGTACTTGGTGAATTTAGTATTGCTAATGAAGTACCTTCATCTAACGGCTTTCATTCGATTATGAATTACAAAGGAAGGAAGTCTGTAGACTGGTGACATGTTGGTTATATCTCTGTGTAACATCGTGAGCGCTCGGCATTGGAAACGAACTATCGTGGTGCAGGGTCACGTTGTCAATGTCACGTTACCAGAACTTCCTCCTCCTCTTTCTCTTCCACTTCCACTTGCAGAAAATTCGACATGGAGGTGACATAGATTCTAAATTTGATGTACTAATTATTGAACTGCAATAAACTAGAGCAAAGAATCGTTTCGTGCTCCAAATGTTCAATAATTATAAGTCTCATTTCTTCTTTAGTTCTTGGCAAGACATTTTATCGTCTGAAATCACAGCCAGACCACAATCTCACAACCAATCAATTACTAACTGTCGAGATACTTTCCACCTAGAATTCCAGATGGTAACCAGTAGCCGGGTTCGAAGTTCTGGTATTGTTCGCTCTGCATCACAAAAACAACAAGTAACTGCTTCAAACTTTACAGCGTCACTTCCTGGATGTTTTCCCAGTCTGCTGGAAACAGAGCAAACAAACCCAATTTTACCGAGTCTCATTGCCTTCATTTTAATAGCTTGGATAAATCTCTTTACGTCTTCTATATCTCGTCTTCAATCATACCCAGTCCAGCGTTCCTGGTTGATCAAGGTCGAATGTGGAGAGTTAGCACTCCAGATGAAAAGGGGAAGTACAGAGTGTTCCGAGTCTTTTTAAAGAAGACTCGAGGTCTACTGCTGTTGGGAAGACCCTTTCGAGTAAAAAGATCTTATGCCCCAAAAGTCACCACGCCACAAGTGACAACATCCAACTCGTTTCGCACTACGTAAATTCGATTACACTCGAGACTCGAGAAAGATTTGTGAGAACCTCGTTCAAGTAGGAAGGGTTCGAAAATATCCCCGTTGACGATGTTTGCTTCTTGAGAAAGGTCAGCAATGTAAACTCCCTAGAGTCCCTGTTCTACAGTATGTCTGATTCTAACGTCGTTATGTGGTCTTCAAGGTCAGATTAGGCTGCTACATAAACCACAATATAATGGGTGTAATCTCACTGACGTTTCCAACATAACAAGGACGCGTACAACTAAGCATTCTAGGCATCTATGATTGATCCTTGCTATATGGTGATGGCGGTTGTCCTGGGAGGCTATTCGGGGAGCGGATCCGCTTGCACTTTCCGACTTTATCTTTGCTGGAGTCTTTCACATCATACCGACACCAAAGGAAAATACAGAAACAGATCTCATGACAAATCATATCTATGAGCTATTTTTATTACTCTGTTCCTTTCCTCCTGCGCCATGTAAGACTTTGCGGAGTTTCCTTGCTAACCAAACTCAAGCTGGAGGTGTCTAGAGTACGGGTACAACAGAGGTAACCTTTCCATCCTCGAGACATAGATAGAAATGGTAGAAGACAAATGACCATCTGAAACCCCAAATGTGAGATGAATACCATGCTGATGTCTTGTATCACAACGACAATCGACTGTTCAATGGAACTTAGGTCGGCTACTTACGTCGGCCCAAATATCATTTAGTATTCGCGTGGGTAACATGAAAATAAACTTGTGGACTGCTTCAGTGTCTCAATCGAATTTGCGGAGTGGTATGGAATCTCCCATTGATTGGGGATGGTAACAAGCCGTGGTCTGTAGCATAAACGTTGAAAGTCGGCGGCAATAGACTTCAAATAACACTAGTGAGTTTTCCAGACTGTGGCGAATTTATTAACAGTCGCTACATAAAATGAACCAATGTGCTTGAAGTAAGATGTCAAAGTGAACTCAGCTAGGCGTTGAAGCATGGACGAAATCAGACCATTACCAGGAAAATATCTTGTAGAAGAGAATTCAGGTAGGGCTGTGAGGCTCGAAATGACGCGATTCAATTGATAGAAGTAATTTCTTGTTTGACTGTGCTCTCTCGAAATATAACACAAAAGTTGCAGGGGTAACACAAATGAAAGATACTGGCAGACACAAAAGGGGATGCGTCACGTGGGGCTCGGAGGCTGCGCGCTACTAAGATTCGCGACTTTCCGAACCTCAAACAGTCCTCCAACAGTTTTTTGAATCGCACAACACTCCATCACCGCCACCATGCCTGTCGTCAAAGGAGGAGTATGGACGAATATAGAAGATGAGGTGCTCAAAGCTTCAGTCTCAAAATATGGATTAAATCAATGGGCGCGAGTGTCCTCACTCCTCGCCCGTAAAACACCAAAGCAATGCAAAGCGCGCTGGTCAGAATGGCTCGACCCGGGTATCAGGAAGATCGAATGGAGCAAGGAAGAGGACGAGAAACTACTCCATCTTGCGAAGTTGATGCCAACGCAATGGAGGACGATTGCGCCTATGGTTGGAAGAACCGCTACCCAGTGTTTGGAAAGGTATCAGAAGTTACTTGATGAAGCCGAACAGAAGGAGGCTGGGAGCTTAGGACTGGGTGGGCCTGATGGAGGAGAAACCATGGCACCCAGTGCTGACGATGTTCGAAGGCTACGACCCGGCGAGGTGGACCCAGATCCGGAATCGAAACCTGCGAGGCCTGATACCATCGATCTCGACGAGGATGAAAAGGAGATGCTGAGTGAAGCGAGAGCCCGTCTGGCTAATACGCAGGGAAAGAAAGCGAAGAGAAAGGCACGAGAGCGACAGTTGGAGGAATCCAGACGGTTAGCGGTTCTTCAAAAAAGACGGGAGTTGAAGAATGCCGGCATTAACATAAAGATTGTCAACCGGAAGAAAGGTCAGATGGATTACAATGCCGATATTCCTTTCGAAAAAAAGGCTGCACCTGGATTTTTCGATACGGAGGAGGAGGCGACCATGAACGAGAAGGAGAGGGAGGCTTTTGATCCTAGAAAACAGCAACTTGCGAATAAAAGGAAGGGCGATCAGGATGAGGATCCGGACAGAAAACGGAGAAAAGGAGAAAAGGAAGCGCCATCTGCTTCATATCAGGCTGCGATGAAGGCTGGACAGCAACAGAAAATCCGAGAGGCAGAGCAGAGCAGCAAACGTAGAGCTTTGGTGCTTCCCTCGCCACAGGTTGGAGAAGGAGAACTGGAAGAAATTGTCAAGATGGGCATGGTAGGCGAGAGGGCGAATATCATGGCTCGAGCCAGCGAAAACGATGCTACAAGAGGTTTAGTAAACACATATTCTACAGTCAATAGCGGTGCGCCAATCCGTACACCCAGAGCTCCTGCTCAGGAAGACCACATCGCGAACGAAATACGCAATATTCGTGCTTTAACCGAAACGCAGTCATCTCTCTTAGGCGGAGAGAACACACCATTACATGAAGGAGCTGGCAGCACGGGATTCGATGGGATTACACCACGGAGGCACCAAATGGAGACGCCAAATCCTATGGCTACTCCATTTCGACAAAATGGAGTTGGACAAACACCATTGCGGCCGCCTGGTCCTGGGCAGACTCCTATGCGTACTCCCCGGGACAGCTTTGCGTTGAACGCGGATGGAGAAATGCAGCTCGTTGGACAAACACCTCGAGATTTGAAGTTGGCCGAAATTGCAGCCAAGAATAAGCTGAAGAAAGGACTTTCTGCTTTGCCAAAACCAAAAGATACAGACTGGGAATTAGAATTGCCGGAAGAGCAGCAGGAGTTGGCCGGGCTGGAAGAACTCTCAGAAGAAGACGCCGAGCTTCGCGATCGTAGGAATCAACAGATTCGAGAAGCAGAAGAAAAACTTGAGTTTAAGAGACGGACCCAAGTCATGCAAAAAGGCCTTCCCCGTGCCTCGATTATCGACATTGACTCGAGTCTCAAGAATGCATCATCGATATCAGATCCAGTCCTGGCAGCAATCGAACAGGAAGTTGCTTTACTGGTAGCTAACGATGCTATCAAATACCCAATACCTGGCATCAAAGTCCGAGGAACAGCCAAACCTATTGAACATATAGACGATGACGCGCTTGCCCAGGCCCGTCTTCAGGTCCTGCTTGAAGTCCCTGAAGACATCGCCGACCAGAGCCCTGAAATCTTCAAATCCGCATGGGAAAATGCCCATACCTCCTCTCTCCTTCCCGGTCTCGCCGGCTACGACGACGACGAAACCTCCGAGCAATCCCTCCTCATCTCAGCCTTCGACGTAAGTCCCCCCCCCCTTACCCATATCCCACCTAACACCCCCAGAAAATCCAACCCCAAATCCTCACCATCGCCCAAACCGGCAACAAAGCCGAAAAGAAACTCGCCCTCCACCTCGGCGGCTACCAAAACCGCTCCAAGACTCTCCGTGCGAAGATCGGGGAGGCGGCCGAGGCGCTGGCCAAAGCGACGTATAGTCTGGATTCGTTCCGCACGCTGCAGATTAGCGAGGAGGCGGCGGTGCAGAGACGACTGGAGGGACTTAGGGAGGAGGTGAGTTTTGTTAGTAGGAGGGAGAGGGAGGCGCAGGAGGTTTATAGGGGGAGGATTGAGGAGGTTAGGGGGTTGAGTGGGGGTGAGGGGAAAGGAGACAGGGAAGGTGGTTTGTATATGTATGATATAGCGGAGTGAAGTTACGCTTGTGGATGAAGTGTAGTAAAAGGAAGAGAGAGTCGTAGGGGCAGATATAAGTGGCATTACCTATAAGATATCTATTTGACAAATTCGACAGAGAAACGTACACTTCGTTTATTACTCTCACTATATCAGACATCTCGAAACTCTGTTCGTTTGAGAACTCCGATTTCCATGGGCACACAACTACGCTCAATTTTTAAATGTGTAGACAATTTAGTGTGACATGTTAGTCAGTACCTCACTGCCACGCCACTTGTCCATTGCGAATGAACTACGGATAGCAATTGAAAATGTTTTATCATTGAGTTATATTCTATTATATTCCATTTCACCTCATCTTTTGTTCATGATATTCACGTACCACAACTTTCCCTTTCATAAACCCCTTTCAACATCATCGCGTGCACCTAGGAATCTCATTCGTCACTCCACCCAGTTCTCCATCCACACCACCAGCCATCACACCTCAATACCTCCTAAAACCACCATCCCCAAATCTCCACTTCCCTCCCACCCAACTACATCCCCGCCTTAAGTTCAAAAACCGTACCCGCCAGTATCCCCGCCCCAACAACCCCCCCATCATGACACGGAACCAGCGTCACGCGCGGCACACCCTTTTTACCCTCAAACTCCGCGTCTAGAATCTCATTGATAAACCGCTGACAGTCCGCGAGGTAGTCTTGGAAATGGGTGATACAGCCGCCTGTGTAACCGACCATTAACTCCTCGACGTCTTCAGAGGATGCTGGTGCATGTACGGGGTCATTTGGTAGAGAGGAAGAGGGCGAGGAGAGTGGTGTTGGGAGAGGTGTGAAATGAAGTTCGTCTGCGCATGCTAGGAGGGCGATTGTTGCTGCTGCCGTCATAGCCGCAGCGCGGATTTGAATTGCTTTGCTAATTTTGAGGACGGTTTCTGCTGCTTCTTGCGTCCATGACCAGGCGTCTGGGTTTGGTGAGGGTGGGAGTTCTGTTTCTAGTTGAAGTAGTAGAGAAGGCTGTGAGCGTGAGAGGTGAGGGCCGATGTTACCTAGGAATGTGGTCGTTAGGCCGCCTCGTTGGAGGAGTTGTGGCGGGAGGGTGGTGATGGGGATGTGGAGGTGGTTGGTGAAGCAGTCGAGGATTATGAGGCGGCCTAGTTCGCCTACGTAGCGTCCGGCGGTCATGTATTCGAAGGGCATGAAACCAGCTGTTTCTCCTTGTTCGTCTAATTGCCTGTCCCATTTTGTGATGAAGTCTAGCTCCCGCAATGGGGCTGCAGTGCCATTTATCGACCACTCTGTATTGACTGCAACTTTCATGTCACTCTTCTCCAAGTCGTTGATTGCCGTCACGTTAGTGGGCCTTTTGCTCGGCTTCAGTTTGCTGAGCGCTAGAGGTATAGTAGCATTGCAACCTGTGCCAACAATCAGGCCCATGGCTGCTTTCTGATTTGGTTTTGACCTGAAATTGTATGCAAAGGCGACGAGTGTGGCAACAGCGTCGTTGACAATCGCGGTGATACGTAGAGTTGGAAGTGATGGTTTTCGACAAGATTCATATCCAGCAAGGAGTAGCTTTCCCAGGTTGGCATTTTCAGATAATGAGAACCCTTTGCCCATTGACATAAGCGTCGCCTCTGAGAGGGTATGTTGTCTGTTGTGATGTTAGCATGGTCAATATTAGTTTGAAATCTGAAAGTTGAATTTACATCATTGGAAAAGAGAATGTAACTCCAAGTGATATCTCCTCTGGCAACTCTTGCAATATCCGTGCATTCTCAACAACTTCAGCTATACAACAGCCAATCCAGGCGAACAGATCTTCCGCTTCGTTATGTTTCAATTGTTCTCCAATAGGCCAGGATTTCTCCAGAACCCGGCGGATTCGGGAGTCAGTATTGACATTGGACTGGTGACGGTGACGGTTTCCACGGCCTCTGAAGTTAGTATCTTGCCTGGCATCTGTCCCTACGAACTCTACGAAACCCACTCGCAAATTGGTGCCCCCACTGATCAAATCAGATGTTGAAAAATGGTATATTATATGTAACTTACATGTCTATTGCAAGATACCTAAGATTCCAGTTAGTTTCAATATCTCCATACAACGTCTATTGCCCAATAATCCTTCTCTCCGCTGGCTATCACAAATCGAGGAAAATCACATGACACTCTTGTTCACCATTTGCATCTCATTCCCCCAGGATACCACAATAGAAAGAACTCACCGTCCACTGCCCTCACTTTCCGGACGCAACAAGCTCTCCTCAATAGGCGTACTAAGAAACTGCTCCTCACTTTCCAGCGCAAGTCTGTTATAAGTGCACGTTAACGCCTTGGCTAGACCATGTATCTTTGGCGTATCGACATCCAAGGGTCTCAAGAAGTCCTCAACCGTACTCGGAATAGACATGGCTGTCGAAAAGAGGCAAAATGCTGCATTAGATATGGTGCAGCTGACCTTGTATATGCGTCGACCCTTTTAGCCTCGTGATGTACGCAGCTTCCGTGTTTGGATAGCTGAGCGTGTGCATGCGAGGGGTGTGAGTGGCCACTCGGATACAGTAGAGGATCAGTTCTGAAGAACATCTGTTGGTTTGGGGCGAGAACCGAGAGTTGTCCAAGGTAATCTGAAATATCTACGAAGTGAATGTGTAAAAGGCTTTTCCCAAAGGAACATTTGAGGTCTGGCCAGCCGTCGTCGTTCTCCAAGTTTGACCGACAGTCCCCGATCACCGGCCCGAGCCGGAGGCAATCATTAGACGCTCCTGCATCATCGTCCAGACTCAAAGAAGACTACCTACATCGCATCCCATGCACCTTCTATTATCGCGACCATGAATGCCACGAAAATGCCATTTTCGGAAAAACTTGATAGAGAGTACACTTTACCTCAGTCCCACACGAGGCGCGAAATGCCACCACGGAGATTACGAACATGGACGGCGGGTTTTGCTGTCGTTGCCTTTCTTTATTTTGCATGGAGCTACAGTCATGGCACAGAGCTGGTCGCGCCTTTACACATCGCAGATCAGTGGTCTGCGAGATCTGACGGACGTGTAGACTGTGGGAGAGGAAGAGAGAGGTTGGAACAGGGTGAGACGGGTATGCAGCAAGTGGTGGATAAGCAATTAGTTCCTTTGGAGGCCCATATAATGAGCAAGTGTCCAGATGCACAGGTAAGAGCTCAGTTACTCAACTTGCAGTTCCTTTTTATGTCCGTATTACTGCAAAGCAGACCTAATTACTTGCCTAGGAATGTCTAAAATTGCTCGTCTTACCAACTATGCAACGGGTAGTCGACAAAGTAAACTTTACCCTCTCTTTTATCGGCGCAACAACCGACAATGACGGCGTATCCTGCAAACATGGTCCACCAGAATGTCTGGGGAATATAATAGAGCTTTGCGCTGCTTCCCTATACGCTGATCCGAAAATCAGCCTCGGATTCACAATGTGCCTTGAACGCGAGTACCAGAACATCCCAGACAAGTCTCTTTTGGAAGATTGTGCGTTGGAACACGGAATCGATTTCGAGAAGTTGACCGAATGTGGCGAGGAAGATAATGGTGGGAAAGGAGTCGGACTTCTAAGAGATTCTGTGAGAAGAAGCACCGACGCTGGGGTTACAAAAAGCTGTACTGTTCGCCTTGATGAAGAGATCTACTGCGTTCGAGATGGTGGCCAATGGAAGGACTGTCCTTCTGGCGCGGGTGTGAATGACCTGGTTCTGGCTATCGAGAAGAAGTATCGAGCTTCAGAGGCTGGAACACCTCAGTCCACAGCTCACTAGCTTCGCCTACTGTATAATATAATTTCAGCTTATCCATCCCGGCTTCTTCGTCACCTCCCATATGCTCTAAGGTTTCGATGATGCTTTCCAATCCGATTGCTTTTCCGGAGGCTTGAGTTGCGCCAGCTTCCAGTGCGACATGGACGATGTGGATGTGGAAATGGTAGTACGTTGGCTGGTAATGGACATACAGCTTCAACTGGTCTCTTTCCACTCCCTGGTTTCTATAGCACTTTACCGTACTATCCAGCAGCAACTCCCTCATTTCGTTCAACCACCTTATATGCTTCTTTTTCAAATCTCTCAAACTCCAGATGTCTCTTCGCTCCACCAATCCCAACAAATGCAGACTTGGTATTGTCTTCCGATCCCAATTCAGATCCGGAATCAACAGGAAGCCCTCGTCGCCAGCGGAACCTAAAGGCGTCCTGAAAATCACATCCTCGACCTCCGTCTTACCTTCGATGATATTGTAAACCCAATTCAGACGACCTTCAGCCCTTTTGTTTTCCATATACGGCCGGACCTTCGATCGATAAATTTCCGCCGTCTCGCAAACCAATCTAGCGCCCTGACTGGAGTATTTCTTGATATGCTGGGCAGTACAAGGATATATAAGATTGACCTTCAAATCCTGCATTCCTTCATCACCAACTGCTTCCCGACTTCCATCCTGCGAATTATTCGAGTTAGGTCTAGACGATGCGAGATACCAGAAGTAAATGTCGTTTGCGCCGAGGTTCTGAATTGAGGATAGTATTCGAGGGATGTGCGAAAGGTATGCCTGTGATGATGGGAAAGGTGAGCGTTCTAGAATGAGAATGCCTGGCTGCGAGTTTATGGAACCATAAAGGCTTATGCGTCGACCTGCTTGATCTGCAAGAATTGTCAACAAACACTCCTTTAGATCGGCTTTTGCGTACCTTGATTCAACACCTTCTCGAACTTGAAATTGGGAATCAGAGATTCAGGATTCGACACCTCGCCATCCATATTGTAATTTGGGGGATTGAAACCAGCAGGGAAATTCAAATGTCGAAATCCGGCATAAGCTGCAGGGCAAGTTGATGTTGGCGGTGTACTCAAAAAGATTGGTGGTGGATGGAGGGGTAGAGGGGGAGCTGTTACCGGGCGGTGAAACCCGGCAATAAGTGGACTAGGACCCTGCCTCAACTCTTGGGATGCAAATGGATTTCTTTCAAGCTGAGATTTGAATTCCCAGACTCTATCGTCTTCCGGACCAGATTTTTCGCTCTTGTTCCAATCTGATTCTTCCTTGATGTAGGGCGGTTGTTGATGTGTTCGATTTGTTGGCCTTCCAACTGACCCTTCGAGTACCATTCGTTCTGCATGGAATGCTCCTTGAGAATTTTGTGGAAGATGAGGACTACCAGGTTGATATGATCGATGAAAATTAGAACCCAAGGATTGCGTGTTCTGGTGTTGGAACGAGCCCGGAATTTGATTTTGGAACTGATCGAACGTCTTCTGGTCAATCATTGGAACCGACTTTGCCTTCGAAACATGGCCTCTTGGTGGGATTTGGAGTAGAATATCTCGCGGTGACATTTCATCTGGCTCCATTTTAAGGATCGACGTCGAAGTTGCGGGTTTGAACGCGTCCAGCCAGTCTGGCTTTCGAAGGTCAGTTTTCGAATCCATTGAATCCATTGTCTTTGCAAACCAATCGGGTCAATGGCTTGTCGATGGAAAACAAGCCGGTCACCAACGAGACGGTTTGTTGTGCAGAACAGAAATTGGAGCAATTAAGCTATCTCGGGATTCCCCTGGTCCGGATTCATCTTGCCGTGGAAACCGCTCGAGAAAGCATTGAAGGTGAATCAGCGTCATAGCTCTTGTAGTTGTGTTGGGCTTATAATTGAAGGTCAGTGAATGTTGCTTTATCTTCGTAACTTCATTATGTGTAGAGATAGTCGAGTACGAAGTTCGAAAATCTCATATACTTCGTACTCGACTACCTCATATAATTGAGACCAATAAGTTTCGTTGTTAGTGGAATATATATTTCTATACAACTTTTATATCTATGGCGCATATTTCGCATTCTCCCTTGTTACTATTATTAAATGGAAATGTACTCTCAAGCTCTGCAAGTCATTTTAAACATACACCGGAGGCAATGTGCTTCCTCACAATTGGAACATATATCATTATACAATTTCTACATAAAATCATCTCGCTTATTTTTCATCCATCTCCTCCTCTCATTATTCTCCACCACCCAGCAGATACTCCCCTCCCCTCTCCCCTCCTCACTGACAAGCATAAGTAGTACTAGTCGCGGGCCTCAAATCCGTAATCGTCACACTCCTACTAATCACCGGCCCAACCCCCTGCATCTCGCTCACCACCAGATTACACCCTTTACAATCCACCAGACTCGTCGACGTCTCCGTCAACGGATGGTACGTGAACGTCTGTCCTCGCTGCGCGGTTGCGGAGCGCCATATCGTCGTCGAGCATGCTGCTGCGGGTTTGATTTGCGGGGTTGGCTGGGACTCGGGTAAGGGCGTGCTGAGAGGGAGCCAGATGGTGGAGGTGGAGGTTGCGCAGCCAGTGTGGCAGGTTGCGCAGGCGCCGGCGAGGGTGGCGGTCGGTGTTGAGGGACAGAGGGGGTCTATGGGTGGTGCGGGGATGGTTTTGGTGCGGATGGCGATGCATTGGGGGATTGGTCCTTTGCATTGTAAGGTTGGGCAGTCTGATGCTATATTAGCTTCACTGCTTGGCGAAGGAGGGAGATTTGAGTACCTGGTCCATAATCCGGTGTCAATACCGTCTTGGTATAGCACGCGTCCGCGATAGTCAAGGTAGTGATGAGAGAAGTGGTGACAAGCTCAGTATCGCCCACATCCCTCTTAACAGCAGCGGCCGTGACCGATTGTCTAGCAAACGTAAGCCAGAATCCGCGTCCTAAATGATGAACCACTTACGCAGCGAGAAGTAATATCGAGAAAACTGAAAAGGAAGGCATTCTCCGCCAAGAATCGCAGGATTATGACAGGAGGAGCGTATGTAGGAATAGAAAAGAGCGATGGTCCCTGAACGAAATTTCCGAAAAAAAAAGATTTGCAACGCCAGGATATTTAATCGAGCAGCGGATATATGTGACCATTTTTGTGGCCACGTTCCTCGATGCTATTTCCGTCTTCAATTATCCATTTCGGTGCAGCATGGGCAGCGAAGAATGCATCGAGACCAATTTCGTGCGGAGAAAGAGTGGCGGATGGCTGGGCGTATTGCCCGCTGACGGTTAATAATTTAATTGTGCACATGTCAATTGGGGTATTCTTCAATTTATAGCTTTGCATCGTGGCGTACAGGCACACGAAGGCTAAGATGTAGTGATACACTACTTTATATTCTGGGTCCATTTTGCCTATATCCCCTTTGAGGATGTGGAGTGGCGGAGAATTGCGCAAAGTTTTCTAAAAGTACATATCAACCGAGTAGGCTCCCATATAAGTTTTCGTAGCGCCATTGAAATGCGTATACACCTTGCGCTATATGCAACGAGCAGACCAAAAGGTCAAATAAAATCCTCCTATTACCTCCATAAATGCAGAACTGTCTCTATGACCCCTTACGCCGTGCTATGCCGTGAAATTTCTTCACGAAAAGAAATATTTACTATCTCGAAGTCGCGAGACATCGAAATCGCCCTGGGAGAATTAGCACGAGAAAGTGTTCAAACTTATAAAAGGGACGCTTACCTTTTGAGGATGCTGAGGAAAGGTAATAGGTAACCATACAGATACTGGGCCCAGTTTACGTGGCGCATTGGCTCTTTTTACCTTCGCTCTTTTCTGAACATGGATTTCGAATGGGGAACTGGGTGGCTCACTCTCTTCATCTTGTATATCGGAAATTTCATCTGCTGTATCGGAAATGGCCACAGGTTGGAATCCTTGAGATTCTTCACTTGAGACCTCGGAAATATCGTCCGAACCCGGATCGACGTCCTTGCCTGTAGAGCCTAATTGTGCTATTGCATCTATTTCAGTGTCATCGGCGACGTCCCTTTCTTGGGCTTCCTGGGCAAAGATCGTATATGGTGTGACCATCGCTTTGCCTTGCTGTACTTCTTCTGGAACATCCGAGGCCAGAAGGCGAATACGTTTGCGTTCCAGATAGAGTTCATGCAGATGGGTCCCGACATGTGGTACGTGGTTTCCCAAGCCTTTGAATGCTATGTGTTTCGGATGTGTCGTCCGCCATTCTCGAATCTTCCTCGCCACATGTGTGTCTGGGTGTACCGAGGACAGATACCAGCTGTCTTTATATCGCACGTCAAATTCGGCGGCGAGTCGTCCAATGACATCCTCTGTGTGGATGTCAATGAACATGTCTCGCAGAACCAGATTCATCTGGTCAATGTCTGAAGCATGCGTCCAGAAGGAGTCGTGAACGGCCGCAAATGACAATCCTGATTCCGCACATTTCGAGGCCGAGAGAAGCATATGGGTCGCATCTAGTGAATGAATAAAGTTAGGGGGAAAGCCTTGAAGCTGCTTGCGTTTACTTATAGTATCCGTTCGATGGGGCTCTTGGAGATTTATGGCCTGCAAGGCAGTCATAACCATGTGAGATTTTGTGTTTCTGTATGGCTGGACCACAGGCATGTTCAGCGGTGTAGTCCAAATAACAGTAGATTTGAAATGCGAATATTCCACTATCCTGTTCAGAGATTGGGTTCTCGGTGTTTTGTGTGATGCGCATTGCTTGTAATTATCCATTTCAAGTTCCAGGCGATTCATTTGGTCGAGAGTAAGAGATCTTGATATCCTGCCAGCGCATTCTCCAAACCAGTGCTGGATTTCATGAGCACCTTTGAACATATTACCAAGCGCGGTAAAGATAAGCCGCGCGACGTACGATGAAAGAGTGATGGCATTCATCGTCGGTTTGATCGGTAAGTCGGGGTAAGTCTCAGTTAGTTGCTTTCTGACTTGATCTCGCGCGCCCGTGAAAGTCACGCCATAGACGTTTGTCATGACCGTGGTCTTGACCGTTTTTCGAGTTATCTTACCATCCAGGTAAGCCGCCTGTTCGTTACCCTCCAGTTTGTCGCGAGCGATGGACTCTTTAACTAGATCCGCGACAGCAGTATAAACGTCCGCAGGACGGTCTCCTGGCTCTAGATTGACTTGCTGAGCACCCCATAAGTCGCCGCCCAAGGCTGCGTAATGCTGTAACCCATTACATGTGCCATCCTGATGTACTGGTAGATGGCTGACAAAACTTGTGGGGTCTTCGCAATCCAACGCGCTTTTGAGCTCAAAACAGGCAGCCAAAGTTTGCCAGGGGTCTTCAGCATTAAGCCACCACCTAGACCCCTCTAGAGGATTGGCCACGGAGTCCAAGATCTCTTCCATGTGAGTTTTGGAAAAGTCTTCTCGCTCTTGAAGACTCGCCTTGTCAAAGCCGTATACATTCGCAAGGTGGATTCTGAGCCATCTGAGACCAGCCACGCCAAGTGGCTTCCCCTTCCCAAACTTTAGCAGGCCTCTACAATGATCCGCACCCATGTGATTGAGATATGGTGGTATCGGATAAGCACGCCCACGAAAATCGACGTTATGCGGAAAATAAAAGGATTCCGATCGAAGTGCTCGGGCGATTTCAAGCTGAAAATTTTGGAAACATCTTTTTGAATGCAAGCCCGTCCGCTGATTGTGTAGGTCTTTGGCAGTTCTCTGCCAACGGCGCTTTTCTGAGACGGATGCACTTGGCGGTGGTGGTGGGGGCGTGGCTAGATCTGGGGATTCTGCAGGGAAATTGGCGATGGCTTCCCCAGTGTTCCAAGCTCTCAACATCACGTCGAACACAGGCCGGTTGATCCTCCATTCAGTTTTGCCAAGGACATCCAAACCTTCACGCAATCGATCTAGGTCTCCCTGCGCAATAGCAGCTTCAGCGTAATATCTTTGGTCTTTATTGCCTGACTTGACTCTGATAAGTTTTGTGGGATGAATGAGATAACCTCCCTCAGCAAAAGACATCCAAGGATCAGGCTCCACTAGCATAGGCAAATGCTTTGCCAACAGGCTATGGACAGGCTCACGCTTCAGAGACTGAGTCAACGCTTCGTTAGCCATGATAATGCCGTATTTTCTTCCGTGTTTGTATTTGTAGGAGTGCAATAGAGCCGGTTGCATTTCAGTCATGGTTTCCTTAGTAACGGAATTTTGAATGGGCACCGGCATAGTTGCTATATCAATCAGAGCTGACAATACATAAGCCCCAACCTTCGCCCGTACAGCAGTGGGCCATGGTAATTCCATAGAGTATTGTGAAGCGCGCTTGGCCATTGGGTGTTTTGAGTCTGTTGCGGACAGTAATTTTGACAAAGATCCAGCCCCTCGATTTTTGACCATCTTCTTGAGGTCGTAGACACCTATTTGCGAGCGGCTTGTCAACGGGCTCCTCTTTTGCCTTTTAACTCTTTCAAGCACGCTCTCGTCTTCAATGGCACCTGAAATATGCATTATAGCATGCCCAAGCAGCAAGCCCTTATCGATTCCCTGGCTAGCAAGCAACCCCATGGTAGATAAAATCGTCAGCGCAGCTAGTTTTTCAGTTGGAACCGTTCGCAGAAATGTCGCATGAATACAGAGTTCTTCATCCTCGCGAGTCTTCTTTTCTTTCTGCTCTATTACCTCGAGCCTGTCAATTTCCTTTTGTAAATGCTGCTCCAGAGCCTTCTGCCATTTCCACATCCTTGCGCCTATAGACTTGGTTTGCAAGGCCGAGTCGAGACCCATCTTTTTGAGTGCTAGGCTCTCTGATCTCCATCTCTCTGCAGCCGCAGTGACCGAATCCTCCTCCAATTGCCGCTGTATTTCTCGTTTTTCTTCTGTTGTCTTGCTTCCCAGAGACAACCCCTGTGACGGCGAAGCGGAAAATAAAGATAAAGACTGCCTCAGAGCATCCAAACCCTGCCCCTTTTGTTCAACGGGTTTGACTTCAGGGACGACGTCTGATGATGTAGAACTCGGAGTTTGTTGGGAGTCGTCTCTAGCAGATAACCCCTCGAGCGGTGTTACTGGATCTTGCTCCAGGTCTTCCCACAGGCTCTGTGCTAAATTCAAATTAGGGCATATCTGCATGATTTCATTCCTTTCGCGATCGGTAAGGAATGGCATGCTCAGTGTTTCTTCTATCCCTGCTTCCTCCTCGACGATATTCATATACCGTCGCACCAAACGCTTCTTATTTCCCCCGGTTTCATCGTCCGCGGCATACAAGGAAGCCTTCAACATGTATGCCACCATCTCTGCGGTGCAAGTCTGATCTTTGCGGCGTATCTCAAGATCAAACCATCTATGAATTCCCCGCATGGCTTCATGCGTAGGATTTAGCATTACGTGATCCGCGTACGCACGAATGTAGTCCGTGTGAAGCTGAATGGCAGCCTCCTCGCCAACATCCGCCTTCTTCAAAACTCGGAGAAGGATCACACCAGCGCGCTCCATCTTGCCCATTGTGAGACAAGCATGGTAGATAGAAAGGATCTGTGTTATGTCGCCGGAAACACCAATCTGGGTCGACCTGATCTTCTGCTCGGAGTTAACCAAGTCTTCATATGAACCTCCTCCAAGTTCTTGGTGATTTCTTCCGTTTTCGAAGCCCGTGCCCATAACGTATCTCTGGGTGAGGTTGTGTGCGGACGGAGGAGGGCGGGTATTGATAGATGGCTCGAAAGGTATGTCGTCGAAGTTCATGGACTCCACAGTCGCGGCCATAGCTGTCGCCATTGAGCGCCGCGACGATCCATTTCCGCCATCATTAGAGTATCGTCTTTTGCTTGTTACAGGTCGATTAAGAGGGGAATCGGTAGTCACGCAGCGACGTAAAATCCTTGGAGAGCTCGAAATATGGGCAGGACAAAGCCAAGGAAGATACAGTTGGTCGAAGAGAGGTTGTGTTCGAAGCGTGGCGGAAGCAACTTTTCGACGAGCTGCGCGGACGAGCATGCTGAAAGGACTAGTGTACAAGACGAAATGGTCGGAAATCCGGCATCAAAACAACATTCAAAGAAGATATTATTAAAAGATTGGTGGTACAGAACGGAAAATGAAAGACTCGGACGCGAAATTCGCCTCAGCAATGAACTCGAGGGCTCTCTTAGATTCAGGAGGAAAATGAATGGAGACCCTTAAGCTAATACGCTAGTGTAGACTTTTAGGTCGGCGCGGAGGTACGTATATCCGGACAGCTGTATCATGTGATCAGCAACCACTTTCGTCGAAATCGCCCAGTCCCCACATCTGGGAAGTGTCGTCCGCGATTGGTTCGTCGCGTCTGACAGCCAGACAAGGGTTTCCAGGCGGCATGGTACTCCATGTGGCATAGCATCTGGCTTCATCTGATTCCACTTTCGTCTGAACTCGACCTCGACCTCGATTCCTGTTCATTAATTCACCTTGTTTGCGGCATTGCTTAGGTACCGCCCCTTGTCGCCTTTATTTTCCATGTCCTAACCGTCTGAGAACTGTAGAATCTTATCCTTCAGTACTATCATCTCCTTGCGCCGCGCTTGTCAGTCGTGCTTCTATTCAGCCTAGACCCTGGACGACTATACCGGGTCGATTATATTCTTCTTCCTCCTCGGCCATCACAGTAACAACAACAACATCAGCAACAACAATCCGCAAATTGCAGCAAAGATGCATTTCACGAAACCTTCTATTCTGGCTCTGTCTCTGTTGACGAGCGCCAGCGCAGCCCAGGAGTCTCCTTTGGAGCAAGCCAAAGTGCAAGCTCAGTTCTGGTTCGACAAGCTGTCGAGCTACATTCCCAGCCCCAACAAACCACACACACCTGCTGCGGCAGCTGCTAAGGCGGGAGGGAAAACACTAAATGTGTTGACTCTGAGTGATTGGGAACAGACCATCCGATCAAGCGTAACACCGCAGACTGCAACGCCAGTGGAATGGTGGGTTATGGTAACGGGTGGAAACAGCTCCTGCTATGGCCACTGCACCATCGCAGAGACTGCTTTTAATCAAACAGCGGCGCTATGGTCGGTCAACCCAAACAGTCCAAATCTGGCATACCTCGATTGCGACAATCAACCAGTTCTGTGTAACAGCTGGGGAGCTGGGCCTCCCAGCTTGTGGATCATGGATGTTCCAGCTCCAGGCAAGCCAGTCGATATCCGCATCAAGGCGTTGAACTCGACCACCACCACCGTCAAGACCTTTACCGACCTTTATGCCTCGAAAGACTGGAAGAGCAAGCCAGTCTATGAAGGTTACTTCCATCCTTTCGACGGGGTCTTGGCTCAGTCTGGTCTTGCGGTACCCCTCGGTTACATCTTTTGGGTATTTGCTGTCGTCCCCAGCTGGATGTTCATGCTCGGCATCTCGTTCTTGAGTCGCACTATTATGTAAGTTCCCAACCTCAAGAGTCTAGTAAGGTCATAATTAATAAGTCTTTAGGAGCTCGAGAACTTCAGGACCAAACGCACGTCGAGCTGGCGCTCCACCCGCCGCTGCTCCTGCTGCCCGGGTAGGCGCCCCCCCTGGAGATGCACGTTTTTATTAGTTGCAAACTAATATCACACAGTAACTCTCTCATTGACGGACAAACGAGGGAAGAGGAGGAGACTTGGGCGTTTTGTATTCCTTCATGATCAGATATTTAGTGTTATTAGTGGAAATTTTAATGTCAATTGGGTATCGAACTGCCTATCCTTGGTTGTGTGAGCTCACATTGCCTGCCATCAATTTTTGCAGGATGACTGCAACACCGTGAGGTCATCTATTACTTGCTCTGGAAGCGCCGTATTGGCCAATCGTCCATAACGGATGTCACTGAGTCCCCCGATCATGCCGTGAATGCCATCCAAAACAGCGTTGGCTTCTTCTTCTAGTCTTCGAACATCCTCCTCAAGCTGAATAGTAGCACTTTCCAAGTCCGGTAAGATTGACGACAGGCTATGTGGCTTGAAGCTATCTAAATTCGACGAGGGCCCAAACAACTAGTACCTCTATAAGCCAATTTGCAGTGGATGTCCTTGCGCTCAAACTTACAGCATTTTCGATCCTAACTTCATCATCTTGGTCTCCCCTCTCCGCCCGTCTACGCTCTCTAATGACAGCTCGCCGCTGAGTTCGGCCGCGCTTGCTCTCGTTGGATATGTTGTGCGTTACAGCATCCACAACACGTGCTCTCTGGTGTTGAAGGTCTCGGTAAAGAACCCTGATCTGCGGGGAGGACTGTTGCGCCTTGGGAAATAGTTCCGTAAATGCCTTGAGGGTTATAATCGATGGTAATGGGGATGGAGGTAGCAAAAAAGAGGACAAGATAGCCTCTTCCGTGGGTGCCATTTCAAGGCTTTGGATTGGTACAAGTGCCAAAGAACCAACGCGGTGATTTATAAATTACCTCAATAGGCAAGCAAGAAAAATCGTCCAAATCTCGTAAGAAATGTGGTGAGAGCACAAGGAATTCGTCTCTCTTGGGTGGATCCTATTTTGATATGTTTTGTTTGTTCTTTCTTGCCTCTCAAGCATTCACCAGGGAGACGCGAAGTTCGCGAACAAACGCGCTTGGGCTAGCCGAAGAAATGCCCTTTCTCGTCTGGCCTGCGCTCCTCACCTTTACCAACCACATCAATACCACAACTACCTGTGCGCTTTTGCTATATTGTTATTTCCAATATTGTTGCATAAAGTTTTTAGCTTTGGCATCTACCATGGCTCCAAAAGCAACGGAATCCGCGTCTCCATTCGCCAAAGATGAGAAAGTTTTGTGCTTCCATCACGAGATGCTCTACGAGGCAAAAGTCCTGGACTCGCAGCATGTTCCCCCAAGCAGCTGGCGATTCAAGATACATTACAAGGGATGGAAAAACACTGTAAGTGTAGTTCCAGCGCCCTCGATACGGAGTGGAGTCTGGTAAATCCCGTGACTAGACCAAGCACCCCTTTCCCTCCCATCGCAACTTCCAAAGTTGAGGCAAGCGAGACGTGAATGCACACTCTGAGTTGGGCCTGCAAGCACCGACGAAACATTTACTGTCAAGGGTACTCTGGGTTTATGTCGATCACATCAAAACAATCCACTCCACTCAGTCGACATGAGGTCTGTACGATTAAGAGCGAAAAGAGAGTCTAACGGTGTATCAAAAAAACAGTGGGATGACTGGGTTCCTGAAGACCGAGTCCGCAAATTTACAGACGAGAATAAAGAACTAGCTGCCCAACTTCATACACAAATGAAGGCGCTTCAGAGAGGAACGAAGTCCGTCACGAAGTCCAGCAAGAAGCCGAATGGATCAGATTTCAGCTCGGCACGAGGTAGCGAGGAAAGACACACCTCTGTCGCAGCAACTGGCGGCCGTGCTGGTCAGAGAAGAAACAGAGATTATGACATTGAAACAGTACGTATATTTTGATTTCTCTCTAATTCAGTTTCCCGTCGTCTGCCTTCTTTCTTCGCGTATGGGAATTCACTAGAGCGTGGTGGTTCGGCAAACCGCTCCTGGACGACAAACACCTCAACTCAAGGCACCTCCAACAACACAACTTTTGGTAAACACCCACAGTAGATTTCTCTACCCATACAAGTCATTGGATCAACGCGCTCACAGGGGTATAATTACTGTATTTTCGCCATCCTTGACCACCATCACAACGCTCAACTCGTGGTTGATAATGGCAACTGGATCAGCCTTAGCCTCATCATCCGAGGTTTCTAAACAAGAGTCCCAACAGAATGATCGTGGTGTCCAAGCCGGCGATTCTGATCGCGATTCTGAAACCTCTGTCGGCGCCGTGCAGAACTCGCCCAAACGCATCGTAAGTTGTTCCAAAGCATGTTGCACGATTTAAACTCACATGCACTTAGGGGCTACCAGACAAATCACCCAGCCCAACAGCGCCGCCACGGAAGAGACAAGGCACTGGTAAAACCTCTTCTGCGCCAAAGGTTACTTCTGTGGGACAGCGAGCTACCAGAAGCCGCGCTCAAGAGCAAGACTGGAACAAAATCAACAACGTCGATTGGCCCATCATGAAGATGCTCACAACAGAAGAGTGTCTTGCTCCTGATCTATTGCTCAAATTGCCGACCAAGAACCATACGTACATCGACTCGCAAGGAAGACTCAGAGACCCTGACAAGTACTCCCGGGGCCAAAATGCTCCCGTGGCCCCAGAGCAACCGCTCAAGATTCATCCTACGCTCGCTCGACACATCAAAAATGGGACCGCCACTAAATATAACACGCTGTGGTATCAGAATATGGACGAAGAGTCTTGGGCTCCACTTGCTGGTGTCATTGCTCCCAAATCTGAACTCCGTTTAAAACAGCCACCATCGGCTCAACCGTCCAGTGAGGAGTCCGAGAATCTACCTGTTGATCAGGATCAAGAAGCTTCAGATACCATCGTCTTAAACAATCCAGATGACGAAAAACCCAACAAATCCAAGCGCCGAGCCCACGAGCCAACGCGCAGAAGTACTCGGAGGTTGTAAACATATTATTCTAACATTTTATAGGAGGAGAATTTTCATTCGCGGCCATCAGTTAAGCTTGCCATGCCTGATCAAATCAAGGCTATTCTGGTCGATGACTGGGAGAATGTCACCAAAAATCAGCAGCTTGTTCCTCTTCCCTGTCTTTATCCAGTGAACGCCATTCTCAATGACTACTTTGATTATGAGAAACCAAAGAGGCAACCGGGTAGCCCTCAAGAAAACATTCTAGAAGAGGTGATGGCAGGACTGAGGGATTATTTCGAAAGATGTCTAGGTCGTATCCTTCTGTATCGGTAAGTCTGTTAATATTACTAGTAATTTTCCGACTGACGACTATCATTCATAGATTTGAGCGTCAACAGTATACCGAGGTCAGAGAAGCATGGGCTGGCTCTGAAGGCGACTTAGCTGGCAAAAACGCTTGTTCCACATATGGAGCAGAACATTTGTGTCGACTACTAGGTGTGTATAGGTCGGAATCTTGCTTCATACAATACTAACTAATTGCAAGTAACACTTCCGGAGCTGATTGCGCAAACAAACATGGATGTTCAATCCGTCAATCGCTTGCGAGAGGAGCTTACCAAGATGTGTAACTGGATTGGTCGTAATGTGGAGAAGTACTTTTGCAAGGAGTATGAAACTCCCAGCCAGGAATATGTCGAGAAGGCACGCAGCGTTTAGGTTTTTCATTCAATCAGCATTACAAGGCGCATGGCGTATTACATGAGGTATTTCTATTAGTGTTAGGAGCGTGCTCTGAGATTAGATAATAGTTATGCCTGCCGTCTTGTCGCCCTAGGCCCTCCTGAATATCGTTTCTATACTACTGTTCATTGTCTCGAGAATGAAAAGGCTTTAATTTCTGAAGAGTGCGTGATTTGGCTCCTGCAGTGTGACCTACGTCTGTGACGCAGAGTTCTTGATTAAGTGCAATGTTTAACATATTGAAATCTCATTCTTAGAATAATACCAGCATTGCTCGTCCGCTTATATTTGTCTTATAAACGGAATCCCTAGAATAACCCCAAACTGCTTAGCACCCATCTGGACGAGCTATGCTTCATTACGATGCCGGTAAATAGGCCTTGTCCGTAATTAAAGTGATCACCTATTGATTAAAATTGTATTACCTAACACCAAAGAGCCGTTACAGGACGTATGGGTTTTGCAAAAGAAGGCTGGATAGTCTGGACACTGCGATTGATCGATGGCTATGATGAACGAAGGATCACCCCTGGTACAGACAAGAATATGATTGAAGAGTTTTTTGGCTCTGAATTGGATTCTGCAATCGCCTAATCGGGCGTTGACCTTGCTCATGCTAGCTTCTTAGCCCCCCACGGTATTATACATTTCCCACAACTAGCCAGCCATAACTCCTTGGTTCTTTTGACACATAACATATTGCTCGACTTGTTCCCAGGGAGGTGACTCGATACTGAACAGGTTGGCTTTCCACGCCCCTCAAGGACTCTCTCCCACGCAGGTCAGCTTCGATCCGCCCATTGTATCGTACAGCGCTTGTTTGACTTTGATATACACCGCGTTCATCTCACACATCACCATCCCCTGTCGTCTTCGTACATGTCCTTCTCGTATCAGCGTGGAGCAGCTTTCTCTAGCCAAAACCCTGGATCCGGTCTTCTCTCCGCCTTCAATTCCTCCTTCGACAACGGCCTATCCACTTCCTCTACCGAGACCAACTCTTTCACTCTCATGATCTGACCTGCTACTTCGGGTGTGACGGGGTAGAACACTGTGGTCATTCGATGGCGGAGACCAAGCGCTTTGAGGACTCCTTGGGTTCGTTTGGGCATTCCGATGCCCGATCGCTGGAGGGTTATGCGAAAATACGACATTGTGACTAAGATTGGATTAGCATTATGATCAATTGTATGATAGCTGACGTTAATACCTTTGTTGCGAGAACTGGACTATGTTGTTGTCGTTGATTTCGTGAGGTCGCAAGAAAATGTCCCAGCTTATCGGGTCCGAGGCGCGCTAAGTCGACCCCAGACTCCAGCTCCCAAACACCAAATAATCACATCGCTGGTCCGCCACGAACACACTCTTCTACTGTAGACATCTATGGTTTCCAAACACGATGGAAAGTTCCACGGTCAAGCTCGCGGAGCTGCTTCGCCATCCCGACGACTTGGACAAAATCCCCGCCCTGAAACTCGAATACTCCCGCAAGAAAGCCGCTGTTGATTCGCAACTGCGAAGTGGACTGAAAGAGCAATTGGAGGTTACGCAGTCTGGAATGAATGGGATTACAGATGGTCAACGAACGGTTCAGTTAATCAAGGAGGAGATGATGAAGATCGACAAGCTATGCGCCGAGTCTCAGAACATGATTCGCGATTTCCCTAACATCAATCTGGTCTCGCAGACGCATAGGAATTTCAATGCGGTGGAAACGATGCGGAAGAATCTGGATAGTTTTAATGATCGTGTTAGTCAGGTGGAGATGATGCTCCAGGAGGATGATAGGGATCAGGAGAATATGCCGAATTTACTGGTTATACATTATGAGTTGACGCAGCTGAGGAATATTAGGGATGATGCTATGGAGCAGATTCAGAGGGCTGATGATTCTAGTCTGCAAAGTACGCTTGAAGACTACTTTGCTAGGCTCGATGAGACGGTGGATTGGTTTGACGAGCATATTGGGACGGTCGCGTTGAATTTGATCAATGTTCTTGTGGAGGGGAATAATGGGCTGGTGGTCAGATTGGCAGTTATCATTGAGGCAGAGGAGAAAAGTGATAAGAGAGTTAAGGCCCTACAGGAGGCGCTGAAGGACCACAAGGAAATGGCCGCTAGGTTTCAGAGCATCACAGATGGTGCGAAGAATGTGAGGGGGTATAAGGAGAAGTTCTTGCAGGCCATACAAGTCCATGCCGATGAGCAGATTATGGAGACTAAGCAGGCATTTCTGGAGGATCCGTCAAAGTTGGACAAGAATCTGAAGTGGTATTTCAATGACTTGAATGCTGTCAAGGTGGGAATGGTTCCGCTTATGCCAAAGAAATGGAGGATATTCCAGACTTACGGCAAGATATATCACAAGATCATGCATGATTTTCTGGTTGGCATGATAGACGATCCAGAAACTAGTTCAGCCAATATGCTTTCCATCCTAAACTGGCCTGAGAAGTACTATACGAAGATGGCTAAGCTCGGATTTGGGAAAGACGATTTGGAACCCCATGTGATAGATGGGAGAGAGGTGGAACTGGTTAGGGAATTCCGCCAGCTTATTATTCGCTACTTGGATCAGTGGCTCGATCGGATCTTCCAGACGGAGAAGAAAGATTTTGCAGAGAGAAACGTGGATGGAGCAAACTTGGATGCAGACGAATACGGATACTTCCGTACGAAGAATTTAGTTGACATGTGGCGGATGTTACGAGAGCAGATTGATGCTGCAGCGAATTCTCAGAGACAAGATGTCGCAGAGGGAGTCATCGATGCCATGATATTACGGTTAAAGAGTCGTCAGCAAGGCTGGCAGAAAATGCTTGACGACGAAGCCGCTAGGTACATTGGTAGTACCCCGGAGCTCGAAGGGTTCCAAGCTCTTCAAGATTGGCTTGTTGCTACAGCCAACGATCAAATTGCGTGTATTGATGACAACGAAGAGGAAGGTCGATTTGCGTACTTGTCGAGTTTCCAGCAGAAATTCGAAGACGTTGTCTCACCCCAATATCTGGAAAGGGTTGACGAAGACATGTCTAATCTTCGTGATGGATATGTCGATTTGAGTACTCACTGTATCGCTAAATTTGCACAACTCATCTTCGCCGTCGATTTTAGAGCAGTCTTACCCGATTTCTTCACACCTAAATGGTATTCAACCACAGCAATGAGACAAATGGTCGTCACATTCGAAGAATACGTCGGAGATTACAAGAGCGTTCTGCATCACTCGTTACTCGACATCTTCATCGAGGAATTAGCAGACGAGCTCCTCATCCGCTACCTCTCAAGCGTCAAAAACAAAGGTGCAAAATTCAAGCGACAAGATCCCTACAAAGACAAGATCTTCAACGACGTCTCCACGGCCTTCGAGTTCTTCGATAACAACGGCTACCTCTCCCCCGACGTCGCCGACACCATCAAGCAGAAATGGCGCGTCACCGAGCCCTTCCTTGGTCTCATCGAAGCCGACAAGTCTGCTATTCCTGAAGTGTTTGCGGGGTTTAAAATGGATTATTGGGATTTGCAGTTGAGTTGGGTGGAGTCGGTGCTAAGGTCGAGAGATGATTTTGATAGGAGTATGTTGAATGCTGTTAAAGCTAGGGCGGCGCAGATTGATGTTGAGAGGGGGTTGGAGACTATTATGAGTAAGGTTAAATGAGCACTGGACTGTTTTGGGATGGGATGGGAGTTTGAGCGAGGCGTTTGGGGGGTGGGTTTGCATTGCTTGGAGTTTGGGGGTCTGGTATTGGGGTTTGAGATGTATAGTTGGAAGATTTTAAAATGTTATGATGTTATTTCATCGAGTCAACTATATACCTGTGTCTTTTACTCTCGCTCGAAACAAACCTTTGAGTCGCCGGACGGAGGTGGTTAGTTCTTTTTATAGATATGACCTTCTCTCGTTGTGATATCTATTCAATCGAAGCTGTGTTTGGATCAACTCCTCAGAGGGCCCCTTTAGTTTGAGAATCTCGGCTTATAACTCAGCATCATAACCACAATCCTGTAGCTTTTTTCTTCCGAAAGACCTAAATATTAAATAACATGAACAGTTACGTGTTGAAGTCCTTGAGAAATGGTGGTGGTAACTCCAGCTTTGTACAGAAGTCTGGCGGGACACCTCCTTGCGATGAATTGGCGATTTTTGGTATTCGTAATATTTTTCGTTTTGAAATCAGGTACAGTGACTTTCGGCTTTCCAGATCTACCCAAGCTGGTGGAGGACAATCTTCGTGCTAAGTAAGTCGATTTCGCATAACCTGACAATTCAAGAAGGTGTTGTTCACTCGGAATAATTAAGGAAATGTATAAGCGTGCCAACATAATTCACTAAATCTAATATTTCTTCTGTTGTTTTAATTAAATATCTACATTCAACTGCCGCTTATCTGTCCTCGCGATCTTGACTCTCGGCTGGCTTGATTTACCCAAGTATGGCAACTCCCCCACTGTTCATCGGATTTCAAAGCTACCCCACCGTGGGGTACTGTACATATCACTCTTTCAAATTTGACGTCACCACTTTTTAACATATAAACACAAATTGACTATAAATAACGTGATACCCAATATACAAAGGTAACAAGATTCATCCCATCGCGCATCATAACAGAACCCCACATCTAACCAAAAATCAAGATCAAGATGCCTCCCCAAGGATTTCCCCAACATGGCAAGCGCTTCGAGCCTAAGAATATGCTGTTCCGGTACCTGGGCAACACAGGACTCAAGGTTTCCGTGTTAGGATTAGGAGGATGGCTCACGTATGGAAGTGACGCAGGAGTCAAAGGCGTCGAACAGACTGCTGAATGTCTTCAAAAAGCATGGGATCACGGCATCAATTTCTTCGACACGGCTGAAGTTTACGCTGAGGGAAACTCAGAGATTATCATGGGGAAGGCTTTGAAGCAGTGTGATTTTGAACGCGATGATTTCGTGATTGCTACAAAGTTGCATTTTGGTGATGGTATGTAGATTGATGTACTTCTCACGCTGAACGCTTGTTAATTCGTGAACGTCAGGAAATGGATTCCCAAACAACCATGGTCTATCACGCAAGCACATCATAGAGGGAATGAAACGCTCCCTCACACGACTCCAACTGGAGTCCGTAGATGTAGTCTACGCGCATCGTGCGGATTTCTGGTGCACGCCCATGGAAGAAACTGTTCGTGCGTTTAACACCATCATTGAAAAAGGCCAAGCCCACTATTGGGGAACCAGCGAATGGTCTGCGTTCGAGATCGAACATGCTCAGCACGTTGCCACGCGATTAGGACTTCAAGGTCCTGTCGTGGAACAACCGCAATACAACATGTTTGTGCGTGACCGATTTGAGAACGAATATGCTCCGTTGTACAAACTGTATAACTATGGAACGACGGTCTGGTCGCCTTTATACCAGGGGATCTTAACGGGAAAGTATAATGATGGGATTCCTGAGGATTCACGATACGCTACTATCTCCAAGAACGACGCTACGAAGTTCGAGAGCGAAGTGACGAAAGCGCAGATTGCAAAGGTTAGAGACCTAACGAAGATAGCTGAGAAATTGGGTGGCTCGATGGCTTCGCTGGCTCTGGCTTGGGTTATCAAGAACCCTCATATCTCGGTTGCAATCTTGGGCGCTACGAAGGCATCTCAGATCGAGGATAATGTGAAATGTCTTGAGCTGTACCCCAAGATGACGGACGAGATTATGCAGGAAATTGAGGATATTTTGGAAAACAAACCTAAAGTCCCAGGAACTATTCCTCCTACAAGGATGGCAATGACTATGAATGAGGCGCTCAAGTGAGACTTGAGTTGCTTGGATGTGTTTGAGGTGCGGAGGGTAACGATTTAGCTCCTTAATCTTGAGGAAGCTGGATGTCTCGCTAGTTAGCTCTCATTCTGATCGGAATTCAAGTAGCTGAGACTAGAGAATAGAGATATGAAAGATGCATAATGACAATTTGCTTTTGTAAGTAGAGTAGACCCACTCCAGAGTATATAATCAGTTTATAGTAGAGTAAGGAGCTTCTGCTATTTATCTTGTTTTCTACGAGTCACCTTTATACTAGAATACTTAAATCCTTGGAAGATTACTCGTGAAATTCACACAAAGCTATAGCAAGAGAAGATAGTAGAAGATAATTAAGTTAATGAAACTAATGAAATCTGAGGCTCTAGACAGAAAGGAGTAATATTGAGGGCCACGTGGAGTCGAAGAATCCGTTAAGAAAGGAACTGTGGGATGGAGAAAACAAATGAACGTTGTAGTGAAGATAGTAGTAGACAGCGGAAGTACTGAGTGATGAAAAGCGTAGAACAGTCAGGAACACCACGATTCTAGGAATTGGAGTGAATAGTAATTTGTAGACCCGGGTTTCAAAGATACCTAAGGTGGTACCTAGGTATCTCCTGAAACAAATAATGTCACGTGCAGGGGCGCGTCACCTTCCCCTCCATACGCGACTCAACATCTAACCGCGACCAGATGTCAACATTCATTCCCAATGGTAAGGAAACCCGGACCCCTTTGGTGTAATAACATATCTGATTATTTGTAGGCGCCTGATGAACAAATACTGAAGCGAAAGCGCTCGCGGCCCTCCCAATGGTGGGCAGCTGTCCCGTCCCCGAATCAATCAGCAACTTCTGTCGCTCCTGTTTCGCACCCCGCGAAGAAGAACAAGTCCACAGAGACTAGTCGACCTACAACGTACGAGAGCTCTGCGAAAACAGTATCTGAAGTGACGTCGAAAGATCCAGAAGATGTAGAAGTCCAGAGTACCCCGCCAAATACTGGCCGGGAGGTAGAAGGGAATTCATCCAAGTCAGTTTCATCGGCCCAATCGTTGAACAGTACTGCCCAAAATATAAGGAGGCTGGAAGATGTATCGGCAGATAATGAGGATCACTCAGAACTTAGAAGTGGGAAGAGGAAGAGGGCCGGACCAACAGCTTGGTGGGCTGCGAATTCTGCAAAGGAGAGGGCCGAGGAGTTGAATGGCCCGATGACTACCAAGGGGAATGAAGGGTCAAAGGGAGGGCATCAGCAATCAACAAATACCTCACAAACTTCTACCGTTATCGACCTGTCGGCGGAGGATGTCTTGTCTACTGCTGAATCCGCGGAGCCTTTAGTAGATTCAAGCTCAGAGCGCCAGCCATCCAGAAGGAAACGAGTTCCACCTCCAGAGTGGTGGGCAGTAAATACGTCTACACCATCGAAAGAAGCCACGCCATGGAAGAAGGGAAATAAAACACAGGTTAAAAAGCCATCTACAGGCGTATTGAAAGATGTGACCTCACGCGGAAACATGGTGAAGCAGCCGAAGCCGACGGAATCTGGTGATGTTTTCGAAAAGCATCCAAAAGCTCGTGGTACGCAGCGCGGTAGAGGGCAAGCAGCCGCAAGTGTTCAGAGCAAGACCAAAGTCGTGAAACACCAACGGGGCACACCACCGAAAGTTTTAGATAAAGCTCCAACACCGTTGAGAAGGGGTCGCTCGTCAAGAAACGAAGCGGAGATACAGGCGGCTGCAATGAGCTCAAGTTCTTTGGCGTCGTGTGTTGAGCATGGGGATGCTGGGATGTCCGAACCGCACCACACTAGCTCAATTGAATCGAATGGAAGAAGTGAAAATCAATTGGAAAGCGAAGAAATCTTGGAAGTACAGACAGCTACGTCCAATTTCGGCAGAGGTAAAGCCAGGACAGGAGGGCACGTAGAGCCAGCTCATCAATCACGTACAATCCAGAAAGCTCCAAATTCGAAAGGCCAGCGCGCCCAAACAAAGTCCAATAAAGCCCCCGTCAAGTCAAAACATGTCTCCAAGTCGACACACAGAGAACCAGAGCAGGCTTCGGGTCTGCGAAATTCTCGAAACCCTAAGAAAGCCGTAGAAAGTAAGTTTGGATAATTAATCAAACACACTTGGTTGAACTAACAAAATTTCCAGCAACGCAGCCCAGCTCTGAAAACGCTCAAGTTGGTAGAGCTGACAGTCCAATTGACGAAACGCCCCAATTTCAACACCTGGCTGCAGTAAAACGAAGAGTCAGTCGTGCCACGATCGAAGAGAAATGGGAGGAATTGCCACCTAACTGTGTTGAGCTCATTAATCAAATGCTTGTCAACAGTCAGAGAACAGTAGTGGTACGCCTAGGTAATCAAGATAGGAGAGCTCAGGCAGACACGGCCTTACAGACGATTTCACGCAAATTGCTCAAAAAAGTGTCGAAAGGGCTACCTTTTCCAAGAGCTGTTGGTCGCCAACGCGAGGATGACTTTGATTTCGAGAAGATTATTGATCGAAACCAGCGGCTCGAAGGTCAACTCAACTCTGAGCTAGACGCAAATAAGCTGTTAGACGAGTCTCTCACCAAAGAGCTCGCTCTCCTAGAGTCTGAAAGGGAAATTCTGGCAGATCTTGAAACCAATGCAAAAACCCAATCTTCACAGAGAAAAGCCGGTTCTGCCAAACTTCATCCATTCCTCCAATCGGCTAGCTCCCCGGAAGTTGATGGTATCGAGGTTTCCAGCAGTTTGGGAGCGCGAGCGATGCCTAGCTTGGGCGTGAGTCTATTCCTGTTGTTTCGCTGTTCATGCATGGCTAATTTCTGTCAGTTTTCCACCGATGAAAATCTTCAAATGGTTGTTCGAGATCTTGAAGGCCACGTTGACAGCCTGCAGGGCAACTTCAAGCCACTCAGTGCCTTGCCTGAAGCAATGGCGAAAGCCAAAGCCGCTGTACAAATCACGATTCTCGATCATCTTGGAAGTACGAAGTGTGAAGAAGTTGTTTTGGGTTTATGAACAAGATTGGGTATGTAGCCTAACCAGCGTGTTGGTCTCAGCCAGGCCGAACATCTTCTGCTTTTTTCTCTTGCCTTCGGGTACACAAATAGCAGGGTTCTGCTAAGCTGAGCATCTTCAAAGATGAACGGCAGGGGGGCGTTTTTTGTATATTGAGATGATGCTGTTCCCTCTCAACCGTGGGCATCATTGTTTCCTGTGGAAGTTTTCCCAACAATCTCGGTTTAATGATACCCAAATGATGTCACATGATTGAGCTGGGTAGGAGTCAGGGATCTCTTGGGTGTCAGTTTAGAAGTTTGGGCTTGGTGTTTTTCTTTATTCCCTTCTCAATTGTCTGGCCGACAACTGTACCGGATAAAATATAGCTCAGAGAATGGTTCTAGCTATACAATACCAGTCGTATCAAAATATATAAATCACATGCAGAATAATGCCTTTTCCATCTCCATGCATGTGCATCCTAGGTACCTCAGGTACTCCTTCTGTCGTGATCGATGATCCTTGATCTTGAATGATTCTCGGCTTGTGAGGCTGTTAGCCCCGACGCCCCGCAATCTTGAACACCCTCATCTCGACAGAAGAAACGTCCTCACTACCTTGATCAACCACTCTTGATCCTACCAGAGTGCAGAATAGCCGCGCAACGATCTACCCTACTCGGCAATCACCTCAACGTTCTCCCAACAGGACGCGACCTTACACCAATCGCGAATCCTTACCGGCGCAAGACCTTCCTCGAGGACCAAAGGTCAACAGCGTAACGTCGCAACCCGATGGAATCTCTTGAAACAGAGGCTCCGATGTAATGGAACAGAATGGCGCAAGCAATGGGCAGGATACAAAACCTCCGAATGCCTCGCCGCCGGCTGCTGGGGCGAGTAAGAATTCCAAGAAGAGACGGAAAGTCAATCACGGTACGTCCAGCGAATAAAACCTCTGCAACCGTTCCCAATTGCATGTCTGAAACATCCGCTGATCTTGGTCATGGCCCCACAGCTTGTGTGTACTGTCGACGATCTGTAAGTCTTACATTAGGTCGAAATACAAGAAGAGCATGGCCGGATGCACCTATGCGAATGTTGTTTGGCAGAAGCTAATTTGATCTGGGAATTGACCAGCATATGACATGCGACTTGGTACGACCTCTTTCCAATATATGCAACCCCTTGTGACACATAGTGTTCTATGACTGACTTCGTTCTGTCGTACAGGAACGCCCATGTGCGCGTTGTATAAAACGAAATATTGGGCACCTCTGTCATGACGAACCCCGCGAACCGGAAACAGCCACGAAAAAATCCAAGAAACAGCATAGTAATCCAGTTGACGACGATGACGCGGCGACGGAGCAACTACAAAGTAACGTGGATGGTGGTATGAACACTTCAATTGAGCAGCCCCAGGTTCAATCGCAGGATAGCGGTCTTGCGATTGGGACAGCAACGCTTCCTCAGGCTAGTTCTTTACTCGTTCAACCATCACCTGTGTCGGGAGTTCAGGCAAGTGCTCTCAACAACAATTCAAATCAGTGTGAGCTACTCGGTCAAGTTGAGCAATGTGGGCAGTCACTAATGGAAGCATGTAGTTACCGGATACTCGAACGACTGGCTTGGTACACAAAGCCAATTCCAAGATATGCATACTTACCATTCTTCTTATATGTTCAACGCGCCAGAAGTCACGAATGAGTATAATCTTCTGAACGACTTCTTGAATAACAGCTTGCTCGACGACGGAGCATTACTGCAGGAAGACACCCCAACTCTTTTTGGTGGTCAATCAAGTGTCATGTTGCCAGGAGGACTCAGCAATAACTCCGGTTCACAGCAATCCGCCAATCTTGGATTACCTGCTAATTCGCAAGGCTATGCAATGCCTAGACCAGCGAGTGTTATACCCGCAGATAAGGCACGAGACTATTATCTTCAAGCTGCGGATCCATCTGGAAATGATGCCCCGGAAGAAAGAATGCAGCGGCTCCTTCGAGCTAAATACGACGCTGGGATGTTGAAGCCTTTCAACTATGTGAAAGGCTACGCTAGATTATCACTCTATATGGATTCACACATGCACATGGCATCGAAACAGAAGATTTTACGACAGCTTGAACAATTTAGACCCAAATTTAGAGAAAAGGTTCAATCATTGACAGATATTGAGCTGATATATGTTGAAATGTGGTTTGAACGTAGCCTCATGGAGTACGATCGTGTCTTTGCAAGCATGGCTATTCCCGCTTGTTGTTGGCGGAGAACTGGCGAAATATTTAGAGGGAACAAGGAGATGGCAGAGCTGATTCATGTGCCCATCGAGAAGCTAAGAGATGTAGGCGACACTGCTTGTATCGACCTCACACTGCGCTTACACTAGACAGGGAAAGATTGCCATACACGAAATTCTCACTGAAGAGTCGCTCGTCAACTACTGGGAAAAGTTTGGGGCCATTGCTTTTGATCTAGGCCAAAAAGCTCTCATAACGAGCTGTTCATTGAAAAATCCCGACGATAAATCGAAAGACCCAACCATCAAATGTTGCTTTTCGTTCTCGATTAAGAGGGATGACCACAAGATGTGAGCTATTATTCGTTGTATCATCCTTAACCATTACTAACATCCCACAGCCCGTCTCTGATTGTTGGAAACTTTCTCCCGCAAGATCCTGTGAAACGTTAGAACTTACATTCAATTCTTAGTAGATATTAGGGCCCAAGTAAATAAATGTTGCGGTGTAAAGGCGCCGGAGATTTGGCTGCAGCAAGCCATACCTAGGTACCTACTGTAGGAGTCCTTGACGCTAGTGGAGTGGGTCAGGTCAAGTTAGATACCACCACTCTGTAAAACAACAAACTTCATATTATTCGACACTTCTTTCTCCATCATTTCTCGTTTCATCTGAATGCGCCTGTTTACGAAAAACGTCCTTTTATGCTTCTGCGAGATATCAGGAGGACCAATTGATCTGTTGTGGACAGGACTTGCCTCGACGCCGAGGGCAGCCCCGAGCTGGCAGTTGTGGGACACGATTCACCTCACCTGAGATGAAATGGCGCCAATACATCCAGGCCGTACTGACAAGGAGAAACGCGTCAGGCAACTTCTATGCAAGTCCCCGTTCCCCAACAGATGTGGAAAGTGTTGGCTTATGTTTTGTCCAAGCCTTTGCTGCCGATATCCAGCAACAAATCTCCGCTGCGGCAACCTCGAGATCGCCAGGAAGTCTTGTGCACGAAATTGAGAAAGAAATACTTACCTTCCCAAGCAATTTGGGCACAGCTGCAGCATCTAAGTGTGAGGAGATTGACAGTACTGCCACGGTACTATGGAACCTTTGCACCCGCCTTCGACGCGACAATGAATCCGAAACCCCGCAGAATTCCCCAGCCGTATTAGATATAGCGCGCGTGTTTGCGTTTCTTCTCTTGTGTTGCGCGCACGGCCATGGAAAGTCAACGAGTAGTAATATCTGTAGACTAATGAAAATTGGCTTCAAGGCTGCCAAAGGATCAATTGGTATATCCGCAGAAGATGGATGTGAGGATCTGCTGACATCGGCTCAGGGCGGAACCAATATGATCTTGCTTCCAAAGTCCTGGAGCGACTTGGCAAATTCGAAGGCTTGCTCAAAGATATCCAGGGTGACTCGTCGGCAGAACACGGAGAGGACCTTCAACGCCTGAGCTCAGAATACTTCATCCTCCGGACTTCATTGGTCCTTACCCCTCTTGCTTTGGTCGTTCGAAGCTGACATGCAATTAGGCGTGGCATCAGAAGCAGCTGGATATTGTAGAGCACCTATATACAAATGCCCGACCAAAGCAACGCAAACTTGATCCTGACACGGCTGAGAGCCTCGCAGATGTTCTGTACGAGATGGGAAGACATTTATTGGACAAAACGCAATATACAATAGCTATTCAGTGGTTTGACAGGGCGCTGGAAATATTAGCAGATCAGGAGCTCGAGGCGCTAAGCATGGATGCTAGTGAACTCCGAGTATCCATCATACAGTCAACAGTGAAAGCTCGAATACTCCTCAAAGATCCCCAATCTCTGGATCAAGCTCGTGATCAGGTCGAAGTTCTCGGAAATGAGCTTGGGGATAGACTAATCGTCCTAGCCCTTCGATTAGAGATTCTAGAAGCAACTTCGGCGGAGCAATTCGACAGTATCACTTTCGGCGATGTCTTCGCCAGGATAATCAGGTCTGTTATACTAAACGACGAGAATTTCAGACTTGTCATGTTCCACGTTCGAAAATTGTGTATGCACGACTCAGTTTCAGCTTGCAAATCACTGGACGACCTTCTAAGATTACGCGTAATAACGGAGAAAGATGATGAAAGGCGAGATCGAATGATCGAAAAGGTGCTGATAACGCGGCTTTGGATGGCAGTTGAACAGGACTCCGCAGATTCTCTCTCCGCGCTGGAAGGATTTCTGGGTATCGTTCTTGGAAATGTGGCTACAGGCGTGAGTTCGACGGCGACTCTAGCCGCTCACACGGTAAGGTGGCCTGCTGTCTTTGAACCATCTATTGACTAATAATCTGTAGCTCCTGTGGAAGCGTATCGAAGCAAATTATGCTCAAAGACGGTACGAGACTGCGGAGAAGTGGTGTCGGTTGGCTATGCACCAGGTCTTTCAAAACTGTGGTGATCTCAACATGGCTCGCATAAGTCGGTAAGCATACCAAGCCTTCAACTCGAGATATGTTGCTGATTTTTGCACAGGAAAATGTTATTGTGCGCCATCGAGAGACAGGATGACAATGGCGCTGTGGAGATCTTGAACGCGATGCCACCCCCGGCAAGAAATGAGCCAATGACAAGATTCTTGATGTACAAAATTGCCATAAGGATGAATAGCATCGACACCGCTTCCGAATGCCTTGAATCCATCTATTCGTCTTCCCCAAACGATCCCTCCCTACTCTACGCATGCTGTCTACACTCGCTCGAAGGCAATAACAAAAAAATGACCTTGGCAGCCTTGCAATTGGTGCTTGAAAAGTTCAATTACGGCCCGCCAACGCCAGTTCACCTACCTTCTTTACTTCGTATAACAATTGGTTTAACTTCCTCACTACTTGAAGAATCACAAGCGGGAAGTAAAATGGATGAGACTGAGACTTTAGTGGACAAGCTTTGCATGCTCTTTGAAGGAGGTAGGAGTATTTCGCACCTTGTTTGACTGCTAGAGCACTAAAACTGCATAGCCGTGACATCTATACGGAAGAGTAATAAAACGTCGAGCATAGATGCGGTATGGACAATTCCCGAACTAGATTGGTTTTCCAAGAACTCTTACAACACTTCTATACAACATATCTCGACATGGTCTCCAATCTACATTTGGAGAATGCTAGATTGTTGTATAGCCTTCATCGATCAGTATCCAGAAGGAATTCCAGAACAAGTCTCCGAGGACCTATCGTTACGGAAGATGTTTTGTCAATTTTCCGCAGCGACTGCAATCGTTACTCTCGCTCGCGGGGAAGACAATATTCAAAAACAGTTGCAATACTATGTTGATCTACGAAAGCACGTCGCCAGCTTTGATAAGCTGTTGTCAGAAAAACTCGAAAGAATGGAAGAGTTTCAGAGTCAAGACCTGTTACAGAAACTGTCTATCCTATTGACCTTCGATTTCGAAGCGGCCTGTCATCTGAAGAAGTGGGATGAACTAGGACATGTCATTCTGAACGCGAATATCTGCAAGAGTATGCGGGCGTACGAACTTATGGCCGATTGTGCGATATCAATCTCACCCCCGACGCAAGGTAAGATGGATCCTAGGATTGCACTGAATAACCATCGGACTGATGCGTGTTTTTCAGCCTTGATTGCAACTCTCAAGAAAATCGTCAATGAAGCATGGGCTTTGGAATGTGTCAATAGCGTTAACCTAGCCAAGTACATGCGGTGTCTGTTTCAGATAGCTCTCCTAAGCCACGAGGAAACCGCGGAAACTCTCCTTGATCAAGTTGCTGCCCATGCTAGAGAAGCGAGCGAGGTAAGTCCTTTGGTGTCATCCGTAAGATCCCGATGATTAATGTTGGTACAGACAGATGAGCCGTACCCTAGCGAAGAACTCGACTGGATTGCGACTAAGGCCTTCAACCACGCTGTCGACCTATACCTTGGCCAGCAAGAAGATGCCTGTAAGGTTTGGGCTAGTAAGGCGATTAATGTCGCACACTTCGTAAATGATGAAGGTGCTCTTGAAAGACTCCTGCAAGAAAAGCTTGCTGGGCTGTTATTAGACACTTGATTCGGGCTTCAAATACACTAATGATATGAGGACTCGGATCGTGTGGAAGTCCAGCTCGCCGCAATAGCAACCTGTTCGGATTTCCAGGGCTTAGCTAAGCTCGTATTTCTCTGCACGGAATCGCCTAATATATATGCGAGTTTGCGTCACGGTTGGCCATTGTTAACCAGAATCGGCAGGCGCTTACTGTTCTATCAAGTTGGTCAGTCCATCCTCGGAGTAGCGATTTGGTCTTTCGATCTAATCATTCCGTCTCTCTCGCTGACACGTGTTACAGATGGTTCTGAATATTTTGTTAGCGAGGCGAAATCTGCTGCGCTGAGTTACCTTTGGCTTTGTGATGAGAGATGACTTTAAGATCTTTATCCTTCTAGCTCGTATTTTTAATATTTTATACACGAGACGCTTACATGAACATACTAGCTCATTACAAAATTCAGACAGCGCAGAATTATAGTTGAAAGAATTGTCCCCGCTGTGCTGTTAAATGGTGATTCACCGAAGACTTTGTGGCTTCAAGAGCACAATGAATTCTTCGCCACAGATGTAATAAGTCCGTCCAAATCTCGAGTCTTATCTACAAAGGAGTTATCGTTTTCCTCGAAGTAGCTAATACGCACGCTAAACCATTTGTCCAAGAGCTCTGTGTCTGCATGTCCCTAGTGTTTTATCTAGACATTTGAACACATCGGCGAACAAAGTAATCTTACAAGGTTCAATAATTCGCGATGTGTATTTCGAGACTGCTCGAGTTTTGGCATTAATTGTATACAACAAGGAGACCTAATTCTGGTCTATGAAGCTCTTTTTCTGAGTTAGATTGGTTACGGACTGGGTGTCCTCCTCCTCACATGTTGACTCGCTGTCGGCCGCAAAGTTTGAAGTCTGTATTCACTAATGGTCGTCCTGTGCTGTCGGCTCGCAACGTGATGAGGATGTAGCTAATCATTGGTCTCCGAATTATTGTTTGCTGATTGAGTTCAGGGTATCGTACCGAATATATAGGGTAGCAAGGAATACAAATCCGTAGAGTACCGGACTGGTGGCTTTGGCGTGCAAATACAGCCAAGTTTTAAAACAGAAATGGTGCATTTGTGTAGAAGTATACTAAACTAGTTTTGGGATGAGTATAGTTAAGGTTTCTTCAAAGTCTATAAAACAATGTGACAATATCTTGTTGCCGGGTTCTACCGGGTAGTTCTGTCACCGTATAATCTCCTCTGAAGATGTAAAGATTATTGGCGTACTGATTTGATTCAAGTTCAACGAATGAAGAAATGAACTTCGTGATATTTGTGGGTCAATGATCGCAGTTCGCATTCGTTCCTGAAGTCGTTTCAGCCTTCCAAGAGAACACAAGGAATTCCAAGAAATCCATAGAAGCTTATCTGCCCCTTTGGTGGAACAATTCTCAAAGGGGGTTCGAGGACGGAAATGCTTGACCCTCGATATTTTGACCCACCAAAGCTTGTTTCACGTCGGAGAAAATCTTAACCACAACCGAGTACGAGATGGCCTCTTAATCAAAACACAAGCACTTCCAAGAGGAAAATCCCGGGGACAAGAAAGCTTGTGGACACCTGCCTAGATTGTGTGTAGGAAGTCCCTTAATCTATTCTCGGATGCTCGGTCTGAGGTTTTCTGATAGAGGCGAAGTTGGTCAATAATTCAATGCAAAGGCTTTGAAGTTACACACTCACAATCTCCATGCTGGGATGATGACTTGCAAGTTCGAGGCTGATTCCATGGACAAAGCATGTTCCGTATGGCGGATTTACAACACTGAAAAAGCTGGCATGGCGCAAACAATAATCATGGACACTTTGGAGTAAGTCCCCAAGATCCATCGGATCTACACCAGGATCACTTCTAATTCCACCACTTAAATCACTATTATATAGTACCAACAAGCTACTGGTCTGTGATGCTGCTTTTTTCGGTACTCTCCTTCTTACAAATCATTCTATCGACTATTAACGCCGACTATACCGGCGACTAAGTCTGCATTTGTATTGTATTAATTTGTACCTGGAACTAAATTGCAGGTCAAGCACTAGTCCACCCCACATACTTTATCTGAACATTCAGATGGTGGACGCTTATAGAAACGTTTCCGAGAGTCCACCAACCAGACCTGAAGACGCTCCGTGCCTGAACAATTGGTCATTCCTTTCTGGTAAATATCCACTTAGAAATAAGCTTCTTGTAGTGTTATGCCGGAGCTCGTACCTACCGGTATGCTTAACTGTTTCTAGAACGTTGTTGTCCTCGATATCGACTTGACGGATACCAAACCGACCCCATCGAACCGTTTCGTGGCCCACATTCCGAAGATGGCCACCGATGCTCTTGTCCTTACACCAGATGAGAGGGGCCGCAGGAATCATTCACAGGACCGCAAATATATTGCAGGTCTGTGATGAGCAGGCCAGACCGGCACTGCTCCAGTCGAGAAAAAAGATAAGTAGTACCTCTTCCTGCCATCAAATGAATTTTCTCTTCACCCTTCCAACCTTATACATTCGTTCATCTCTTACATTCATTCTTTTCTGCACATCTGCATCTGTCTTTCAAAATGGTTCAAATTTCAACCCTTCTCAGCCTGGTGGCTGCCTCCGCCTCAATTGTCGCTGCTGCTCCTGCTGCCGCTCCTGCTCCAACAGCTGCTCCAGATCTCGCTAAGAGAGCTACATGTACTTTCTCTGGCTCCAATGGAGCTGCTCAAGCAAGCAAGTCTAAGGCTTCTTGCGCAACTATTGTTCTTTCAAACGTTGCTGTTCCATCTGGAACTACTCTTGACCGTAAGTGTTGGACAACAAGATTGCTTGGATTTAACTGACGCATTATATCTAGTGACCAAACTCACTACTGGTACTCACGTAAATACATCTCCATCTGAAATATATCTCATCAACTAACACATTTAGGTCATCTTTGAGGGTACAACCACTTTCGGTTACGAGGAATGGTCCGGCCCTCTCGTTTCTGTCTCGGGAACTTCTATCACTGTCACTGGTGCCTCCGGATCGGTTATCGATGGAAATGGTGCTCGTTGGTGGGATACCAAGGGTTCCAACGGTGGAAAGACCAAGCCAAAATTCTTCTACGCTCACTCCCTCAAGAAGTCCACCATCTCTGGCTTGACATTCAAGGACTCTCCAGTTCAAATGATGTCCATCAACGGTGCTGATACCTTAACCGTCGACAAGGTCACCATGAACAACAAGGCCGGCGACTCTCAAGGCCACAACACCGATGCTTTCGATGTTGGCTCTTCCAGTCACGTTACCATCTCCAACGCAAACATCGTCAACCAAGATGATTGTCTCGCTATCAACTCTGGTACCGACATCACCTTCACTGGAGGATCCTGCACCGGTGGACACGGTCTCTCAATCGGTTCCGTCGGTGGTCGCGACGACAACACCGTCGACACCGTCAAGATCCTCTCCTCCAAGATCATCAACTCCCAAAACGGTGTCCGCATCAAGACCGTGTCCGGAGCCACCGGTGCCGTCAAGGGTGTTACTTACAAAGATATCACTCTCTCTGGCATTACCAAGTACGGTATCGTCATCCAACAAGATTACGAGAACGGATCCCCAACCGGAAAACCAACCACCGGTGTCCCAATCACTGGTCTCACTGTCTCTGGCGTTACTGGATCGGTCACCAGCTCTGCTACACCAGTCTATATTCTTTGCGGAAAGGGATCGTGCTCGGGATGGACTTGGTCTGGAAACAAGGTTACTGGTGGAAAGAAGAGCACTAAGTGCTTGAACATCCCATCTGGAGGAGCCGCTTGCTAAGCATGCCCGGAAGTTGGATTCTAGCCAAGTGCTTAGATCTTGGTAGACTTGGGGCTTGAAAGTGGAGGAAGCAAAGAGCTGGTATCGACATACATATGGGCATTTGTCTCACATTCTTGTCAAAATAATTTTCATAACGCTGGATGGCATATTTTCTGTACATAGATAATTCACAAGCTGGCTACAATTAAATGTTACATTTACAACCTACCGTTGTGTTGTATGTCAGAATTGAAACATTTTTACTGTGAAATAAGAAAGTCCGGACGAGAAGGCTATATTTACTCGGTTATTTTAAATGAATATGTTGTTGCTTGTATTGATAATGTTACGTGTATCTGTTGAAGAACGAGTGTTGGAAAGTCGTCTTCTGACGTTGTTACATTTAGAAGCGTCTCTTTCAGTCTTACAAGGCACTGGAAGGCTTTGTGTTAATTCTACCATGATTTTCTCAACTTCTTTCTATCAAGTTGAAGTTACTCAGTTGCTTGAGTGACTGTACTATATAGTCTCGTTTAGCTTGGAGAAATGTGCTTTTTGAGAAAGAATTGTTGGGAGTCGTCTGTTAGATTACATGTACTTAGTATAGGAAGGGGTTTCCCGTTATTCATGCAATACAGTGGTATTTGGTAGCCGTTTACTTGTCCACGACAAAATCGACTATTTGCATGTTTATAAGAAAATTTGCTGAACTTGCTTAAAGTTATTAAAGCTGATAATGAAATCAGTTAATTTTGTGAGAGTCTTCTAACATATGAAGAAAACGTTAACAGTAACTCCTCGTGAGCTGTATTAATGAGAAATTCTACTCGAGCATTTTGATAAGACGTCGCAGTATCGCATAGATGTAGAAGTATAGGTATATTTTACAGAGCTATCAATAATGACTCTGTATGTTCTCTTTCTCGTCCAAATAATGTTGTATTTTTAATCCAGCGTCTCTCCATCTCGATATCGGCGATGATAGACATTGCGCAATACTTCACCTCCCCCCATCAACATCCCCCGGCACTCATCCCCACACCCTAACCCTCTCCCCCAAAAACCTTCCTCCCCCCAACCCACGTCTCCCTCACCGTCCCCTCCTCACTCAAAACCAGCAAATCCGCTCTCCGACCCACCTCTAGCCTTCCTCTATCCCCCAAACCCATAGCATCAGCCACATTCTCCGTCACGCATTGAACGGCGGCTGCCAGTGGTATGGCAGCCCATGCCATGAGATTCCGCACACATTCGTCGAGCCCGATGCAGGTTCCTATCAGGGTGTCGGTGTTCTCGATGGTGACTTTGTTGCCGGTTTTTAGTTGGTTGAATGGGATTTGCGCGTGGCCTGGGTGGAGGCCGTCGGGGAGACCGGAGAGTCTGGTGGTGTTGGTTAGCGACAAGTGATACTTTAGACAGAGCGTACTTCGCGCAAAAAGAGGCACATCTATTGAAAACAATCGACGAAATATCATTTTTTGTTTTCAGGAAATGTCTTGTTTTGACTCCAACTAATCTCTTCCCCACTGCGACGCAAGGAAGAACAATTTGGAGTGAGGATTTGAGTGGTAGGCTATCAAATACTGCGGGTATGATTTGAACTCGAGTGTGGATTGAGCGCCATACGAAGAAGGGAAGAAGGAAAACTTTCTAGGGCGGATAAGACAGAATAACTTACTCAATACTGTCCGTTATAAGTATACAATGCTTAGGTGACGATCGATAAGCCATCGCCACAACTCGAGGATGTAGATGAATAGCATCTGCTATAAGGGAGAAATACGGTGGATTTGGATCCGAGAGAAGACCTGCACTTCCTCATTAGACGAAATCACACAGTAATGACTTGAACCTACCAACCAGCCCAGGATCTCGATGATGAAGCGGGTTCATTGCGTTAAAGCAGTGTGTTAGAAGACTTGCACCAGCTTCCATACCCGCCAGTCCTTGATCGTAGTTTGCGGCGCTGTGGCCCATTGAAATTTGAATATCGTGTTTGGAACGTAATGTCTTCATGAATTCGACTGCACCTGGCAGCTCTGGAGCCATTGTAACGATTTTGATAGATTGTTTGAGGTTTTCCTCGCCGTATATCTCTTCTAGTGAGGAGTTGGCTGGTATATGCATATTTGCGGCATCATGTGCGCCTTTCTTTGACGGGGCAAGAAAAGGTCCTTCAACATGAGCTCCGAGGACTGATGCAGCTGCTTCTCCATCGGTGGGGTTTAGCAGGGGAAGAACGGAGTGGAAAACGTGAGATGCTACGGTGGGTACGGTTGGGTAGAATCCTGTTACGCCTGTGGAAGGTAGGTATTCTGCTAATCTCTGCACGCCATCTGCGTATGTTTTGGGGTCTTCATAGTGAGCGAAGTGGAAGCCGAGGGCGCCGTTGATTTGGAGTTCGATGAATCCGGGGGAGATGATGTTGTTGTTTAGGTCGATTTGGATGGTGTCTTGGGGTAGGGGTGAGTTAGGTATGATGATGCCGTTGGTGTTGACTGTGAGAGGCTCGGATATGAGTTGCCCGTTTTTGCATTGTCGACAGTTGATAAATTGCGTAATAGACATTTTACTTATAAGTATCGTCTACTGCAAGAGCTAGGTATGCTCACAGACCTCGGAATGTGTATAAGGCTGAGACCTGACGCTCCCAGGATTTGTGATAAGCGAGAGTCGATGTTTCCCCCTTTCAAAAGCTGACTGAAATAGCCGAGACACGTCTAAAGCTGGGGTGCTGTTGCATTTGATGGAGCTGGGGATAATGGTCATTAGAGAAGATTAGAGGTTGTTAATTACTGTGTTAGACGCTGTATTCCAAATCCAATAGTCAACAACCGGGATAAATCAGAGGTGGGGGATGGCGAGCGGGGTCATTGCACCTTTAGATTTTCACTTGACTATGGAAGTTGGAAACCTACTAAACACATAATTAATCTTAGAACTCATTAGATCAACTACGTATCTCAATCTCTTAATTAATGCATTGTTTGTAATTCCTAGACTGTCCAAATATCGAAGTGTTGTTGGCCGGAGGAAAGTGTGCTCATACTGCCCAGGTGTACCCCACATTAGCCGAAGATCGACTTCAGGGAAAGTTATTAATATGTCAATCTTTTATTGCAAGCAATGAAAACCTCCGCATGAGCTTGCATATTGATAGGAAAGCTGATGATCGATATCTAAAGCTGTGTATTTCTTTCTGATTTGTTAACAGGCCGGAGTGTTGAGTTTTGCCGTGTTGATTTTCAAAACAAGCAAAACCATGTTCCATTTTCAGTGTCATCAAAGCAAGATAACTAGTTTGAGAACTTTAAAGGAATTTAATGTCTAAATTTGATAGAAACAATAACAATCCTCTCCAAATCTAGCCAATCTAGGCGGGGTATATTTACCTGGTCCAGCTGAATGAAGATGCGGGAACGATAGGCGAGACCAGCCGCTGACATCATTCCCAAGCTCCTGGTGGAGCTTGATCTTGCAGTCCCAGACCAACCACGGTTCAACAACGGAAGAGCTTGCTATGTATTACGCGGTTGCAAGTGTCCAAGTGTCACGGTCGAATTCAAGGAAATGCGGTGCAGTGCAGCTGTGTCCCGCGAATTAATTTCCTAACATCTCAATTGGGATTCTCCTTCCTTCATTCGCATCAAGGTGCGCTGCCCACCACCGACGTCAACAGATTGAGATCTCAGAATCTGTATTTTCATCTGATTGAGAGACAGCCTTCGTCTAAGAAGAGCTCGTCAACATTGTCATACTCTCGTTTTCTCGCAAAAGAGGGGAGTCAAGATGGCTGCGCAACAGACCAAGAAAGCGCCGGGTGCCCATTATTCGGGTAACAATCCCATACCGAATGTCCAAAAGTTCATCGAGAGTTTGGATAAGGACAAAAAGGAACGAGATGCAAAGATCAACGAGCAGATGAAGGCCAAGAAGGCCAATGGCACTGCTGGTTCCGATGTCAAAGAGCACAAACAAGGCCAGCCAACGGGCGTGGAGGGAACAAGGAAGACAGTGACCGACCCTACAACTGGAAAAGAGGTTCAAATTGAAGATGTCAATGCTGATTTTATGCAAGCAGTGAAAAATCCCATGGTAACTTTTCCTACCCCTCTCTTAATGGCCAGTCAGTAACAAGATGTCTAGCTGTCGGTGCCAAATGCGAATCTGAACAAAGATACTCCGGTCAAGACATCCTCAGACCAGTCCGGAAGGGAATATCAACATAACCAAGATATCACCGCACCCCCAGATCCAGTAGAACCAGGGAGCACTTCTGATGTTCCTATTCATGGCGAAAAGACCAATATCCTCTTTCACCCCACTCCATCAGTAAGCTATGAGCCCATGTATGCCTCGCTCGAGAAGAGCACGTTGGTATTGGCTGGTGGGGTAATGATTGCAATTGTTGTACTTGGGAAAATGTTTGGAGGAGCATTATATGGCTTGATACCCCTCGGAATGTGTGTTGGATCAGGAATTTTCTTGTGGATGAAGGAATTGATCAGAAAAGGACGGGAGATGGAGTGGTCTAGTGAGAAAGAGCGCGGAGAGGTGGTAAGTTACAAATCAGCTTGCATATTACTTTCAGGTGCTAATTGGAAAAGGCAACTGCGAATTTGATTCCCGAATCAGTCGAATGGATGAACACTCTTCTCGGCGTTATGTGGGGACTCATCGATCCAGACATGTTCATCGGCGTGGCAGACACTCTAGAAGATGTCATGCAAGCTTCCGTGCCGGGTGTTATTGAGAACGTTCGAGTCGCAGAGATCAACCAGGGCACAAATCCCATCCGCATTCTCAGTCTACGCGCTTTACCCGATGATCATATGAAAGAAATGAAAGACGACATTCGTAGTCAAAACGAGAAGGTTAAGGATCCTCAGGAGTTGGCAGCAGATGAAGAGGGTGGTGATTATTACAATATTGAATGCTCTTTTGCATATCACGCAGCGCCATCAGGAACTTCGACATCTGGAAAGGCAAAGAACATGCACATGCAGCTGGTGTTTTATCTTGGTGTCAAAGGACTATTCGGCGTTCCTTTACCAATCTTCGTTGAGTATGATAACTGCCGTTCACCAATTCAGGTTCAATATGCTAACAAATCGCAGACTTCAAGGTCTCGTCGGAACCGTCCGCATCCGTTTACAGATGTCGCCTGAACCACCTTTCTTGAAAGCTTTAACTTTTACTCTCATGGGACTGCCACAAGTTCAAGCTGGATGTATACCTATGATTGAAACTGGGATCAACATCCTCAATCTGCCATTAATTTCAAACTTTGTCAACTACGCTATTGGGGCCGCCGCCAACGAGTATGTTGCGCCGAAATCTATGACCCTTGATATGGGCAAAATGCTTCAAGGTGATGATATCCAGAAAGATGTCCTCGCTCTTGGTGTCCTCTGGATCAGAATCCACAAAGCCACAGGTCTTAGCAAGCAGGATAGACGTGGCAGTGACGGGGGAGGCAGTGATCCTTATATCACTGTCAGCTTCTCCAAATATGGTAAACCCATGTACTGCACTCGTGTCATCGAGGATAACCTTAATCCTGTTTGGGAAGAGACTTGCGCACTTTTGGTCACCCCTGAGCTTATCAAAGCTGATGAACAACTTTCCATGGAATTGTGGGATTCAGATAGATCAACTGCCGATGATGTCGTCGGAAAGGTTGAACTTTCTATGCAAAAGATGATTCAACATCCAGGCAAGATGTATCCACAGGTCTCGAAACTCCGCGGTACACATTCGGATAGTTCTATGCCTGGTGAGCTTCACTGGGAGGTAGGCTACTTTGGCAAGCCGCAATTTAGACCAGCTCTTAGAACACACGGCAAAGACATCAATCTGCCAGATCAGCTCAAGGATAAGAAGGAATTGCAAGACGAGAAAGGTGCTATTGACAACGCGGATGAGGATGCTGTCGTACACACACCTCCGGACCCACTTTGGCCAAGTGGTATCTGCAGTGTTGTGGTTCATCAAATTGTCAATCTTGAGCTCGCAAATCTTAAGGGTAGCGAGGGTAAGCGTAAGGGTAGAGAATTCGAGCCGGCTCAGGATAGTGGAGAAAATAAGGAAGAAGAGAGCAAGAAACTGCCTAGCAGTTATTGTACCATCTTGTTCAACGATGAATTAGTAAGTCAAGCGTTTTGACATCCCCTGTATTTGCTAATGTTTCCTGCTAGGTGTACCGTACACGTACCAAAGTCGTAAGCAGTAAGCCTATATTCAACGCCGGTACGGAGAGATTCATGAGGGATTGGCGATCTGGAATTGTTACAGTCACTGTTCGAGATCAACGCATGAGACAACACGACCCAATTCTCGGTGTCGTCCCACTAAAATTATCCGATATTCTTCAGACTAGCTCGCAAGTTACCAGATGGTATCCTCTTGATGGAGGCATCGGGTTTGGACGAGTCAGAATTTCGCTTCTATTCAGAAGTGTCGAGACTAGACTTCCACCGTCCCAACTTGGATGGGATGTCGGTACTTTCGAATTTACCTCTGATAAAATCCTAGCCACCGGATATCATACACAATCTAAGCTGAAGATGCGAACTGGTGGCAGCTCTGGCAAGATTGGTCGTGCGCATTGCAAGAAGACAGACGAAGGTGATGGTATTTACTGGAACATGTCTGGTGAAAAGGGTCATGAACACAATGTTCGACTCCCAGTAAAGTATAGATACAGATCTCCAGTCGTCTTTGAATTCCATTCCGCCACTCATCGAAGTGCGGATGCTTATGCCGTTGTCTGGCTACATCACCTCGAGGATAATAAGGAAGAGAATATCAGCATCCCGATTTGGAAGACTGATAAGGGAATGAGATTAACACAGAACTACATCACAGAAGAGAACTTCAAGGATATTCCCGATCTCAAAATCGAGGAAGTTGGTCGTCTACAATTCCGCGGTCGCTTCAAGGCTGGTACTGATGCAGACCACGCCCACTTTATATCCGACAACGATTCGAGAGAAACACACGAGACTTGGGAAGCTTGCAATGCTGAAGGTGTAAGAGAAACAGTCGTCACCAAAGAGCTTCCTCCCGCCGTCCAAGAACTACACGACCAATCCCTCACACAAGGGCGAGACGTGCTATCTCAAGCTGATGAAGAAGACAAGAAGAAATGGCTTTCCAAAGATGGCACAGATTGGAGTGGGGCATTCGGCGAAGATCCAGCTAAGTACACCGACAAAAAGGGTACTCGTAGCAGTGGCGGCGAAACAGGCAAACGACAAGCAGTGGACGCATCTGATGACGATGGTGACTACGACTCTTCTGACTCCTCAAGCGATCTTGGAATCCAGGACGCGGATCATGGAGAGGACGCTGATGGCGCTGCTGATGGCGAAAGCACCAATGGAGAAGGTGCTACAGGTTCTACTCACCATAAGAACCCAATCAAGCAGGTCAAGAGCTATAATGAGGGCAAGGGAGAGATGCATCGTAAACATCGGGGATTGATGCAGTGGAAACCAATGCGCAACTTGCAGTTTGCGAAGGATGAGACGAAGTATGCGGTGAGGAGGACGTTCAAGAAGGGGAGTCTGGCTGGGAGACAACCTGATGTTGAGACTGAGACTTGATTACCTTTTTCGGAATGGAGTGTTGGTGTTTTGGTTTGCTTGAGTGATGCTTTTGGGGTGTGATAGCGAGGCCGCAAAAATATATCATGGATGGAGGTGAATGGAAATGGTAGCAAAATGATTGGGATGAGGTGTTTTTTTCGTTGGGCACATTATAAGCATGTTAGTGGAAATAATATATTATCTCAAAACTATTAACGAATACACGATATTTTGCCAACTCAATCGAAGAAATATCGTGTTTCGATCGGCCATGATCAGAGTACAAAATTATTTATAGATAATCCTGTTCTCTTATTTGGAAAGAATGATTGAGCACTTTCAAATGTCGACTTATCCTGCATCGAGCTTCAATCTCCTGTTATTTGGGGAAATGGCACACGAAATATAATAGAATAAATATCGTGGTTTCGTCTGCCAACGATTTTGTCTGGCGCGACTATGCTCAACCCCGGAACAGCTGGAGTTCGCGTCGCAGTGGAAGATCCACCTACGTCATGCAATTTGGCCCCACCTTTTTGGATGAGGTTACATTTGTTTATTACATTTATTTAGAATGAGAGGCGCAATTATCAACACATACGTACTGAGTTTAAGTATTTAATACTTTACTAAATACCTATAGTCAAAGTAGACTTAAAAAAGGGGTAACAAAATCTTTGAATTTATTGTCTTAATAGAGTTCTTACTCAGCGATCTGCGAGTAGAATGAAAAGCACGAGGTAATTCCACCTAAAGAATAACTAAAGCAGTCTAGTACCGTCGGCGTCAATGACTACCGGAGACGAGTCGAGTTTAATCCAACTCCTGATATCCCCTGAGCTTCACAGCTTGATTGTCTACGTGGACTGCACAGGAGCTCAGCTGCAAACGGAATGTAGCAAGCTTTGTTAGGTGGAGCGGCGATGTGCTGTTCCAATTCATGCAAAATGCAGCGTGAGCGATGCATGGCTTGTCTTTATGTACCACGACCGTGCTGGTCTGGAAGCATTTAATTTATGGAGCCATGTGATTGGGATCTTTAAATTTAGACCAAACATTGTCTGTTCGAGTTTCTGGACTGGGATCAGGAGAACTGGTTTGACTAAAGTGGCTTCATCGTGTCTAAAGGGGACTGCTCAGGCCCAAAGCAGAGTCGCAGAGGCATCTGGTGGCCTTTTACCTAGGTAATCATGATGATCTAGTGTGTTAATGATGTAGCGAATTACCGTGGTTTGGTGGTTCCCAGTTTTCCCAATAGCTCCGACCAGCACCTAGCGATGACTTTGGTGCAAATAACAAAGTCTCAACTTCAACTATTTTCTACAAACATCTACAACACGTCTATTGTTGTTTGCAAACCCTCATTCTGCGGATCCTCGTGTGGGCAATCATCCTCCCCGATTCAAGCACATCCCCAGCATAACTCCAGACCAGTCTTACGCCCCCACTGCGGCGCGAGTCAACCAATCCACCGCCCTCTCAGCCAATAATCTCCTCCGATTCCGATCCTCAGCGCAATCCCAGTCTCGCCAAACACCTCCCCAAAACAACCGAGAGCTGCGCCCGTCGTCATAATTTGTGGCCAGCAACGTGCCAGAGTTGTTTTTGTTCCTCGACAACATCTCATCCCATTATTTTTCTATGCCATAGTATCCTCATCAGCCCGCAGTTGGCAGAGGTCTAGGCAGAGCGCCTTCCAGTCGACATGTTTGGAAGAAAGAAGAGAGCGTATTCGAATCCGGTATGTGACGATCTCTTTGGTGGTCCGATGGTTCTGTTTTCACGATGCGACGATGAGCTCAGAATCGCATTGTTGCGGATGGGAAACCCATGGCTATTCCACAAGCTTCAATCAAGCTCAAGATGAAGAATGCTAACATGCTATGCGCTTTAGCCCCCCAATGGAGCAAACGTCAATTCAAACGCGGCGACGGCAGCTGCCCAGGCCTTCCTGAAGAATCGCGCCTCGAATGCTTCCCTCTCCTCTGCTGCCGCCGCAGCAGCACTACGATCCAGGCCGACAACCCCAGTATCGGTAGCGGATGTCCAGACGAAGAGAACGGTTCGAAGGTCAGAATCAGTAGCATCCAACGGAAGTGCCGGATCTGGACGACCGCAACTCGCCAGGAGAGGGAGCTCTGGATCGATGTCGGAGAGGACCTTTCGAGATCAGTCACCAGCGCGCGCATCACAGCCAGTACCTAGTGCGGCAGATGCGCCGCCAGTGCCTGCGCTCCCAAAGACTCTTCGTCCCGCCATACCACAGAAATCTCATCGTCGGACGGCCAGCATGGAAGCACCACCAATGCGCGTGGCATCTCCTCCCCCCAACATGGCAACAGGACGCGGATCCAGTCTAGGACCTGCAGGACCAGCCCAATCCAGGAGAGGCGGCCAGAGGAATTCAACTCTATCCAATGTGCAGGAACATGGATATGAAAGACCGGCGAGTAGAGGGTCCGTTAATTTTTCTTTGCCCACGAGTTCGAGACCGGGGTCACCAGTATCACAGCGAAGGCTAACATCTCCTTCCCCTTTAAGGGCAAAACCCACAGTGATCACATCACCTACTAACCAGAGTCTTGTTTATGATCCGCATACGCGAAGCTTTTTGCCTCGCGCAGATGTACTTGCAATTGAACAGCGGATGACGGATGCTTCAACAGCGCCAGTGAAGAAGAAGAAGAGACCAGCGCAAGCTACGGGAACTCACCTTGCAGATGGAACAGTTGGGGGAAGGATCAAAGGTTCGGCTATTGATGATATGGAACGGACAGCTCAAAACTCAGCGCCTCAACCTATACAACCCGTTGCACCAAAAATTGAGCAAAGACAACCGGCTCCAGTTGCTGCACCCGAGCCTGCACCATTAATACCGCAAAAGAAAAGAACGAAAAAGGTGGTTTCTTATGAGTCCGATAGTGACCAAGCATCATATGTACCCAATTCATCCGATAACGATAGCGATTATGCGACTCAACCATCTACATTTAATACTCGGGCGGGTGCCCTTCTTGCGAAAAAGCCATCCATTGTGCGAGAAGATAGGGAACGAGAGGAGGAAGAGGATACGCCAAGCAAGGCATCGGAAGGGAATTCTGTGATGAGCGATAGTCCTATGGCTCGAACGACTTCTCCTACACCTCTTCCGCGATCAGCAGCTGGGAGGGGTCATGGAAGAGGGCAGGCTTCTGCGTCTGCTGCTTATGCGCAAGAACGACAACATACACGTTCTGCTAGTCAGCCTGCCCCAACACCGCAGGATACTCTACATGGCAATTCACCTTTAGCTGCCAAAGGAAGTGTCAGAGGTAGTAGAGTTCAGTCTGTTAGCCCGGCAAGAACGACACATTTTGCAAGAACGCCAGACAACCTCATGGTGAAACATCAACCTCCTGCTAGATCAATATCGCCACGAAAATCTGCACTAAAGAACTCTCGTGGCGCATCACCAAATCCTGAGAGTGTCGGATTTGCTAATTTAAGCTCCAGCGAAGCGGCAGATGATTTGCTCATCCCTAGGAAAAAGAGCGTCCGTGTCAGTTTTGATGAAGCAAATGTTGCAGTTGGTCAAGCTGCACCATTAATTACTACGGACTCACCCGTTGTCGCAAGTCCCCAAGCAAGAAGATCGTGGTTTAGCATGGGTCGAGGGAAGAAGAAGGAGTTGTCTCTCACAGATGAGGATGATGAGATTATGAAACCAAGGCCAGCTCTGCCATCTTTTGGTAGTGTCCGAGAGAAGAAGCCAGCACGAGACAGCACACCAGAGAGGCCATTGATGAAGCCGACTCAGTCAGAAGATCAAGTTGCAACTGCTTCGCCTCTCTTCACCTCACCTACGGGCGAAAGCTTCGAGTATCCTCTCGGTATTTCGAATGATCACATTGTGGGCTCCGTTTTGTCTCAAGATGCTGTTGAGAAAAATGCTGCGAATATCTCAAAATCTAGAGAACCTCTTCCTCCCCAAGTCACGTCGGTAGAGGGAGGTGGATATATGTCTGATACCAATAGTAGCGTCGCGAGTCGGGACGATTTTCAAGAGCCTGCTACTCTCACTGAGCCGAGTCAAATTGGCCAAGCTATTTCTGAGCCTGCTCACGATGAAGTTCTTCCGTCGATTGAAAGTGATCTACCCGAGGTGGAAAGCAACGATTTCGCTCAACAAAATGGCTCCGTTCCAGGTATTGCCATTACTAGCGCAACACCTGTCTTGGAATCAAACAAGGACAGGGAATGGTTGGATATGCCTGGTGGATGGACACAAGCAAATTCTGACTCCAGTGGGCAGGATCATGACGATCCAACGATAATAGAACATCATCCTACAGATCCCACTCCAGCAGATATTGGTATTGCAGAACCTTCACCAGAACCGATCCAGCCTGGTTCACCAGCTATTGGGGATATAGCCTTGGAGAACTCAAGGCATTCCATCATCCTTGAAGAAAGTGATGGTACTGATAACGACAGCATCTATAGCGATGCCGCCGAAGATCTTGATGATGTGGATGGTGATGGTTTCATGTCGCTGGACGCTGTGGTAGAGAGTCCTATCGTGCCCAGCTCTGGCCCAGACACCGCTCTCACTACACCTCCAGACACTCCTACATCAAAAGCGACCAAAGAAAGAGCTTACCGACAGAGTGGACTTCATCGGAGAGAGAGTGAACCGAATGCGGATCAAGGTTGGGAGAAGACTCAGGAATATTGGAAAGGGTTGTCAATTGAGAAAAAGAAAAAGATTGAAGAAGAAGCTAGAATTGCGGCCGAAGAGTCTGAGCGAGGGGAGGTTCAAGCAGCCCCGAAACCTAAGAAGAAGAAGCCGGCGACTAAAATGAGCGATCCTCCAATTACACAAATGGCCACCCGAAGCCCGCAGCAAGTGCCTGAGATACGGCAGCCTGTTCCAAACAATCAACGTACTTATATGATTGCACCAGGAACCAAACATGGACAGGAATCCACCGCGTTGCGCTCTTCAATGCGTGCTGAACCTCAAGCAGCACCAGCAGATACTCATATTCGAAAATCAATGAGAGGTGACGGTTCTATGCGAGGTTCTTTACGTGGACCAACAGAACCAGTTGAAAAGGTACCAATGCGAAGTTCGTTGCGCAACTCCGCACCACCCGTGGAAGCCAAATCTATGCGCAACCCACAACGCGAGCCTGCCCCTTCTGAACAAAGAGGTGCACTACAGAAGAAGCATAGGCCAATGTCTCAAGGACCAACCGAGATTCGACCAGATCCAGCTGCTGTTGATGCAATGGTCAAGAAGCTTTCCGCTTCCAGGGCGTTGTCTACACCGACCTCTGCGAAACGTATGACAGCGCCTGCTGGGCCATCGCTGCGCCGAAAGAGTTCAGCCGACAGTGATAGTAGCTTCAAGCGTGCTCGTGTTTCGAATGATGTACCAAATTTCAGATCATCCATGAGAGGATCACGAGATGATGGAGCTCGAAAACAATCACCAGCTGGTTCAAGTCGATTTAGTCTACGTACCATGTCACCTTCAGGGTCAACTCATCGCAGAGCTTTCAGTAGCTCCGCTGCCCCACCACCACTACCACAGACACACATGCGCAACTCTATGCGTAATTCTGTCGGAGCTGCACCAACAATGCGTGGCCCTCCTAGTCGTGCTAAATCGCCATTGCGTATGCCTGGATTTGGTCGATCTTCAGGAGCGGACAAAGCTCAAGTCAAGCGAAAGCCAATTGCTCAACGATCAAGTAGATTTGCTGATTCTAGTGACGAAGAAGATGCTCGTCCAACTTTCAGAAGTCGATTCAATGATTCCTCGGATGAGGATGATGAACCGGCTCCTCGTTCGACGGGAATGGCCAAGTCAATGCGCTCTAATGCTCCTGTTCGTGGTATTCCAAAGCGAGCAGGCGCACAAGATGGCGACTCCAGCGACCTTCCGGATTCTGACGATGAAAAACCGACACGAAGAACAAACGGCGTCATCGCAAAGGAACCAGCAACATCTAATGAAGGCGGCGCTCTCGCATCTGGTTCTCTTCGTAGATCCGGCAGTGGAAGAGGAGCCATGAGTCCAACCGCCACCCCAACCCGCCCCGAACACAAACGCAGAGGCAGCATCATGTCGATCCTCCGCCGCAAAAAAGACCCCAACTCCAAAGTCCGCAAATCCGACCTCGAATCCCCAGCGCGCAGAGACACGCCCCTCGAACGCAGCAAATCCGATCTCGCCGTCCTCAAAGCCGCAGACCGTCCCACCTCACCCCGCTTGCAAAAGCGCAATCCCATGTCCCGACAGAACAGCGGCGCGTGGCCGATCGTGCCGCCTAGTCCGCCGAAGATCGTGGCCGGCGAGGGTGGAAGGCCGTTTACGGCTGATACGGCGGATGGGGTTACGGGCGCGGAGAGTAGGGTTGTTGATGGCGAGGGACGGCCGAGTTTGGGGAGTAGGAGACATACTGCTACGGGGTTGAGTGGGGTTGATGTTTCTGGAGAGGGAGCGGGTGCGGCGGGGGGGAGCGCGAGGAAAAAGAAGAAGTTTCAGGTGCTGAGGAAGATGTTTAGGTTGGATGATTAGGCGGTATGTGGTATGTAAGAAGGGTAGGGGGGTGGTAATTTTGTAAAATTGCTCAGGCACGTTCTTTTATACACTTTTCTTTTGCTTGTATCTTTTTGTTTTGGTAAGAGTAATCTGGTTTTGGTTTTGGTTTTATGGAGGCATTTGGGTTGGGATTGGGTGGTCAAAATGTTCGCTTGAGAGAAGGCTTGGACTTGAAGGTATATATTAAGCGGACTTGCGCTTTTTCTTTGTGTGTGGGGGACGAGGGAGGCGAGGGGGCAGCTGGGGGAGATGGTAAAGCGGTGGGGGTGCTTTGTATAAAGTTGTGATTTTGTGGAAGGAAGGGAGGGATGGGGTAATATAGAACTGTGGTGGGGAAGGGACTGGGAAGATGGTGGAAGAGGATAATTAATTTGAAGCTCTAGTGTTGTGTAGAGTCGAGCGATAGAGAGTAATAAAGATGGGCATGCGAGTTTGAAATTCGTTTGCTTGTGTATTTGTGTGTGTGAGTTTACGGATGTGGAGAACTGAAAATTAGATGTTTATTGTACTGTTTAAGAGTTTAGTTTTTGTGTTATTACTAAGAGGCGAGAGAAGAGGGGAGGAACGGGGAAGGGGGAAGGGAGTAGATAAGAAGAGAAATAGAATAAGGGGGTTGTCGTAGTCGAATTAGACGAACACTATAGTCACGTGGTATCAGCCTCATCTTCTTCGAGTCCCTGAGTCTTCCCATCCTAATCTTGCAGCTTACCTCTGTATTGGGTTCTAGAAATAAGGCACATGCGAAACTTCCCAATCGATCCCGAAGATCTGATAAGTGTTAAATACCTCCCATGGCAATTTGATCTCGGCCAGCAGGCATGCGTAGCGCGAGAAGAAAATAAGCCTGTTGACCATGTCGCCTACGCGAGAAAAAGTGCGATAGAGCGCGTCCGTAATGCTAGCTGTTGATTCGTTGTGATGATTAGGGGTCTGGATGGACTAGATGGATAGTAAGAAATCCCGCCAAACAGTCACGGATCGGCTTAAGTAGTTCGTCAAGTTTCCGTCGCGGAGAAATTCGACGGCTGTGGGTTATACTGGACGAGCACGATTTCTAGTCCTGGCGCTAAGATTGCCAGAAGAGCCTACGTCGCTCGGGTTCTGGTTATATTTATAATTTGCTGGCAGAGCTTAAATTGCTAGCCGGCGAAATCCAGTATGACCACTTTGTCGTTTCGTCGACTTTACGAGCTAGACACTTCGAACGGGCTGTTAGCGTCCTAGTGGCTTTTTGATGATTGCAGGGACCTTGGTTAGGAGAGGACGATATTTTGTTAGTGTGCTTTTTGGAGGGGGTTTGCTGACGGTATGGCTGATGTACAGAGTGCTTGGTGTTGGGATGGGAGGGGCTGTTTGAGGCTGCGCTTGGGTTCGGGTTATGTTGTTGTTTTTCGGTATGATATGAGGGATGTAAGTCGATTGAGGAAAGAGGAAGGGATGTTGATACTAGGGTGATGGGACGTGGAAAAGTATAAATTACTAGCTATGTTTATTAACTATCTTTAAGGTATATTTTGAATAGGTGATAATTTTATTTATACTCGAAATACACAAAAAGTCTACGAGGCGCCAGTATACCACTTTCCAAACCCCTAACAGTAGGAGCGATCACCCTTACTATCAAGATGGATCATCTCTCGACGCTGGTGGTCGTTTTTTTTTGGTATGGCTAAGTTTGCTAGCGACACTGCCCTGCTACGGACTTTCCGCGGCTGTCTGTGTCATAAATAGCTACATCTCTGTTGTTTTTACAGATTGCAAATTATCTGCTACCACTAGAAAACTCCGTATTCCACGCTTCATTCCGGTGATCTTGTAAACGAAAATGCCTATGTGATCTTTAGTGAGGTGGTTTCGGCACCCTCAGATGACGGAACTCTTCTAGGGACGTTTATGCCGCTAATCACAGGCTCCTAGCTATATTCACTTACTGCATATAATGTATTGTCTATTACATAGATATTCGTACTTATTCTCACTCCTAACACTACTTTCATTTTGTATGTCTTATCTTAGGAATGGATTCTACCACATTTCATGTGCCATTTACACTTGATTTCAGTCATCATCGCTAGATAGATATTCATATCACGTTGTGCCGGAACCTTCGTATATTACTTACCACTACAAAATTACCCGTCAGTCTTACCAACATAGAAATGATATCCTCCTCCTAGAAACAAACGGGGTTGAAAACGTTCGTATCTATAACTTTAAAATCATCAAAATCGTCAAGGCACATGAATCTGCAGATTTGCAATCCGCTCGCCTTCGAGCAGATTGAAAGCGTCTTCAGCGGCTCGGACACGAGCTTGCACACTTAGGAGCTCTTCGGGGGGAGAATTCAGATCCAACGCATCACGAGCGACTTTAGCAGCTGCTAATTCGTTCTGCGCATCCTCGTACATTCTTCGAGCGAGCTGAGCTGTCATTTCTTTCTCGTGGTTTCGGAGTTCGGCAGCGTGAACCTCCTGATCATGAAGAGTTACTCCACACTCATCGTATAACACCTTTGCATCCTTGCTGTTTCCCTCCAATACCTTTGTCTTCCACAATTTCCACTGGGGAGTGTCAGGAAGGAGTTTGATCGTGTCCACCCAGTCTGGCGTGGTCGGCTTAACCTTATCTCGGAAGTGTGTAATCAACTTGCTGTAGACGTGTGTTCGTGTCTCGATGTTAGACATGTCCGTTTGCCGAAGAGAGTATAGATATCTTGCCATGCTGAGGTTGTTGCAGGCCATAAGGTTGAGCTGCCCGATTCCGTTGTAGGTAATAAAGCCGACTTGGTCAGCAATAGTGCCATTTGGAATCGTGGCCAAAATGAACAGCAACATTGCTAGGGTCCCTACCTGCCGAAAAGTCGTCAGGTAGAAGACGAGCGGTTGGTTATCCCATTCTGTCAGGCCCCGTCCAGTCCATGAGGAGATATCTTTCCGAAGGCCTTCTAGCACGAGGCATGAGTTCCGTCTTCCTAAGAAAATCGCTGCGTCTGGGCGGTCTGCTCCAGAAATGACACCCCCACCGCTTGGTACAATACAGCATAGGTCAATGAGTCGGACTATAAAAGACCAAACCCCAAGACTGATGCATAAAGAATTGCCAATCCATGTAGTCTTTGGGCAACGCGCCATGGCCCAAAAGAATACCCCACAAGTTCCCCAGAAAAGGAGGACCGAAAGACATAAAGCAGGTAGTGTGAAACCTGGCCATTGTGTTTTCCGCCATGCTGAACTCAGGAAAGGGATCTTAGCTTGTGCATCAATTTGTGGGATTATGAATCTGTAGTATGCTCTGTCTCGGAGAAGATTGTAATGCTGAATGATGGCTTCAATTCTAACGTTCCTGAGCTGCGCTTTGTTGGAGTTGTATGGACTTATGTATTCCATGCCAGTGCGATCAATAATCTTGTAATTTGAATGGAGGTAGCTTTGAAGTCCCGCAACGGGAGCGGGGAAGGAGAACAGACTTGACCAGCGGTGCTGGCTCCGCCGATATTCAAGCTCCCGATCTTCACCAACAAGCATTATGAAAGATGCAAATGCATCGAGGTGCCATCCACCTTCAATAGACGGAAGGGCCCACATCGCGAGACTAAGAGAAGGAGGTACAAAAAACGCAAGGCTTGGGGACGCGCAGTAGAGATTTGACTTTTGGTTATGGCTCAAAGAATTGAGGATAACAGCAGCTGAAAAAAAGTGGAAATTAGACAAGACACCAAGGGAAAATGCACAGCAAGAAAAAGCACCCGACACGAGATAAATAGTGAAGTAAGATTGGGCAGTAGAAGTGGGGTAACCCTGGATCATGCTCTTCAGCGAGATTGTGCAGCCCATTCAGCTGGCCCCATATATAGAACGCGAGACAAAATTTTATCTTTACCATAATCTTTGTGTAAGTTATTCTCGAAACGACAATTTCTGAGTCGTCCTACAAGTTCCACATTACCCACCGAATGACCTCTATTAAGGGGGGGTTCAACAATGTAATAAGACCTTCATCATCCGGAATAGGCCTAATATGCGGACTAATCTACTTCTTACTTCTCAAAAAACTTTAATTTTGACTAATTCAAGTTAGTATAAGCTAAAGTTCTAAGATGTTCGAAAAGAGCGTTTCATTTAGTATTTAGGCCAATTTTGCACTATCCGCCTTTAAAAATCTCTCTGGAGAAAGATCGTATAAGTGGGGCGGTAGGGTATAAAGAAGGATTTTAGGCAGGGCGAGGCGTAAGTATACAAATTTACCTACATAGCACGTGTATGGCTCGTGCATCGAGCGGAGCGGAGCGAGGATCTGGGCAGAGTATAAGTGAGCCGCAACAGGCCGAATGAAACTTGATGACTTATCTCACCACTTCTGTCTGACTCGTCTAACATTATCAAAATGAAGCCCGGGCGATGTAAGTTTCAATACATAATTGTTTTGCCCTTGTAAAACGCTGAAGAGAAGGAAAATAATTTCATGCCAACACAATTCTCCACCACTTTTGGTCCGCCGCATCGCGTTTTTCAACTATGAAACTCGACACCAGCATACCCTTTGGGACGACATATCAGTCCATACCGCAGTTGAAGGCTAAAATATTGGAGTTCTCGCAATTTGCCATTCCCCATCATCGGGATCCTGGTTTCCTTAACTCCCTACATTTCCTCGCTACTTATCGACCGGGCGAGACAACTCCTCCAGCAGAGAATGAGCATTCAAACGGAGAGCACTGCCCATGTAAAACAGCATCAAGGTTTTCACACAGTGATTCTCAGACCTTGAGATTGGCAAAGACCCAAGAATGCACTCATTATCTTGCCGTTTCGTATTGCTGGCATAGAGGGGAGGCGACGAGGGAAAACCCCGATGACAAATTCCGCATTCGGACCGCAGAAGGGAAGGAACGATATGCTCGCGCTCCTACTGATATTCTAAAAAGGGCCATCGAGTATGCGATTCAGTATGATATCTCATATATTTGGATCGACCAAGACTGCATTGAGCAGAGCGATCGTGACGGTAAAGTTGCTGGCATCCAGTCACTGGACCTAGTTTACCGACGTGCTGTGTATTCCGTGGGCCTTTTGAGACACACTTTGAACTCTCAACGTCATATCGACGCTTTAATGGGAATACGAGAGGCACAACAAGCGTTTGCTACTCCAGACGCAATTTTACCATATGTAGATTGGGAAGCCGTTCGTGAGCTGCTAGAACACCTAGCGGGAAACGAATGGTTTACTCGGTCGTGGATTCTACAAGAGCACGCCCTGGCAAAAGACATGAGATTATGCGTCAAATATGGTCTAGACTTAAAAGTTCCTGCAATACTTCAGGTTGGACTTGACCAGGTTGAAATAATTCCGAAAGATTTTGAGCTGGCCACCATTGGACATCAATACGTCGCTGAAGCGAAATTAGACCAGCTTTCATTCGAGCGGCTGATCCAAGCCGCTGATTCAATCAATCCTCGTCCTGTCTGCCAACCTCTCGGAACCTTTGAGGGTAAGGAGGAACGCTTTGGTACGAATGCATCGAAAGCATTGTGGTACCTCAGGAAACGCAAGAACACACGAGTTTCGGATCGAATAACAATCATCGGTAATCTCTGCGACTACGCAATTCGTCTTGATGCTCGAAAAATGGATCTCGATGGTCATAGTTTCAGTATTGCCGTGTTGACGCTCGCCCTACTTAATGGCGACTTTTCTCTCTTGTTTTCTGAAACTGATGAAGCGGTCCCAGAATCTTCGCACTCATGGTTACCAGTACCTTCTTCCACTTTTGACCAGGCGAGGAGTCTGAGAGATCTCGGGGACATAACTCGGTTCGCCACTTCTGGTATTTCGGATCGAGGGCTGAGCTGCAACGGAATTATCACTCAAGTCAACCATCAAATCGATATGACGAATCTCCAGAAGCGTTATAAACTGGATTACCAGAATAACAAGATCCTCAAAATTCAAACGAATGATGAAATTCAACAGAAAATGGATATCAAGATTATCTCGGGAATTATACTTGGGTTTGAAGAACAACGGTATCACGTTCTGGCGTCTTTGATCAGAAGTTGGGCTCACAATATGGCGAGTCCGGATTCAGAACCCGAACCCCCCCTTGCGTATAGGACGGCGGACGATCATTTTAAATTAAAGAGGCTTCACTGGCTAATCAACGCAGTGATGAGCAAAGGCAGGCTGTGGTGCGGAAATTTTGGCGGGGATCTGTCAATTAGAGAACCAACAGCTATATTCGACTGCTCCGGGCCCGAAATGGTGTTTATGCCACATAGCGAGAGCATGCAGAATCTGCCACCATTAAAACTTATGAACCTACCAGTAGCGTGGGTAGTCGATATTTCGAAGCCTTCTAGTTTATATAATATCGATTCCAGGATCGGTCCACAAACTACAGAAGATATTTCTATTAAATGTATTCGAAGAGTATATAGTATCTTTCAACCCTTCTCCAGCGGCAGTAAGCCAAAAAGTTACACGTTAGCTTGGCCCTAGATTAGTATCTCCTTATTGTAGAGTATAGGTAAATCTTATAAGTAGTATTTAAAGTAAAGTAGAATTTTTCTTTAAAGAGAGAAATATATATAGAGAAAGAGAGATACTCAATGACTGTCTTCTCTCTTTTTTATTTTTATTTGTTTTAATAAATAATTCTCTTAGATTAGTTAAACAAGTTTATTCTATACTCTAAAAACTTTAAACTCTCTAAAGGTTCTAAGTTGAGCAGTGGCAGAACACGAATTGGAAGCTGAAAAAGACGCTGTTGAGATATTAAAGGCTAGAATTGGTCAAGCGAGAAAGAATCGGGAGCGTAGAGCCAGGTATAAGCCAAGAAAGAATCGGTACCGCAAAGAAGGAGTGTGGGAGGAGATGATGGATCCAGGGCAGCAGTATCTTGAAGAAGAAGAAGAGAAGAAAGAAACTGGTCGACAAGAGCAAGTCGTTAAGGAGAGGAAAGCACTAGCCAAGAGAAAGGAAGAGGACCTTAGGGAGAGTTGGGCAGGCCACGTTCAACAAGCCATCGCAGATATGCAAATAGTCATGAGGGAACACAAGAAGCTTCTGTCAGTTACATTCTATTCCCTGACCCCCGAACACACCTCTATATCTGTATTTATTTCTGTCGTCTCATCTATTTCATTCAATCCTACCACAAACAAAATGAGCACTTAAAGTGTGTGTGTCTTGTGATTTGGAGAGAACTTTTGGGAGTTTAGGAGTTTGGGAGTAGATCTAAGGACTTGAAAAATGTTTCATGGGTTGTTTGTCGAGGAGGATACACCAATGCGTGGTTGAGGGGAAGGGATGGTCAAGTAAAGACCGTTGGATTCATGTTGTGTATTTCATAAAGGTATTTTCAAACGCCGATGTTATGCTCGTACCCAACTCCGCCTAATGCAAAAAGCCCCAGTTTGTTTTTCGAACTCGCTTACAATACTCTCTTTTTTCAAGCTCGCTTACCACCCCTCCCCCTTTTATCCACAACTTCACATCCCCTCACCTAGGAGTTTCACCCCAAAAATCCTCTCAAACTCCCCCCAATATGTTCCAAATCCAACAAAAAGCTATCATGCCCAAAAAGACTAACATCCTCACCCAACTCCACATGTGTAACCTTCCCATTCCCTCCCCGCCGCAACGTCTCGGCAATCTCCCGCTGCTGCCAGGCCGGGAAAAGGATATCGCTGCCGACGCCGATGACGAGCGCTGGGTGATCGCGTAGCGCTTTGAGGCCTTCGATAAGGTCTGCGGGAGGAGTGGTGGAGGGAGAGACTGGAGTGGAGAGGTCCGGTTGGGAGGAGGGTTGTTCTTCGTATGGTGTGGATGGGAGGGTGAGTGAGCATGAGGAGTCTTCGGGATTAAGGGTTGGATTCTGGGAGGAGACACGGGACGAATTCGCCGCGCGACGAGTAGCGGTTGCGGATTGAGCAGCAGCACCTAGGTCAAAAAGATCCATTGCTTTGCTCACGTATAGCAGGCTATTAGCGTCATATTCGAGGCAGAATTTCTCGCCGGCGTGGTCGAGATATGTTTCGATTAGGAAATCCGGGCAGAGAGCTGGTTGTTTAGACGGGTCTGCACGACGACGACCGAATCGCTGCTCCCATTCTGGTCCGGAGCGGTAGGTTACTGTTGCTATTTCGCGGGCGAGCTTCATTCCTGCGTGTGGTGGGATGGTGTCGTAGTAGAAGCCGCGGTTCCAGTGAGGGTCCATCATTAGGACTTGTCGTTGGGTATGGCGCATTGCGATGCTATATGGATGACTTCGTGCGCAGCCTGAGATACTGGCTATTCGACCGACTCGGGATGGGAATAGGACGCCTGCTGCTAGAGATTGCATGCCGCCCATACTTGCTCCTACGCTTGCGTATAACTTTGAAATGCCTAAGCCGTCGAGGAGTCGAAACTGGGCTCGTACCATGTCTTCCATTGTGAGAATTGGGAATCTGGTGGCGTATCTTTTCCCGTCTGCTGGATCTATACTTCGTGGTCCTGTCGAGCCATAACATCCTCCTATGACATTTGTGCAGATTACATGGTATTTATTCGTGTCTAAACATCCTCCAGGCCCTATAAACTTCTCCCACCATCCAGGCTTTGGGTTCTTCTCTGTTGAATGGGCGTGTGATGAGGCCGATAAGCCGGTGTGTAGCAGGATAACATTCGATTTGTCTGCATTCATTTCTCCCCAGCTCTCATACGCAATTTCAAATTCTGGCAGCACTCCTCCCCAGTCTAGTAATAATGGGTCTTCGCAATGATATATTTGTGTCGCGCCGCTCGTATAGGAAGGCTCGGGGCCACTTGATAGAGATCTTGCTTCAAGAGTCGCAGATTTCGATTCGAGGGCGTCCAAACAAGGAAATGCCATTGCTGGATTCGAAGCTACCGCAATGTCTGCAGAGCTAGACTTTCGAGCGCTCTGAGAATGAAGAGATCTTGAAGCATTTTGTAATTTCGCGGCTTGTGGAATTGGAGGACTCTTGGTTGAAGCCTTTCGAGACCATGAATTTCGAATCGTAACGTTTCGCGGTGCCCTTGAAGCTATTCGCGCGCAGGCGAGCATACTTCTAGATAAGTTCATATTGATACAGATATAGAAATTGACGAGCAGAAGTCCATTGACACAAAATATTTCAACTTGATTGAGGAATTGGCCGCTGCTGTTTTGTCAGCGATTGAACTCGCAAAAACATCCCGCAATCGTGATTGCGTCAGAAAACGTGACCTACAGCTGGTTATCGTAGCCGAGGTGTGGTAGCCTTGCATACAGCCTTGTGCTACGCCACATATGTGCGGAGGGATCCGTAACGCGTCATTTTGGACCCGCCACATGAGCGTTGCGAATCAGCTTGTTATGTCAAGTCAACACGAGACATTAGCATGTTGTCCAAACCTGATTCCTTCTGCCTACTGCGAATAGATACATACAATACAATCAAGCCATTATTCAAGTCCATTGACCACCAGTTTCAAATTGAGAAGAAGACTCGTAATCTAGTTCCACTGCACCTAGACGAACTGCTGTGCTACCTTTGACGGGAAGCAAGCAAACAAGTATCCTCATCTCGTATTATTCTACGACCCCGCAGACAACGAATTCAATTCCTCACGAGCTCAAAGATATTTCTCCTCCAAAATGGACGCGGTAAACTACCTCACAGCAGCTATTCGTAATACCGCCATTTCAATCTTCAACCCTATACTAGAATCAGAACCAAGCGAACCTTTCTCCCCAACGGCTGACGATGTAGTAGAGGTCAAGAAATTCTTTCTCGAATCTGCAAAACTCCCTCTAGAACTCGTCGATGCTATAATAGATCAGGCAGAATACTGGCCACATACTCGAAGCGTGTTTCATCGACATGAATCAGAAAATCCTTTGTATGTCAGGGCTGGTGGTGTGGAGGAGAATTCACTACTGGTAAGTCCCATTACTTGAGTTTTTGGAGGATCAGAGGTTTACTTGACACAGTTACGAACCCCACCACTCGGATTTATGCCGCTGCAGGAATGGACACACGCAATAACAAAAACCTCAACGGACACACCACGGAAGTTGACTACGGATGTCGGACCTGAACTTGAGGGGACAGGGAGATATGCTTGGAATTTAGAAGGAGCTCCTTTAATTTCGGAATCTGCGCCTGGCGAGGTGGGAGATGATGAGTTGACAAAGAAGGTCTTGAAGGGTTTGGGTGATGATTCTGCTTCACGGGGTCTTACATGTCGGAAGATTGTGTTTACTATTAGGAGCCATGATCAAGGATGGGGAGGGTCGTCCGCTGCTGATAGGGGAACATATCGAGGATCATTTACTTGGTTTGATGTCGGTTTGGAAAGGGTGGTAGCAAAGCGTCAAGGTAGATCCATCACCCACAAGGCTGTCTTCATTGCTAACATTCGCAGATGACGAATCAGGAACCTCTAACTCTCAAAACCCCATCGTCCTAACAACTCGTCAAATCCTCCCTCACTTTTCTCCCTCGCAAGAACCCGAATTCCCTCTTCTACCAGGACGAACCTGTCTGCAAAAGAACCTCACTGCATCCAATACTTGGCAAGATCATGTCATTGAATGGAGGGCAACAGATAATATCCACGAAGAATCTCCAGAAGCCGACGCACTTGAGGAACAAGGCCGAGGAAGAGCTAGTTTGGATGGAGAGTTTGTAAGGAACCTGAAGATTGGAGATGCGATTACAGTCTGGGGAAAGGCCCGGTTTGGGGGATGGTCAAACATTATTACGGATGTTAATGTTGATGTGTATTGGGCTGTATGAGAGATGGCGAAGGTAGACGATGTTGTAAGAGAGATACCCTAAAAGATGTGCATTGAACGCGCGGAGATGAAATTGATGAAGTCACGAGACACTATGAGTTTCTTTTGCTGGTTAAAAAGGCGCATACAATAGTTGCTTTCCTCTCCCCTTCGCGATATTGACTCTGTCTTCTGCCGTCCCCTGCTTCGCTGGACCCGCTCCATGCTTATATTACTGATCAAACACGAGATACACGAGAAGTAAAAACCTTATATGGACTGCATCTCTTCTCCTGCTCAAGACATCATTAGTCTTCTTCGCTTTGGTTTCCTGTTCTCAGCAGTTGTGTGCATAGCCGTGATAGCCTTCGATGGCTGATTGAGTAGATAGCCTGCTACATACTCGATTCTACGCAAAAAGGAACTAAATACACCCATCTAAAACGCAGCTACGAGACGATGTGTACTATACAACCCTTCTGGTAGAACAGCTAAGGTACTTAACGTACTCGAAATAGTAATGGTCTCGCTAGAAAATGGCACCGTGTACCTTATGCTTTCTATAGGTATCTTCTATTTCCCATCTCTGACCTGGGCATGTCGTAACTTTATTCTCACAAGACACTACTAACACCTATCTCAAAGCTAGAGCTCGCGCAATACGATCCAATTACTTCAATGTCCACAGTCTCTCGAGACTGTGTACTTGTCAAACCCAACTCATCACGCTGGTTACCCTCCCTGACTCGCGTTCACAAGCTGTACCGGAGCTGAAAGCCAACCTCGGCCCTTGGCTTCAGTGAGCCCAACTCCCGTTGGCACAGCTGCAGTTCCCGAACCTGCTCCCGCAACACGGGAATTCCACTAATTCCCGTTGGGTTTGGTGAGATACAGTAACCCCGCGTATGGGGATCGGATCTGAAATATGGGGTAGCGTAGCTACCGCATGGAGGAGATGACGCCGGTGAATAGCTGGCGCTGCCGCCGCTTTCTCATCTCTTTCTTTGATTGAACTTCTTACTCTTTTACTTTATTACGAAAGTTTTAAGAGAAAAGAGCATCACGAGTTGGACGTCAGCAGCCACCGTGGAGAAACGGGGTATTCCAACTGTTGTGACCAACGGGTTGATACGTCTGAAACTGTGAGACATTTCGCAGGATTCACATCCAAGAAAAACATTCCGAAGAGACAGAAATCTGTGAAATAAAGACTTCAAGATGCCTTTCACACCTCCGGCATTTATGCCACCGTTGGAACCAGGTAAGTTACTCCAACGAGTTTCCTCGCAAACGGAGCTTCCCCGAACAACTTCAAGATACCTCGGCTGACCCCAAACATTAGGTCCCCCTGATTCAATTCCCATCAGCGAATTCATTCTTAACGATGCACATGGTCGTGAACCCACGAAAACCTCGCGAAACCCATTTACTTGCGGATTAACGGGGAAGACCTATACAGCAGCTGAACATGCGGAGCGTGTCGAGCTTCTGGCGCGAGCGATATCGAAAGAGTGCGGATGGTTACCAAGTAAAGGGACGGAATGGGATAAGGTTGCTGGGATATTTGCTTTGAATACGGTTGGTACTTGTTGCCTTTTGGGAGGTGGCAGTCGACTGATCGCGACAGATTGATTCTATGACTTTAGCTTATGCGGTTCATCGTCTGAATGGTATTGCGACGCCAGCGAATGCCGCGTATTCCGCTTCGGAATTGGAGTTTCAATTGAAATCTTCGGGCGCGACATGTCTTTTTACAGTGAGTTAAACCTATGCTCGGTAATACTGAATACTAAAATATGAATAGTGTATAGCACTCCTCGAAACGGCTTTACAAGCAGCGAAAGCCGTGGGTATCCCGAATGATAAAGTTTATATTTTAGAGATGCCAAAGGAATTTTCAGGATCAAAGTCTGTACCGTTCAAGACTGTTGGACAATTGATCAGTGAGGGCGCTCAATTGCCGGAGCTTGAGAAGTTGAAGTGGGAGAAGGGTCAAGGGAAACGGCAGACTGCTTTTCTCTGCTATTCTAGTGGCACCTCTGGATTACCGGTACGTCTTGAGTCCAAAGCCATGATTTGAAAAATGTGACTGACAATACATAGAAAGGTGTAATGATCAGTCACCAAAATGTCATTACCAATGTCTTACAATTTACCCTATTCGAAAAACACGTCCGGGAGAAGAGGCCTAAAGGTCAAACCAGCGAAGTCGTTCTCGGTCTCTTACCACTCAGCCACATCTACGGTTTAGTTGTGATTGCTCATGTGAGCGCTTATCGCGGTGACGAGGTGATCATTCTACCTAAGTTTGAAATGCCTTCATTCTTGAATGCAATTCAACGATTCAAGATTGCTGGGCTTTACCTGGTATGTTTAGAAGCTAGCAAGAAGGATTATTGACTGATGAAACCAGGTACCTCCAATCATCATCCAATTAGCCAAGAACCAGAAAGTTTGCTCGCAATATGATCTGTCAAGCGTCAGATCAATCTTTACAGGCGCCGCACCATTAGGAGCAGAAACTGCGGAAGAACTTCAGAAAGTCTACCCTGATTGGGCAATCAAACAAGGATACGGTAAGTCCCCAAGACAAATCATAAGCTCATACTAATATTCTTGCAGGACTCACAGAAACCTGCACCGTCGTCTGCGGAACCCCACAACACGACATCTGGTTCGGCTCCTCAGGCTGTCTCCTCCCAGGCTTCACAGCAAAAATCCTCTCCATCGAAGGCGTAGAAATCAACTCCTACGACCAACCCGGAGAACTAGTCGTCCAATCCCCATCCGTAGTCCTCGGCTACCTAAACAACGACCAAGCGAATAAAGAAACCTTTATCGAAGACACAGATGGTAAAGGTAGATGGATGCGTACCGGCGATGAAGCAGTTATCAAAAAGAGCCCCGGCGGAAACGAACACATCTTCATCGTCGACCGCATCAAGGAGTTAATCAAAGTCAAAGGCCTCCAAGTCGCCCCAGCAGAGCTGGAAGCACATCTGCTCTCTCACCCTTCCGTCGCTGATTGCGCCGTCATTCCCGTACCTGACGAGCGCGCGGGTGAGGTCCCTAAGGCGTATGTAGTGAAGAGCACGAGCGTCGGTCTGGAAGAAAACGATCGCATGGTCGCGAGGGATATCTGTAAGTATGTGGAGGAGCATAAGGCGAAGCATAAGTGGTTGAAGGGGGGTGTGGAGTTTTTGGATGTCGTGCCGAAGAGTCCGAGTGGGAAGATTTTGAGAAGGTTGTTGAGGGATAAGGAGAAGGAAGCTAGGAGGAAGAAGGGTGCGAAGTTGTAGGTTGTGATGTGGTGGTGGATGGTGGGTTTGGAAATTATGGGTGGTGGAGTAGTGGTGGATGGGTGTAATTGTATAATGAATGAAATTTACATTGAAATACTCTGTATCGACTTCAGTGCTCACTGATGATACGTGCACAACCTGCTTCCCATTATTCTCAATGTCGACGCTCGCGGCTTACACAACAACCAACATTCGATCATAAGTCCTCGAGGGTCTTACTGTCCTCCAAGGATGTTTTTCGCTCCTCAAATGGACCCTGAAGGACCGTATAACCTTCTTAGAGACAACAAATGCTCGACTGAATTGACACAATATCCTACGTTTCGTCTTCTGTTGTCGGTAGAGCTTACATTTACCATAATGCGCTCCTTCGAACTTGAAGGAAACTAGCACATCTTTTGTTCACTACGAGAGAACTTATCTTTGTATCCACAATTGAAGATATTTGGAAGCTTGGGCTAGATCTTGATTCGAGTACCGAAAATTTCACATCCGTTCTACTGTCTGAATCATGAGTATGGGGCTGGGATTGATGGGTTGGAATAAGACCGAGGAGGAGAGCTTTTAATGGAGTTCTAGAACTTGGAAGGAGAAATATAGATGTGACTTAGTGTTATGTAATTGATTAAATCAGCTGGAAAAGTATTCCTCCCAAGAAGAAGTCGCTTAATTCAGTTATTGTATCCTCCTACTCAAGTATTCAATACAACATAAATACCTTGAACATCAAGAAAAATCTACCCCTACCAATCCAACCCCAAACTTCATCCTCAAATGACAAATGCGTACAACCCTCCCACGTTCTCATTCACATCTATCCATACACACAAACTCAATTCCGCCACACGCAAACTTTCTTTTTGCTTCGTATCTCCCATGGCCGTGCCGTCGGCGCTGCCCGCTGCAAGATTTCCCCACTTGCCCTTCCAGACCCAGCGTCCATCACACCTGAACCCAATCATGATGCGCTGGAGACCCGTCCGTGCAGCACCTGAGCTTTTTTCCTGCGAGCTGCCCCGCTATCACACCCAGCTGCGCGGGAGCTTTAAAGGTTCTTCTCCCACCATCACCATCTAAATTCCTTCACAACACCACACCGCCGCAGCGAAGCATTGATATCGTGAAGACATCAATGCGATATATCTGCGCATCATAACGACAACAGTAGGCGACTTACAAGTCTTTGCGCTTACTGCACTCTTCCGGGGACGAAGAAAGACTTGTTCGAGGTTCCAACTTGTTATACTTTTCTTGTCAATACCTTCATCACGGCTTCCGATCAGGAAACCCCGCTTCTTGTATATACTTCTGACACGGACTCCGAGGCGAACGACGGGATGGCGAAATCTACAGGCGTGGAAACGCACGCGACACCGGTGGGGGAATCGTATAAATCTGGCGATGAGGGACTGCGTGTGAGTGATGGGAGTCATAGTATGGAGATGCGGAATGAGAATGATGATGTGGATCCGGAGGTGGTGGCGGTGGGGATTGAGGCGTTGGAGAGGAAGCAGAAACATTGGTATTCTTATGTGTTGACGAGGGATTTTTGGATTGTGTTGGTTATTGGGTGAGTTTGCTATCTTGACTATGAGGAGAAGGCAGTATACTGACAAGTTGATAGGCAGGTTCTTGCTCTCTGTATTACAGGAACAAACACCTTTTCCACCCTCCTCGTCAACAAAGGCACATCCATCCCAGCCTTCCAAACCCTTTTCAACTACGTCCTCCTCGCACTCGTCTACACAACATACACAATCTACGCCTACGGTCCAAAGAAATACTTCAAACTCCTCTTGGTCGACGGCTGGAAATACATCATTCTCTCCTTCCTCGACGTAGAAGGAAACTACTTCACCGTCCTCGCCTACCGCTACACCAATCTCCTCTCCGCCCAACTCATAAACTTCTGGTCCATAATCTGCGTCGTAATAGTCTCCTTCACCTTCCTAAAAGTCCGCTACAAGCCCTTCCAAATCATCGGAATCCTCGTCTGTTTCGGCGGCATGGGTCTGCTCATCGGCTCCGACTCCATCACCGGCGGGACTGGCTCCTCCATCTCCACACAAGTCAAAGGCGACCTATTCTGCGTCGCCGGCGCAACCTTCTACGGAATCTCAAACGTCTTCGAGGAATGGTTCGTCTCCAAACGACCCGCCTACGAAGTCCTAGGCATGCTCGGTCTCTTCGGCATCATCATCAACGGCATCACAGCCGCAATCTTCGACCGCTCATCCTTCCACGGCGCTGTCTGGGATGGCGCCGTAGGCGGCTACCTCGTCGGCTACACGCTCATTCTATTTACATTCTACTCCCTCGCACCCGTCATGTTCCGCATGTCCTCGGCGGCATTCTTCGACATCTCGCTCCTGACGGGCAATTTTTGGGGCGTCATCATCGGGATCAACGTTTTTGGATACTCGATTTACTATCTTTACCCTATTGCGTTCGTGTTGATTATTTTAGGATTGGTGTGTTATTTCTTGGCGGGCAGCGTGTTGGGGGATAGTAGGAAACCGTGGTTGGGTGCGAATCAGGAGGGTGGTGTTGCGGGGTTGGGGACGGCGAAGGCGAAGGCTGTTAGGGAGGCGAGGAGGGAGGGGGTGGTTGGTGGGGGGAGTGTTTGAAATATTCGTAATGGTTGAGGGTTGATGGTGAGGAGGGATGGGATGGAGTTGCATTATTCGAGCTAGGAGAGAGTTTTAATATAATTATCAGTTCTCACGTATTTATGATGGTGTTGACAAATAAGCATAGTCCATCCATGTAAAAGAGACAATATCGCACATTTACTCAACGAATTCAAGAAAAACCCGCTTGTTCCCTTAATGTAAAAAGAGGCAAGAAATCCTATTCATTCAATCAACTTGAGAAAATACCGCATACATATTTCCTCCAAGTAAAAGAGACAATATCCCATCTTCATTTAATTAACTTAAGGGAATACGTCACATTTTGCCTTTATATATCAGACAATATCGCAGATCTACTCACTCAAACTAAGCAACCCCCTCTTATCTCCTCTACAGAGACAATGTCGAACATTCGTTCCATCATATTGAGGCACTGCCGTACGTCTGTGTGAAAAACAGAATGACGTTCATTCAATCAATTGTTTTAAACAACGTAATCATGTTTATTCAATCAATTGTTTTAAGGAAACATCGGGTATGCAATTAGTCAATTTGAGGCATTATCGCAGGACATTGACAGAGTCAACTCAAGTAAGCACCGTGTACATATTCCCGATAAGTAAAATAAATAATATCGCACATTTACTCGATCAATTCGAGCAGATATTGCTTATTGATTCAGAAACGGCAAAAGAGGTCGCTTAGCTAAACGGGCCCCCTTTTCGAGGGGAAGAAGCCGTGTGTATGGTTGGTGTTTTGTAATGATTTTCGTTTAGTCAATTGGGTTGAGGAGATGGGATTTTGAATTAAAACTTTTGGTTTGAGTTCTTAGGTAGATGGGCGTGATGGACGTGGGGGTTGTCTATGTTGTCTATGTTGTCTATGTTATGTATTTAGTTGTGTAAATCCTATATGCCCTGCCGAACCGTAAATAGATCCTAGTTCCTGGGTATCATCCATTTCATGTTCATTTCGTTGCCGTAAATCCCAAATATGGCCTGCCCAACCCAAGTATATCCAGGGTATCATTCCGTTTCCATTTCATAAATCCCAAATATGTCGATCCCAACCCATCCTTAAATAAATCCGATATCCCCGGGTATCATCGCTGTCCATTTCATAGATAACCCATATACACCGATGCCAGCCCAACCATCCAAATAACCCCCCCTCCCCGAACCCTTTCAACAAATACAAATAAATGGAGAAAAAAATGTGAATGAAAACCACAATCCCATCTCAGCTCAATCAACAATCCAAGGATCCTCCCTCCCACCACGTCCATCCATACGTATCGGCAGACGGACGCGCCATCCCCTTCCCTATCCATTTATTAGTCCCTTCCCTACCATATACACAAGCACAGCAGGGTACTTACAGCATTATCCTCCTCATCTGAATCCAAGATCTCAATCATCTGTCGGTCTTCCACTTTTATGAGTGATGGTTCGGGCTCGGGTTTTGGCGCGAGGAGGGAAGATATGGCGGATTTTTGCGCGCTGGTGGTGGTGGGGGATGCAGATCTCGCAGACTCTGCAGGCGAATTGCTGGATAAGGAGTTTAGATATGTTTTTTTGAAGGATGTCATGTCGGGTTTGACGAAAAGGTCTTGTTCATCGTCATCTTCGGAGGAAGAGGGGTCCTGGGGTGTGTTAGTACTTTGATTTCTGGTTTGGGAAGGGGAAGGGAGATACGTTTCTAGGTGTTGCATGTGCTTTGTTGTATGCGGTGAGCTGTTTTCTTAGTGTGCCGAAGCTAGATGAGGAAGCGGAGTCGGGGAGGTTGTAGGGGCGGTCGTCGAGGTCGTCTTCGCTGTCTGAGGAGGAGGGGGGAGTGGGTTTAGGTCTTTTGGGTCTAGAATTTCCGCCGTTTCGTGGTCCTCCACCTTTTGGTCCACCACCTCCAGACCCATCTGAATCAGACGAGTCATCCAAATCATCATCGCTATCAGATCCAGAAGATTCATCTTCATCGTCACTACTGCCAGAGGAGTCATAGCTGTGATATTCAATGTTCTCGTTGCGCAATTTTTGCATCACAATGGCGAGGGCGTTGCTGTGAGGTTGTTGGTCGTCGATTTGAAGTGGGGGTTGATGGATCCATGAGCGTGAGTTTACTGCTAGTTTCACAAACTTTTCTCTGACGTGTTTGTTGGCTTTGTAGACGGCTCGCCAGTCGACACGCCATCCTAGGTGGAAGAAAGCGGATTCTACTCGATCGGCCTGTATAATGTGATAACCGGGCGGACTGTACTGGTTTGTAAGTGCCATCTTGCCTTGAAGAAAATCCATGGCGACTGTGAGTGGTGATTTGGAGATTTGGAGATACAGGTCAACTTTGATGTGTGCAATGGTGAGAGGAATTCGTGTGTTGGGATAACAAAGTTTGGCGTCGATTTTCCGCTGCCGAATTACGTCCAGATCCTCTCTATAACGGGGAGGATGAATTAGATTCACACTTGGCCCAATATACATACCTGGGCAGCCATCTGGATGTGGATCTACAAATGTAGAACTTTGAAAAAGCTTCAGCAGATGCTTTCTCTGCACCACTCGACCTGCTGTTGCTCGTCCATCCTTCCATTGGCCATTTCCAGTCAAGAAATGCTTCCACCCCTTAAGAAGATGTGGCGCCCATGTGATCAAATATCTTTTTCCCAAGCCGACACCGCGATTTCCAAGTTTGGTACCGTGTTTAGCTCCACTGAAGACGATCTTGTATCGATCACGGGAATAGGGACTTTTTGCGAAGGCATACCAAATCTGATCAGTTGCTCCACTTGGGCCCTTGTAGACACCAGCGTAAATCCATCTGAGAAGACTGTATTAGGTATGATTAAGAGGAATGTTAGACATGGACTGACCTTTGTTGATCAGGGGGAGGTGGCCCTTTCTTGCTCTTCTTCTCCTTCTTCTGTTTCACCTCCTTCTGCTTCTTCACCTTTCTTGAAGGAGCCATTGTGTGGCGAATTTGAATGTCTTAGTTGCGTTGGGAATTGTGTGGTGGTGGTGTGGTTGAGAGTGAGAGAGTGAGAGTCGAGATCGAGGACGAAAGAGCTCAGTTTAAAGACTTCCAAGGACCCACTTTGAATACTGCTGGCGAAATGAGGAAGGAACGACTGTTATTTGAATGTACTGTTGAGTAAGTTGGGGAAGTTAAGGAAGGAGCTATGCCAAAGTGTAACAGTCGAGGAAGGAGCTACCAACTACATGATATCTTATGCCTCGGCCTAATGAACGATAAATTAGACGCAAAACCCTCTGATTCCTCGACTTGATTGACGCCTTATAAAACGTTTTTTCTTTTGATAAGAGTAAATGTGCACATCGAGGGATGTACTATGTGGAAGTGTGCTAGCAGTCGAGGGACGAACAACGAACTGCATTGTATTTGATGCCTCGGTTTAATGAAATATACAATCGGCACAAAAATTTATATTTGCTCAATTTTATTTGACGAAATATGCGATATTCGCTCTGATGATATGGGTAAATGAGTCTTGTAAGGAAGGCATGTTGGGAAGTCACGGTCTAACGTACCTAAAGGCTTCTCTCGCCTCAGTAACCATGGAAACTAAACTTCGAGCACCCGCTTACATGGCTTCAGACTGAGATAACTATCATTAAGTGAAATACCAGACGGGTTGACGTCCGTGGATAGGACGGTCCGTCTCGCATGAAAGTCTACGTTTCCACCTCCTTCGTATTGGTATGTCTACCGCCGTGGAGGTAGCACAAAACCCCCGTCTGAACAGTCTACCCGCTCGTCAAGACTAGATCAACTAGCGGCAGAAGTTCTAACCCTGATTAATGCTCCGCTTGAGAATTTGTGACGCTTGTGGATAGGCGTCAATGCCTCGTCTGTGCTGGCGTCTGCCATGACCAGGCTGAGAATGGCTGTTTTGAGAGTTCCTAATACTTAGTAAACCTCAACTCCAGCAAATCAGCGAGCAACTCACTGTTATATTCCTTACAGAACCAACCCTCAACCAGTATCCTTCACATACCCCATTCCAACCCTCCACCACTGATACAACCCCTCATCGCCTTCCAGCAACTTTGCAAAATCCTTGATCTCTTCAATCTCTTGCACATCACCCGTCTCAACTCCCAGTGGCCCAAGAGACATCTTTTCAATACTCTCTCTCTTAACCAGACGCATATCCTTATATCTTAATTTCTATCCAAAAAGTATCAGTCACGTGTTCGAAGACATTCGATGAAAAGAAGAGCAACGTACTCTAACAACATTTTCCCACTCCTTAACTCCATTCTCTTCGCCTTCACACAACATGATTCCAGGCGGAGCTCCAACTTTGAGAAGAACAGAACAGTCATGTGTTTTCGCTGCGCGAGTGATGACGCCTATCTTTTTGCGTGATGTCATGTGATGGGTTTTGATGAGCATTCGATGTAGGATGGCTGTCGACATGGCGTGGAACAATAAGAAGAGGTAGGTATAGGTTGAGAACAAAAATTGATATATGAAGCTTGACATGAAGAAGGCAGTGATCAAGAATCGAAGACGTGACTTTGATTCGCGAGTGCACGGACAAGGAGGGTCACGTGGAGCATAATATACTTTCTCTGCTCTGTATCTTTATTTTCTCATCAACTTACAACAAGAATCAACATAAAAACATGTCACGCTGCAAAACATTTTGTCATTTTCTTCTCGAACTAATTTCTCAAACATCAATAACTAATCACCTTTTATTCGCAAATGAAATCCTCAAATCCCCAAATCGCCCCAACCTTTTAAATATCCTCACTAACTCATAGTCTCACACTGCTTCGCCCCCTCAACAGCACTAACAAACCCCTTCCGATCCTTCGTATAAAACTCCACCTCAACATCAAACTCCGCACCCCCATTATCCAACGTCCCAGCTCTGATGAGCGTAAGTTCCGGCATCAATTGCGGTTGAGCGTAGATGGAAGATCCGCAATCTAGTAAACCTATCAGCATTTTTCTTACCCACAAACCCCTACCAAACTCTGCATCTCAAACCCAAAATTCAGGTAATTGGAAGGGAATGGGAAGGGGAGATCTAACCAGCACAAAAGAAATGCGGATACTCCAACCCCGAAGCCCCCCTCATCTCATATCTCTTCGCTTCTCCCTTAGTGACCTTGAATGAGTCGTGTGGGACGGCGACGTTGGTGGAGAGGGCGCTGCCGGCCCATTTTTGGCAGTCGGTGCAGTGGCAGATGGCTGTTGTTGCTGGGGCGCCTGAAGTCTGTTAGAATGGTGTCAAGGGAGGGGATGATGGGGAGGGGAGGATATACCGGTGAATTCGTAGGTGATTGCACCGCAGAGACAGGATCCTGAGCCTGGCATTTTTTCGGTTTGAAGAGGATAGTTGAGTTGTGTGATTGGAAAGGTGAGTATGTGAGTTGAGTTGGCTGTGAAGAGGGTGAGTGAGTGCTGAATTGATGATTTGATTTCGACCTGGAACAGAGCTGTTTATATACTTAATCCTCTCACCTAAAATCTTCCATCCCAAAAAAGCCATCTATACCCCGGCTGCCCATCATCCATCTCACCACCAAAAACAGTAAACAGATATAATTGCACGTCAACCTTCATCTCCATCAAACACCCATCAACAAGCCTACCTCCCTCCCCTTTAGTCCGAGGCTTTTACCATCAAAAAGCCAAAGCGATGAATAAGCATGTTTCAAATCCTCGAAAACACACCTCCTCTAACTATCCAATTATTTTACAAAGCGGTAGTAGGACAATTATCAATTTCAAGCAACGCCCGAATCTCACCTCCCACATAAACCGACCAGGGTGTCAGCCTCCCGTTTCGGCATGGACGGATCCGAATGCAGGTCGGTAGACGAGTGCCGCAGAACACTTACTCCAATAAACAAAGTCGAATTTCCGTCTGATGAGAATTTGTAAGATGTCAAAGTCTCCAAAATATTTGGAATATGGAGGCCTGGATGATATGAAATAGGATAATGAATGTAGATTGGGTGGCAGGGTTGTAGGGTGTAATGGATGGATGGAACTGGGAATGCGAAAAATAGCAGAACAGTATACACACTATCTATGAACTTGCAAGCTTACAGGACCGACTTATCTCAGATCTAGTGTTCTTGGTAAATCTGAAAAAATTGCATTTCGCCTATGAGTCGCTCGCGAAAGAAAAATCTAATTTTCACCACCCACCCGCCCCCAGAAAAAGCAATTCAGCGGTGTGTGGAAAATGCATCTCTAAATCCTTCGACGAACCTAAGGTGTATCCTCCCCTCAGAAAGGCTTAAATTGATCTTATAAAGTGAAACATGTGTAATTCGCACCGGAGAGGGCGAAATCCCGAACCTAAGCACCTCCGCCAAAAATGCTATCAACCAACTCACCGCCCCTAACCGCTAAAATGGAAAGAAGCGTATCACTCAACTATTTGCATGTTAGCCAAACCACTCGAAGGAAAGAGGAAAGAGAACTCACCCCGTGCGTCCCCTCATTACAACCCTGCAACCAAACACCCGCCCCCTCATCAACACTCCCCTCCGTAAATCTAACCCCATAATCCCTCCTCACCCCCATCTTCCCCCCCTCCTCCACCACAAGATCCCTCACGGACCCCAACATATCCTCATGAACATTCCGTCGGTATCCCGTCGCCGCAAACACGTAATCCGCTTCCATCTCCTCCTCGCCTCCATCTTTACACTGAAACCTGAGGAGTACAGAAGACCCGGTGCTGGGTTCGGCACTGACGACCATCCGGTTGGGCAGGATGCGACAGCGCCATGTTTCTTGGTCGGAGGACTTCATGCGCTGGAGATATAGTTTTTCGTAAAGGTGCTCGAGGAGTTCGAGGCGCACGACGCCGTAGTTGGTGCCCCGGTCTAGGGAGAGGGCTGCTGCGCGTACAGTGGGGTCTTGTGAGTAGATTCCGTCGACGCGGTCGGGGTCGAAGATTTCGTTGACGCTAGAATCCCAATCAGTACTGTTTGTCAAGAGAAGGTGACGGGGGACTTACAAAGGACTGTCATCGCTAGGGCGTAGAGAAGCGCCTTTGATGACGAGTCTGACCTGAGAATCTGGGAATCGTTCACTGAGATCATTATAGATTTCCGCGGCTGACTGACCGCTTCCTAGGACTACGAATCTGGGATTTCGTCCTTTCTCGCGTTGTTGGATCTGGCCGATTGAAGACGCGAATTGACTTGAATGGGCGACGTGTTTTAGACCTTGCAGGTTTTGAGGGATGACTGGTCGACCGCCTACGGCAATGACTACGTGCCTGGCTTTTCGCTGGATTCTTTCGCCATTCTGAGAGAGCGCGGTGACTTTCCAGTTTAGGATTTTGCCTTTTGAATCGCGTTCTCCGCCCTCGACGTCCTCGACTTGCATTCCGTACGCAACTTTTCCTTCTTTCTCGAAGTGACCGGCGCACCATCGTAGGTAGTCTTCATATTCCATCCTGCTGGGTAAGAAAGTTGAAAGGTTGATGAAGTGATTCAGACGACCTTTTGAGAATAGGTAGTTGATAAACGTAAAATGTGACCGAGGATTTCTCGGTGTAGCAAGATCTTTCAAGAATGAGATTTGCATCTTTGCGCCTGGGAGTTGCATACCCGCGTGCCACGCGAATTGTGGCTGCTTTTCGAGGAATAACACATTTTGTGCTGATTCTGGTTGTTTGTCTTTGAGTGCAATGGCGATTGCGAGAGAAGCTGGTCCGAACCCGATGCATAAGAGATCTAATACTGAGTCTGAAGAGGAAACACGTGAAACTGATTCATGGTTGGACATGTTCTCTGAATAGCCGTTGAAATATATGATGCCACCATTCTGATCACTGCTTCTCTGGTTATATGAGTCCAAAGGTGGACTTATAGCCGAAGGAGCCATGGTTCAGTGAGTACTTTGATGGTACCAAGTCCCGTGACCAATAGGTAATTCTTCCAATTGTTTCTTGATTGAGTCTGGAAATTTGATGACCTATCTCAGGTATCGGATTACTCAGAGTAAAATTTGGGACGCGTGTCGTGTAGAAAGCAAGATTTAAAATGCTGATGCCTTTGATCTAGTTGCAAATAAAAAGTTGCTCAATGGCTGAATGAACCTATAACTATGGATCAGTCTTCATTGTCTATGCAAGTTCCCATAATGGAACAACACTCATTATGCTCTAACCCACTCATCTAAGACTCACTATCCAACCACATGGTAGCAAAATAGCCCCGGAAATGGACCAACCCGCTTGTGCTTGGAAATAGGTGTTATGCTATTGGTCGGTACTCACTTTTGGTTCCCCGTATCCTTCTATAGATGACACTGACAAAGATAAACTACACAATTCAAGGTCTGGTGGAAGTATTAGATGATACAAGAGCGAGGTTGTGTGCTGTTGATATATGTGGCGTCCAAACAAATGTAATGACGAGATGTACAAAGCACAAGCGCAATTGGCCTGCAAATCGCCGGAGAACCAGAATGGTGATTGAAGTCTTGAAATTTCAAATTCTAGACTCGAATGTGTCGATTAGGAGATTCCGGGTATATGACGGGGCTGCATATATCTCTGATTTCATGAAATGGGGAGATCCCGTCCCAGCAGCGGAGTTTAAGATCCGGTAATGTGTATGGCCGCGTTTGAAAGATTTGACGAGAAATCGCAAAACCCTATTGATATCGACAATTGAACTCTGCGTTTGCAGTGATGGTTGTCTAGTCGCTGAGCCAAATAAAATATCGAACAGAGAAGTATTATGTGTGGGCGGAAATTTTGAGGAGCGGCGCAACGGAATATGAAGGGTAGTTTGGACTCAGTGTCCCACTAGCTCGGCTCAACCTGACCCATAGGTACGCTGTCATTTCCTACCTTGTTCCTTTGCAGTAGAGGAATTCCGGCTGGAATAATGCAGCTAGATGAATATTGTTCAGACCATATGTATGATGTATCCTGGGGCTGTCCTAGCTGCAATGCTTGTGCATCTGCGTTGCCTTTGCAGCTCCACGGAAATAGCGTCGGGACCTGCAGTATCAGGTGTTTAAGGGTTGCCAGATCGAAAGGAAGAGTCCTGTACTTCGTACAACAAACCGTAAAGGCATTATATTTACTGTGAGGCCCTCCGAAATATTGAACAAGCCTGTGAAACCCTGCTTCAGGGCCCCTCATTTTTATTGCCCAGTCATCAAATTCTGGTCATTTGCCGGAGCCCCCCACTCGCTATATCATGCTGGCTCGTCGTGGCTTCTGGGTCTGGAGCCACACCGATTTCTCCCATCACGCACGTTTGGATAAAGGGAGCTTTTTACTGATAAACGGGAGCAGTATTGTGATTCCACATGATCCGAGGTACTTGAAATAATGGTTGAATATGCGGCGTTGCTCCGTGTCTTTCTTGCGATCGATGTAGATTTTCAAACAGAAGAACGAACGGAAGCAAAAATGATGACGCCTTGCCGCAGGCCCGTTTGAGTTGGCCTTTGGCCTTCCGTGAAGGGGTTAGCTTGCCAAGCCATTTTATCTGATCCGCTGCCCCCTTGTCATTTTCGCTTGCAGTTTTCTCCCGACATCGGCAAAATTTCCCAGAATCACTTTGATAGGTTTCTGTTGCTTGAACAAGAGCCAAAACCTGCGCACTGGAGTAGCTTTTGTGGATGAGTGTGTCAAAGACCGACATATGACTAGGGTCGACATAATCAGATGGAGAGATAATCTTTAACCCTGGTTTCATCAACCCTGACGACGGAAGGATACCACATGTGCCAACACGACAGACAAGGGAAGACTTCACTTAGGGATATGTTCGTGGGTTGTTTAAGGATGAACCTTACATTGGCGACAAAGTTCATTGAGCAAGAGAATTTTCCGGCTTGAGCGTAGAAAGGAATAAGGCTAGCTTACTTAGCTGTTTTTGTGTTATTTCAAGAACGTTATGTTTCTTGATTCTTCTAGCAAAGAGACCAAATATACTTGTTTCCGATTTAATCATTTTATACTTAAAAATAAGGATGTTGTTGTTACAGCAGGGCGCTCAACCAGTAGAACCCAGCGACCGATCGTCTTCATGTCTTTAAGATCTAAGTCCAAACTTCAAGAGGAGTTTGTGAAGATCTATGCAGTAGTGACAGCAAGATCAGCACAGTGCAGCAAGTAGCACCCACACATCGAGTTCTTCCAAGCTGGTATGTATTATTGATGTTGATATTCCTTACCGTTGTCTAGAATCGACGGGAAAAGAACAAGTTACTCCGACTCTTGCATTTATTGTGAGCTGATCCTTTTCAATATCGCTCGTCACATGCTTCAAAAGGTTGTAGACTGCAATACAGGGTCAGAACAGGCGCAGAATCGACTGATGAAGTCGTCGTTTGTCCCGTTCCCAGGCGGGGTGCCAAGCAAACTTATCTGATCTTCCCCTATGCGTTCCGGCCTCGGTCCAATTGTGTGGAGAGCTAAGGTACCCCTACAATCTGATGATCTGATTAGATTTTCGCTAAAAGAATCTTCCTTGCTGCTGCCGATGCTTGTGGAGGCTGTCTGCAGGAAGGGTGTGATTCTGGAAATTGACAAGTAACGAGGAAAAAAGCGAAGACGGTGAGACGAGAAGGTAGTCCGACACGCAGCTTTTTTGGATCGAGCCAGAATAGGGGGCCTAAATTGCGAGAAAGACTACAGACGAAAGTTTATTGTGCGGAAAGCTAGTTGTGTATCTTGTAGTGGACATGACAAGTGGTAAAACCTGTCGACTGATTGCAATCAAGCGCTTCCATTTTATAGGTATTCAAAAAAATTCAAGAATAATCTTATATATTATACTGGAATTAGTAGAAATACAGGCAGTTCTTATTTGATCGAATAAGAGTATGATATCACGGTTATAATACGGTGGCCGAGATCCTCAAAAGCATGGCCGATCTCTTGGTCACCGTAATCCGAGGGGATGTTCCCAATTTCCTTTTTCCGCGACTCCCCACGTAAATGTATCTCATCACCAACCAAAGGCCATCTTTACAAGTAAAAATGCAAGCAGAGCGGAGGTAACTCCATATTCGGTTTCATCACCACTCCTTTTCAAAGCTTATGACTCATGAGAATTGGGTACGTGGAGTCCAGCATAAGTACGGGCCCAACGCGTGTTGTTTCCAGGTGAGTGTGGGTTGGTGAGGTTTCCACGATCGAGTTATTCTATACAGAACACTTGAGAGTGTATAAAGTATATTAACAGGTAGGTCCCGATATACGCGCTTTAAGCGGGTACGAAAAGGTATGTATAGACTGTTAGTATTCGAATCTCGCCGGCAACCTGTGTTAGTGACAGTCACGAGTCACGATCGAGACTCCGCAACCACCACACAGCTTCCATACTCACCACGACTTCACACGGCTTATTCAAGAGTACAAGGGTACGAGTGTATCTCTAGATGGCGCACCTTCCACATTCAATGTCATTTCCAACACAAAGAAGGAGACACAGAAAAGGAATCTTGGTGATTGTTAACTGGACCTCCATGATTGGTTGTCGCGGCAGCACATGATGGTCGTGTACAAATGTCGTCGTGACACTTCCTAGGAACATCTTACTCTCACCCCAGCAATTTCGTTTGTAGTAACCAGTGGCTGCACTTTCGATATAGCTACGTTTTCTAGAGCAGTAATCAATTCTACCACTTATTCCCGGTCTAATCGCCACCTCGACACGGTACCGACCTTGCAAGTACTTGGAATTCAAAACTCACGAAGTACCGATTTAGTACATCTACAAATACCACAGCACGTGAAGAACTCTCACCTTCTCGCTAACCCTGATCCACCACCACCCTACTTCTCTAGTACGAGCAGGCGCAAACCGGAACACTCACTACTTAACGCCTGGTTATCCACGGAACGCGATCACTACAGAAAATCGATTCGCGCCTCTTCCGCCTCAATTATGAAAACCAGTTGCTGAGAGTCTACTCAACATGCCCGAAAGGCTTTCTATCCTCAACGATCCTGCTCAGCAACTCGGCGGGCCGCAGTTGCTACACCACCTAATAGACTGGGAAAATAATAGAGGACATTGTGCTCTCGATTTCAAATCAGGAGGGCGCCGAAAACGGTACAATTATAATGAGCTAAGAGGTTGTGTAGCTCAGTTGACAAGAAAGATATTCGAATCACTCGCGGCCAGGAAGCTCAGGTCAAATAAGCAACCTATTGTCCCAATTCTGCTACCGCAATGTCCGGCACTATACATCGCACAACTAGCTGTCCTGACCTCAGCCGCAGCATTTTGCCCGATAAATCTGGATGCTCCAAAAGATAGAATCAAGTTTGTGGTTGATGATGTTGGCGCAGATATCATCATCACCACGTCTGAATTTCAAAATGTCGCATCGTGGGAAGGTGGACCGATGGTCATTCTTGTGGAGGAGTTTCCGGAAACCATATTTCCACAAATGCCGTCAATCCCCTCAGGTCCTGCTCCAGAATCTCTCGCATATGTCATGTACACCTCTGGTTCAAGCGGAAAACCAAAAGGTGTTGGTGTCAGCCATCTCGCTGTTTGTCAATCACTTCTCGCGCACGAAAAACACATTCCGCAGTTCAAACGATTTCTGCAATTTGCAGCACCGTCATTCGATGTTTCCGTATTCGAAATCTTCTTCCCTCTTATTAGAGGATGCACGTTGGTTGGCTGCGACCGCGTTCAGCTTTTGAATGACCTACCTGGAACAATCGTGGGTTTAGAGATAGATGCAGCAGAGCTCACGCCCACCGTGGTTGGTTCATTGCTCCAAAAGAGAACCAACGCGCCTTGTTTGAAACTGCTATTGACTATTGGAGAGATGCTCACTTGGCCGATTGTGGAAGAATTTGGAGCTTCTGCCACACAAGATGCTATGCTGTACGGTATGTA